AGCTGTGTATCTGGTCTTGGAGGAGACCGACAAGGGGGGAGGAAGGCACGTCACCAAATAAGTGAATCGCGACGGTGGAAATGGCCATCGACAATGGTCTTAGACTCGGTTTTACGCAGTGAAGGCAGACGTAGTTCACTGGAGCCTGCATTTAGTATAGCAAGAGAGGTTACATTTCCTGCAATGGTGGCTTTTATCATATGAAGAGCTAGGAGAAATATGAGTGTTCTTTTACCTGAGTTGCAAACACGAGGATTTCACCAATTCCAAAAAAGACAAGGAAACCGTACATGTTCTTGAAGCAGAAAGCGCTGAAGCAAAAGATGGCTCCGGCTAGTACCGCACCTGTAAGAAGCTGTGCCACAAAAATTAAAAGAAAAGAGCTCGTAAGGGAAGGTTGCATATAATTGTGGTGCATTCTTTGCAGAGCTAAGGGAGCTTGAAAATCCACTTGACATATGCTATGTCATTGATATGAAGTTTAGGCCAGAGAAAGAATCCAAGCAAGGATTCAATCGGTTGCTGATACCCTTTGACACAATGCACTGAAGATGTGGCATATAAAGTTTCAATTGACTGCTGAATTAAGCACAACAATGCAGTATAGAGGCAACATCATCACATTAGCATACTTTATATCAAGAGAGAAATATAGTTGGTAAATCTGGAAGAAAGAAAAAACAAAACAAAACATAGAAGAAGAAAAGTAGATTCCAGGATGCACCTTGAAGGCATTACGGATAGTGCTGGTTAGGTAATCTAGAAGATAACCTCCAGCAAGAGTTCCTAGTATCCCACAGATAATTGTAACCCCGCCAAAGATCATATCTGCATTTTCCTGTCAAAAGAAGAATCTAGTTGAGACTTCTATTCTATGCATCACGATTACATCTTTAGCAGAGCTATTACTTACATAGCTAGTACCTCACCATATTATAGATGTTGCGACCAGCTTTCGGACCCCAGTAAGAGTATGCACCAATGACGAAATTGTAGGCTGTGTAGCCTGTGCAAAATATGAAGGCCAGATTCAGTTCAGCATGCTAACATGTATCCAAGAAAGGTTAAAAGGTAAAGTAGAAGGGCGAAACTGGTACCCAGAACGCTGACAATAAAAATCTTCTCACGCAGAAGATCTTTCATATCTTTGAGGAATCTTGACCATTGATTCATCTTATGTGACGCAGGTTCTGAACTGCAATGAACATTGCCTCCATTGTTATACTCATTGCTTGAGGCATGCTATTATGCAGAGGGGAGGGTGAGAGAGAGAGACAGAAATGACAACGATCTAACAACTGCATCACTTAAGCAAAATCTATATGACATGTATCAGCTAAAAATGGAACTGATCTTACATGGAAGAACTCTTTGGGGTTTCCTGACCGAATTGTTCTTTTAAAGTCAAACTGCCAGCCTTGGCAGCCGAAACTTCCAAACCTAGAACCATTAGCCCAGATGAAAAACTGATTCAACAACTTACCAAATTTTTCTATAGAAAATCTCAGTTGTAAAATAGTTGATAAAGCAAAAATATGACACCGATTCTCATAAAATCAGCACCTTGAGCATCTGATACAGTTGTCACTGAAGTCGCTGCTTTCGTTCGGTCAGCATGAGTAAAACCTGCATCATGGTATCCATAAAAACAGATGAACAAGTAGAGTTTGTAACGAACAAAAAGCAAAGAACAGGATCCATGTAACAAAATTTCCACCTTTCAATTGCAAAGGCTTTATAATCCAACCCAAAACAATAAATGGAAACATCAAAATTGCCACTCCAAAGAATGCATAGCGCCATTTCAAGTGATCACCAACCTATTAAAGCAGAAATGAAGACAAGTTACAAAAGGAAGATACAGTAAAATTTGTTGTACATCGCCAAAATCAACATGAGCCTAAAAGGTGATAACCAAGAATAAAAGCGACATACCAGTCCTCCATATACGTAGCCAATAGCATATCCAGTTGATATACACATATAGAATATTCCCAGCCATGCAGTTCTCTAGATTGCAGAATGAATGAAATGTGTGTCACTACCTTAATCAAAGAAGTCAGTGCACAAAAGAGAAAATTGTGTGTTTCCAGCATCACTATCATAAAGGACAGAAGCAAAACCTGTTTGGCTGGGGCATTATCATCAATGAAAGGGGCCGCTAGACTTACAAAAGAAGCTTCCCCAATCCCAACTACCCTAGAAAGGACATTCACAAACCAGAACTAGTCAAGAGATGATAAATCATCATTAACATAATAGATAGAAAGCTAATTTGCTCATCCTTTAAGCAAGTTCAAAAAGATATTAACAACCTACATGCGGCAGATTGCAATGAACCAGAAACTGAAAGACAACCCACAACCAATGACTGCAAGCATCCAGACTGATAATCCAAATCCTATGAGCCTGAAGGGGTTATAGCTGTAGAAAACCACAAGTATAAGATCAGCATCATCCTGGTCACAGAAAATCTGTCAAATTAGTCTCTGACGATTTCATCAGTTACCTCTTTGACAGAGAGGCAAATATCGGACAACCAATAAGAAGGCCGACCACGAAAGCAGAAGATAGTGCTCCATCTTCAAAATTGCTCAAGTTGAACTCCCCTCTGCAAACATCGCACAACGAAGCAAGATCAAGACTCTTTAAAATTGAAGATGCAATTTGACAAATGTACAGATTTTTTAAATGATACCATGCGGTTCAACAAGCAACATCAAAAGTATACACATTTCATGTTTCTTGAACAATAATGTAACCACAATTTGCAACCGAGACAGTGAAGTTCGCATGTCAAAGATTACACCCTTAAGATGAAGAGATTACATAGAGCCTTACTGTATTCCAGTGCCAGCAGTGCACGTACCATTCGACGTGCAAGTCTTGGGGCTCCCATTTACCCCATTACTTGCCATCGCTCCTCTCTCCATATAATTTATCAAGTTGACCACACAAAAGATTACCAGCAACCTGGCAAAAAGCGCATGATTAATAAATATAGTTATGCATCATAGTGCCTACTTATAAAGAGCAAAAACTTAGAGATGTTAGTCATCAAGATTTCCAAATCCTCTCATGGGCAATATAAAATCAATTAGCTTTGTTCACATCAATCTCTGTTCCTCTCCTTCATCAACCTCTAGTTAAATGTTGAGATTATCATTTTCTTTTTCGGTTTTCATGGGAAGATTATCATTTTCTTTGTAACAAAATAATTCAGCTCAAGCCAACATCTTCTGCTGAAAAAAGAAAGGGTACTATTCATGGGAAAGTCTCCATATGATCATATTAGAAAACCTCCAGAAACAGGACGAGTGAAAACCAGATTAGACAAGAGAGTAAAGCAACCACCTTTTTGGAGTGAACCACGAAGGCTGAGAAACTGATGATGACGACGAAGAAGAAGGTTTTAAAGGTTGAGAAACTGAACTTCCCGCCACCTCTGCTCTTTCTTCCGCCATTACTGCGAAAACGCCACAAGTAAGATCCCCGGCCCTTCACAACAGCTGCTGACGAACAAGAGACAGAGAAGAGAGCGGAGAACCAAAACTATACGAATTCAATAAACTTTTTTCAGCTTTAATCTCTTCATAATGGGAAAACAGAAAGAGAAAGCAACAAATTGGAATCCGAAACTTTGTTTTCTTCCCTCCTTTCTTACGGACAATCTGAATGATGTAACATGTTGACTTTTTAGGAGGGTTTTTGTTTTTACGCCATTGATGGGTCGGAAAACCGTAATTGGCCGAGAAAGTAAACGCAAAAGGAGACGAATGAAGTCGGAAGAAAGCGAAAGAGAGAGGGGCAAAAGACAGAACTCAGCGGTTAATGTAGTTACCTCCAGTTGCCGGCGGGGAGGAAAACAGCAGTTTCCGGCGACAGGTGAACGAGGATATTGGATGGGGATGGCAATGGTGGTCTTTTCAGGCAACAGGGAGCTTATTAGGATTTTTTTTGGCAGAGAGATCTTTGAGAAGAAGAGTGAAAATGTAGCTGTAGGCCGAAAAACAGAATCTGAGTACAGGTAGAGTTTGGTTGGAAAACGGGAATTAATAATTAAAGGTAATCATTTCAAAAGAATATCCATATCTTAAATTCTCTGTTCTATAGGAGGGCTATGCCTATAGATTATGATTTACGATAAAGTTAAAATCATTTGATCCCCAATCTTGTTTTCGTTTTAATTTTGTTTTTCAATTCTCCATTTTTAAGGTGGAAAGTCGTACTTTCTCAAAAGTCCTAATATTATTTTGTTCTTTAGATGTGTATAGGCTATAGTACTTATAATTTCTACTAACTTTTGTCGTTTCATAATTAGATCATTTCAGATCAATCAACAATCATTTATTAGGTCAAATGGGTTTTTAGTTTTTATGACTAATATGATATCATTTCTACTTTCATTTTCATAGTTGAGGTGGTCAAATAAAATTGTTTGATTTGAGGATGTTGATTCACAAAATTTTACAATTTGTTGATAATATTCGTCGATTGGTGTGGTTTTGGTAAAAGTTTAACCTGAATCATAAAATGGATTGAATGATCAAAATGAAATATGATGATAGAGTCCAATAACACTACACGATGCATTCTAAAAATGACACTTATAGGTTATCAAGAAGATTGAACATATACACAATCTCTTTGTTTTTCTTATTAGCCGGCGGTTAACTAGATCATTCCAACTTCTTATTTATTTTTTACCATTACATTCTCGGGTAAAAAAAATAATTAGTTTAAATTTTTAGAACAAATACGACTCATCAATGTGTATGTGTAGTATGTCATATGAAAGTCTTTGTTAATTGAAAATATATTGTTGAATCAATTCAGGAAATAGACTCGCAACCACATTTTGAAGACTTCCATCATATTGAATAATTGTTAAAGTCAAAAGTTTACTTTGCATTTTCAGACATTTCCTTTCCCACTGAACATCATAACAATAAAAGATTACTGAATTGGATAAAAATAAAATCCAAAATTAGTATAAAATATATTTCGACATTATTTTATTCGAATAAAATACGGTCATCCTTAGTTAGAATGAGAAGTTGATTGAATTTAAAAACAAACAACCTTTGAATTCGAGAATAGAAATCAAAGTTGAATAATTCATCATTTCGATTTCGATCATATAGTGAAGTACGATTCACTCCAATTACAATAAACATTGATTCAGGTCGATTAAGTCAGTTGTATATCATATCATATCTTTGCCCAACCCTCTGGAACTGAGTTGGGCTACCACAAAACATGAGTTTTTAAGTTTTGACAAACTGTTAAACGCATTTACAGTAAAATGATTTCTAGACTCGCTATACCTTTACTTGGCCAGCTTTGACGAGAGGTAAAATTTGGGATCCCTGAAGAACATTACGATGGTCTCAGCCTTGTCAGGGGAAATGCCAGTCTTCTCCAAGATGCTTTCCTTGGTCGCCTTAGCAACGGCTTCAATCGAACCTATACCTTGATTCAGCTGCCAAAACCATCGCCCAAAATTTTTCAAATACATCAGCACCATAGTGTGCAACTTTTCAAGCAACCTCAAGACCTCAAGAAAGTTCCCTACAGTACTTTAGGCATACTGGGATTCTTATGAAAAGTTGCAGAGATATATATATGTCATTAGAAACAAAAAAAAAATGTATACGGCTAATGCAACTAGTAAGATGGATGATTGCATTACCATATTCGCGTCGTGGCTGTCGATGCCTGGTATTGAAGTGATCGCTTTAATGAAATTCTCCAACGTTTGCACCGATCCCAGCCTCTTCTCATATGCAACAAAAAAGCACAAGAATACAAGGTTGGAAGAAGCACCAAAAGGTGGAGGTAACAATTGATCATGAACCATGATTTTAACACACAAACCTCAGCTTTCATTGTTGAGGTAACATCCTGCTGCTTGCATGCTGCAAAACTCAGAGATCAAATCAAACAAGACACTACTCATACTATTAAAGTCAACCACATTACTTGTCAAGGACGCATATAATAAGAAACTTAAGCATCAAGCATACATAATTACAGATATCATTGCTCACCCCCACGTGAATGTGCTATCTTGACCATCTTCTCAAACCCCATCTCCAAGTCCTGAACTGGCACAAATGGTGGCCGGCCAATCTCCATCCCACATCTGATTCCCACAGCATCATAGCAAAACAACTTTGTAACCACCAGAGACGGCACAAAAACCAGTAGCAGGATTCTCAGCAAGAGGGGTTTATAAGAGGAATCTCACTTGAAGTAAGAGCGCACAAATGAATCATTCTTCTCCTTCGTGGGTAAGCACACAACAACATACAGGTTTGCGAAACGCGCCTTCAGCTTCTGAACTCTGTGCCAACTCACAACAAACATATAATCAGCACCAATACTATTTGCGACAAATCGATTCTTCACATAGTACTCAGCATTGGATCTACAGCATAATCGACATGTTTTCTCTATGTTTAAGGTGGTATATAAGAGAATGAGTGAAAGTTCTAATGGAGAACTATTGTGAGAATCAACATTCATCCTTGTTCAATACTTTTAAAGTTTCAACTCCTAACCTAAAATTACGAGTGCATTTAAATCAAGGAAGTTCTTCTACCTGTTGAAGACTAGATCGGTGTTGCTGCAATCCCAGTTAGTAACGAAGATGAACGCCACTGAAAGACCTCCACAGTTGAAAATGAGATCCTAAACCACAGAGAGATTCAGCAACCATCGGAAGCCAAACGGGAAAAGGAAACGAGGTCGAATTACAGTAGAGCAAACAAGTAAGAACTAGGGTAAGGGAACAGTACTGGAGCAATCGGAACGAAGTTGAGACGGAAGGAACTCGCGTTAAGAAACGACGACACGAAATCGATGTACGACGGAGTTTGTTCGTCTCTCCATTTGCTGCTCATCATACACACGCCTGCGGTTCGTCCGCCTCCGCCTCCACCTGCCAAGCGAAGTTCAATCACATCAAATCGAACTCTCGATCAAACACAGACGAAGTAACCCAGCGCCAAGAGAGGCGTAATTTCTGAAACATAGCTACGCGTTCGATCGCAATCGATCTTTCTCACTCGTTCACGATTTTCTCAGCGACCAAACGGAAAATGCTCATCCGAACATCGAGAAGAAAGCAAGGGTGAATTGGATGGGGAAGGAACCTGAATTCTTCGAGTTTGAACTTAGAGACGCCATTTCCAGAATGCTCTCTCTCGAGCGAGGAAGACGACGATCTCCTGCGGCAGTGAAACGATACAAAGAGAACCGATCTCTGTCTTCACAGTTCACTGAGAAATGCTCTTTGTTGGCGGGAAGAAGGGGAATGTCGGTGGAAGTAATGGGCCGAGCCCAAATCAGAATCTGTCTTGTCTTTAAGCAAGGAGAAAGGGGAGATTCCGCTTAAAGAAATGGGCTTTTAAAAGCCCAGCTAGCAAGCACGGAATCAGATAAGCCCATATTACAAAATCCAGCAAACCCGAGGTTTCGTTTCTTCTCTTCTCTATTCCACTTCCCGCCGGCGGTTCAAGGACAGACGAGCAGAGCGGCGTCGGGCTTTTCTTTCCGTCCCGGCGGTTAGTGAAGTTTAACTACTCGTTGGGAGATTTTTGTGGTCATTTGATGATTGGTTTTTAGTTCTATGATTGCATGTTGGTCTATATGTGCGCTCGAGTGGAAAAAGTCGATCCTTTATTGGAGGTCATAAGATGTTTGAAGAACTCAGAACTTCCATCTGCTGCACATTTGGTTTTTATGTTTATATGGGTTTTGTTCAAGGTTCCAAGAAAATAATGCATGTTTGAAGTCTCTTTTAACAAGAACAAGACCGATTATGGATGACAAACAAATACCCAGTTTTAGGTCCCTGACCTCCATCATCTTCAGTTGCTCACTGGTTTTTTCTTCTAGAAATGCTAAATCTTTTGGGTGGGGGATAAAAACTGCAAGTAGCAAAATTTTCCAGCGTATATGATTGTTGCTGTTGGGTCGACCATTAGCTTCTCTAACAAATTTGTCCAGCATTTTGAACCTACTGGACCTTAATGGTAAGTAGACTTGCTGAGGTCCTGAGGATTGGCAATTGCCCTGCATTTTTTAATTTACTGGACCTTAGTTGTAAGTAGACTTGTTGAAACTAATTTGTTAGAGAAGTTCTCGAGTAACGCTGATGAGTTATGATATACTTTGGTGGAAGTTCTCGTACATAGTCCTCTGAAGACCATGGCGTTTGGTTTTCATTTTGGGATGATAATGGTGTCTATTTTGTGGAATTTTATAGCAATTATCACTCATATGATGTGTCTGCGAATTCAGTAAGTGTGCTGATTGAAAATTTTCTTACATGATTTAGTGTCTCTGTACCCCCCCTAAGTCTGTCCTTAGAAATGTGATGTATTCACTTAGGTTGCTGAGATTTACTGTTCGTATCTATCAATACCAGGAGATTTCAAATGTCTTCATTCTGAGTGAAGAGCACCCGGTAGGCTTATTCACATCATAACTGTGCAGAGATTGATCCAGGTCTCATATTTTTGCCTTCTTCCTTTATCCTTCTTCCCCTTTACGATACATAAAGTATGAGGGCTTGTAGTCGTAGGCTAGCTGCTTTAGAGTGTAATGAGAAGAAGTTTGAGCAATGAAGAGCGATTGTCTACTTTAGTTTCACTAGACTTCTTCTGCCACCCACCTAGTTTTGTAGATGTAATGATTTCCTGATGATGGTTTTGTTTTTGTTGTTTATTTGCCTCTTCTCTTCACTATGTGTTTATTTTACCTGGTGTTCGTTTATGAAGGGTAAGGAAATATCAAAATGGCCAATAGTAAATATGAGTACGTGAAGTCATTTGAAGTTGAAGATGAAATTGCCCTTCCCAATGTCATTGTTGTTCAACTTCATGGTCGTGAATTTGTAAGGTAATGTTCTACCTTCTTGGGTTTTCATGTAGTTAGCATCTTCTACTTGTAAATTATGAGTTTTACGTACGGAGGAGGATGACAGGAAAGCATAATGATGGGATTGAGTTTAAGAAGCAAGTAACTCAGACCATAATTTGTAGTTTTCCTTTTTTGTATTATGCATGATCAAGAGAACTTAGAACCTCTCTATCTTTCCGTTTGCAATTACAAACTTATAATTTGCCCATTGCTTAATAGGAAAAAAGCATTCACATTTTACCAGCTTTGGTTCTCCTTGCTTTAACTAATTGGTTTTTGGTGTAAATGGGAGAACCAAGGTATTGAACTCTACTTTAAGACTGTTCCAATCATAATACCTTTATTGTTCTCGAATTTGTACAGATTCTGCAAAGCTCACGAGCTAAGAAAGCCTTATGATGAAGAGGCCTTGGAGTTGATGAACTCATGTGCCGAATTCGTGCAGAGAAAATATCCAGATATACTCTTTTCTTATGGATTCAATGATGAATACAGGTCCCATTATGCTGCATCGTTGTCCAACTTTCTTTGATTTGGCCATACTGTGTATTGTTTCTGACAAACTTATTATGTATGGATCTGGCATGCAGTTTTGTCTTCAAGAAGAAAACCAAGTTCTATGAGAGGCGAGCTAGGTACTTAACACCAGCTATCAACGAAACTGGACATTTTTTAATGTACTTTTTTTTACACTTTTGTCTCTTGATAACTAAGGCTTATGTGAGGATTTTATGAATTTTCAGCAAAATTTTATCCCTGGTTACATCATGTTTCACTTCAGTATTCGTCGACAAGTGGAAAGAATTTTTCTCAGAAAGAGAACTGAAATATCCTCCTTCATTTAGTGGACGAGTTATTGTTTGTGCAACTGTTGATGTTCTTCAACATTATCTTGCATGGAGACAACATGAATGTGAGTGGTTCCATTTTACCTATGACAAATGTGATTTTGTTTTATTCCAGAAGCCAACTAGTTGTTTTTTTTTTTTTGTTACTTGGGTGAAATTCTGACAGCGTACACTGTTTCAAACTGTTTGCAGGTTATATAACAAATCAGTATCGTGCTTGTTTTTGGGCGTTGGTTAATCAAGGGAGAACTGAAAAGGAAGCCGAAGAGATTTTGAAAGTTCATATTTTTTTGCTTTGTTTTATATACTATTTCCACTTCATTTTCTTATTGTTTGACTATAACCACAAAGGGTTATGTAGCTAATTCCTACATAAATTTATGATTTGTAGGATACTAAAAAGCAAGACCAAAATGAGATGCTTCATCAACAATTCAATATCAATTACAATAATCTCCCAAAAATATTCCGCTGGGGTTCTTGTGTCCTACTCATGGAGGTTTGTCCTGTCATTTGGAAAACCTTTTACCATTATCGTAGATTTTCGCTTGGCCTCAAGGGCACGTTTATCTTTTTACATTATATTCCCTTCTATTGCTAATATGTTCATGTATTATGAGCAGGTGGAAGCTATTGTAAAGTACGATAAGGATGGATGTCCTATTACAAGATTGAAAAAGCAAATATCAACAGTCCATTCTCAAGATATAGCTAGAAGAACCTTTTGGAATCAGAAACCAAGTCTTGTAAAAGAACTGGGTTCTTTTGTGGAAGATATCAGAAGAATCGACAAAGACTATGTCAAGTATTTCCAGTCCAAAAACAAGTTGATGCCATATACTTGGGGAGTCATAAGAATCGATGGATGCCATTTCCACAAGTGAGTAACTTGAAAAGGAAATGATAATGCATCAAAATTATGGACTTCTGATTTTTGTCTGTCATACTTGGCCAGTATTGAATAATTTTGCAGTCTGATGCATAAAAGTCTTTTCATTTATTGTCAGATTTGCTGATGTCCATAAGTTCGAGAAGCCAAATGATGAACAAGCTTTGAAGTTAATGAATGAATGTGCAGTTGGTGTTCTGCATGAGTTCCGAGAAGTTATATTCTCATATGGTGTTAGTGACGAGTACAGGTATAATGGAACATTCAATAATGTTTCTGGTTGAATGACTTTCAGCTTTATATTAATCTAATTAAGGTTGAATGGCTTTCAGCTTTATATTAAAGAGAAGCAGTCACCTTCAGAGAACCCATCCTAGGTATGTCTTCTCTTTTGTCCATCTTTCATTAACAAATATATTTACTTTGGATTCTTACCGTCAAATTGCATGTATTAAGAATATCTCAGATTGTGAAAAGTTTAGCACTTCAATTTAACCACTTAATCAAAGGAAGGTGGAATTGGATAATCTCCAGTTTTAAAAGTCTTTTTTCTCGTTTACAAGATCTGTGTTTATTGAAATCGTCCTAACACACAATAAGTTTGTTTGATGTGTTTTAGCTATACAATTCTTTTTCACATTTCATTTTTTATATAATTTCTGCAGCGATATTGTGTCTTCTGTAGTATCATTCTTTACATCCATGTACATGATGAAATGGAAGGCCTTCTTTCCATTGACAGATCTAGTTTGTCAGCCCTCATTTGATGGAAGGGTTGTCTGCTATTCATCAACAGATATCCTGCGAGATTATTTGTCATGGAGGCAAGTAGATTGTGAGTAATAGCAACCAAAACTGATATTTCTATAGACTCGCCTGGAACTCTCTAAGTTTTGTGAAGTGTAAATTTCAGTGCCAATTTCTTTGCAGGCCACATAAACAACCAGTATAATACTTGTTTCTGGATGCTGGTTAAGTCTGGAAAAAGTAGAAGTGAGGCGCAGCAGATATTAAAGGTGCTTGTCTTTACTAATCGCTTAGCGTGTTTGTCAGCCATTAAAAAGTATCAATCTGCATGCCTGAATACTTCTCTTGTTCTTTAATTCGTGTCTTTTGTGCAGGGTACTCAATCACAGGAGAAAATGGAACTGCTTGCTAATAACTTTGGTATTGACTACAATACTATAGGGCAAATGTTACGCCTTGGTTCCTCAGCTTTCTGGGTAATGGCTTTCTCTACTTCTACAGTTGTATGTGTGTACACTAATTTCTTAGGTGGCATGATGTAGTGGGATATTGGTGTGTTGCTAGTTTGAATTTGAGTGAAGCTATTTGTTTGACATGCAGGAAGAGGAGAATGGCTGCAGCAAGGTTGTCGTACAACACTGCAACATAATTGATGATAGTTTTTGGGAGGCACATCCTTACATTCTTGCTTAGCTCTTCCAATAATTCTGAAATTCAGTTCAGTCTAAGGTATGCGCTTAGGTTCATTATCTAAGCATGAAACATATTCCTGCTATGTTATAGAGAAAAATCTTCCAATTCTGTTCTTAAAATTATGATAATGGCTGCATATTGAAAATGTTTCGTTTTGTTCCTGTCTTGACGCTGGCCTTAGAAGTTCGCTTATGAACTCACAATGGCGAGCCAATTGCTTCTGAAAGGTGCAATCAAGTGCAATATGTTGATTGCAGGCTGCCAACTAGAGGTCAATGGTGCATGAAGATATTTTTATGGAGATCACTATCTCAAGTTGTCATGCATGAGCTAATACGCTAGCCTCTCTTTAGGAGTGAAGGTGCTCAAGTGTATTGGCTGATAATTATGCCATAGAATACTATTCTAATGAGGAATTTGTATTCTATAATCCTTTGACACTAATGTTGTGACATTTATGATCCATATTCAAAGATGTACATTGTAGATTCTTCTCACAACATTTATATTTGCTGTCTGCCTATATAAGAACATACTTCAGGGAACATCTAACAAAATCCACCATTAGCTACGAACTCAATTAGATAACACCAATTGCATAGAACCTTAATACAATCAAACTGAACTCAAATAGAGGTAGTTCAGTTTGAAAGAACAAAAAAAAGGCGGCATACAAATAACACGAAAAATGCAGGTAAACTGTGCTCAAAACTCATGCTTGACCACACTTGTTCAGGCATTCGACTCCGTCTTCTAGATAATCTTCTCTGCTGATCCAGAACTCAGGTGCATCCTACACAGAGAAAGATGCCCGGTGAACCCACATTTGATGGCAGAAACGATTACCGTTGTAAACTGAAGGGTATGCATGAGGATGCTTTATAACCATGGCCAAGTGAGAGAAAGGTACCTTCATAATGCCAGCAAGAACTGCACCTCCTAGGTAGACCATATGCTTTCTTCGAGGCGGATCCTCAATCCTTAATCGTAATTTCTGTAGAAATGTATTGACTATTCAGTGAACCACTTCATGAAGCAAATATAGAAGAAAAAGAAAAACGTAGCTGCATTGTTTCCGACAAACCCTTTGATATGTGATTGATCTTACCTTCAACCCATCTTTGTTTCCCTTCAAAACAGCATCAAGGTACCGATCCTGTATTTCCTTCTCCAAGCTGGACGAACAGTGAAAGTTAACAAATGGGTAAGAAGCCAAAGACCATAAACCAGCATTAGAGTTTAGTATCTTATCAATAGTTGTGACAGGAGATAAGACCAATTACCGGCTAGGCAAGCCAGGATACATGGTGCTTCCTCCACTCAATACAATATGTTGGTATAGCTGTAAATGCAGAGAAAGATTTGGTCTTATAATAGTTGGCGCTTCAAGAAGAGTTAGAAAGAAGAGTCATAGTTGAGACCTATGAGCATAAGACGAAACTTAGACGTGCCAAAAAATACAGATAACTGTACCGTCATTCTGTTATCGATATCCATTTCCTGAATGCAGTGAAACACCATGTCAGCCATTCCATCACCTTCAACATCAATAAGTTCCTGTTCAAAAGGGGAAGCAGTCCTAAGTTTTAGAAACTTCCAAGAAATTGATAGTCGACATGACCTTGAACATCACTGGTTTCAAGGTGTGCAAAATAGTATGAAGGACAATTACACAAAGCCAATCATAACATCCACTACTACTCCAAAACAACAAGATGAAACTGCAAAATTCAACTTCATAAACATTAAATGTCACACTCGTGTTTTGGGTTAACTATATTAGGGGGGATCTCACATATGAAGATTTAAAAAATGAGGGTAAGAGATGCTTACTGGTGTGAAAAGAGCCTCAGGTGCCTGAAACCGTTCTGTACCTACTTTAATGGTTCTTCCATCTGGCAGCTGATTGATATATAAGAAATCAATATTACTGCTTGATAGGTATCTAAGATTACAAGAATCATACCACTAAGAAACCCAGAGATTTAACATTATCTCCCTAAATGTAGAAGCACCGTTTCAGATAAATCTTCATATTCTACATAACGGAATGATGTAAAAATCAACCAGCAAGTTGAGCCACTTAGTTAATTGAAACAGATGCTAAGAAAACCTGAAGAAAAGATAACATGTGCATAAGTCGACTAGAAACACAGACAAAAACCGTAGGAAGACATTTGACTTACAGTATAATGCTTGACAAGAATAGTAGTCTCAAGTCCCAGTTGGTATTCCCTCTTGTAATCATAACTGTTGAAAATTGAAATGCTTGAAAATTAGATTATTCTAAATCAGCCTTCAATTATCAACTAAACCAGAACATGGTTATTTCACCTTATGTAGCAAAGCTTCTCTTTCATTTCACGAACAGTCTCAAAGTCAGCATTCCTGTTCATTGCATACCTACGCAAAACACAGAGGTGCAAAGTAGTTTATGCAAATTTAGTGTGGTTGGAAAGAAAATTGTAACCGTACAAATGAACTAACTTGTGAGAGAAATGTAGGTCTTTACCCTCTCCGTGAAAGAAGGTCAATCAGATACGATGTTATGTGCCGACCAGCGACATTCATCCGCTTCGTAAGATGAGGAAATGAGTAACCATCAACAACAGGAACCTAAGAAAAAGTAATTATGTTAGCAACTTGAACCATAATAGTAAAGATAAATATTGCCCTTCAGAAACAGAACAGGCCCTTCAAAAGTTTTACCACATGAGTGACACCATCACCAGAGTCGATGACAAGTCCAGTCAGCAAACCTGCAAGATTGCGTTGAGTTGAGAAAGAACCAGAAACACGATGGCATGACCATTCAACAAAGTGATATTTCCATTTATAAAGCAAGCCTAAAGTTCTGAATTGCCAACCACATGCATGCAAAACATATGCAAAAATAAGATTTAAACCTTCTTCTACCAAGTCAAGCACCTTGGGCGTACAATGTCAACACTGCTTGGATTTGAATGAAGACCCCAGCAAAGTTATACTTCTCGAACATAGTCTCAATCTGTATTTTGAAGACAAGGTCAGCGAAGTGACTGTCATTAACCCAAAAAACACCGAAAAACAAACTGAAAATGCATCTGGGTATACAAAAGTCAAGGGCAAACCATCAGTTCACGATTCTTTTTCGGATTAAGAGGTGGATCAGTGAGCAGAATCTTGCACTCTGATGGGTCTATCTGTTCAAAGCAAGTAGCACGGAAACCTTACTTGGTAGATCTTAATAACCAAGACTCAACCAAAAATATTAAAATTGCATCTCCTCTCATCAAACAGAAGCAACACAATATTTACCTTAAGTTCATTGTAGAATGCATGATCCCACACATGACCCATGTCATCCCAATTCTGGATGATTCCATTGTTGACAGGATAAGATATGTCCAGTTGATGCCTCAATTCCGCACAAGATTCTCCAACAACAATATCCTAGAGCAATCAGGAAGAAGGAAAAATCCGAGAATAAAAAAATGATGGAGCAAGGGAGTCTCAGTTTGTAGTTATTAGCAGAGCATAACTGAAACTCCTCAACGCTACATGGTGACAGATCGTTACAACAACAAAGCAAGAAAACAGAATGGAAAAAGTTATAACCTTCAATTGTTGTTCCATGAGAGATTCTTCATATCGAAGCATGGGCCTCCCCACCACACATGGGAAAACAGAAGTGGGGAAATTCTCTCCAGCAAATCCACACTTGACATACTGGAAACGAAACATGTTGATACTGTTAAAAGCATAAAACAAGAATCAAATCCAAACAAAATGGTCAAAATGCATTCTTCATCCAATCCTCCATCAACCCTCTTCCCAATCGAACATCCGCCCGTCTCAAAACAACAAAACCAAGACGAACAAAACAGCAGGTTCAATCACAATGACAATGTCCCACCACAAACGAAACAAGCAGAATTGATCATGGTAGAGAACCATAGAAAGAGCAAACGTTGCATATTCACAGTTAATCAACGCAAGGGGGAATACCCGGTGAAAAAAAATTGGACAATGGAAACAAAGATGGAAGCTTTACCCCAGTTCCATTGTCGCAGACGACGACCTTCCTGCTGTCCATCTGCTTGCTGATGAACAGCGATTGAGGTACAGAATTTATCCGATTAAAATCCCACAACTGCTAATTCTTCTAAACCCACCAAAAAAAAGGGCAGCTCGCGTTTGTTGTCTGATCTATCTCCACCAGGCCGCTAATGATAATGATTCAAGATCGTACCAATGCTTCTCCATTCGGCAGGGGAAGACGCCATTTTTCACTATATAGAAAGAAAAAAAAACAGCCTTTAACCACTTCCGAGCTTCGGTTTGTCAGGCTCCCCGCCACAGCACAATGAGCACTCCAATTCGCTCCAGATGTGCGATCAGTGACGAATTGAAAATCAGCTGATGGGTTGGTAAAGAGGCCAAAATTCGCAGGCGAGGAAGTGGAGCATCAATCAAAATCTTGCCTTTCTCTTTACATAATCGCGGGTCGGACGTTAGAGAAATGAAGAGTCTCACTCTCCATTAATTATTACGCAATTTTTATTTTTAGTTTCTTTTCTCATTAAGTAGTTTATGAGAGTCTAGCGGGCCCGTTACCCGCCAAAATCTGATTGGGCTCAGTCTACTAGCCCATCTAACCATATCTCTTTGTCTCTGTTTCCTCTTCCCCTCTTCTCGCTTTCTTCACCCTCTTCATCGGCGGACAATTCCCTGAGCAATGGAGTCGGCGCCGTCGAATTCAACAGTTGGCATAGCCGCCGTTCCTTCGAAACGGCCTTCTCGGAGGCTCTTGTTCGACCTCCGCTATGGCTGGGTGTAAGATTTACTCTCTCTATCTTTCTTCCCTATCTGTTACTGCTTTGCTTGAATGTTTCATTTGGCGCGAGATTGTTCTGATTTGGGCGTTTGCTTTCTAGGGTGGATGAATGGAAGCACCCATCGGAGGAAGCTTTTGCTGGAGGCCGTGGAATGTGAGTTCTTATCTCAAATCTCCCAGCTTTTTATCTTTCCCGCTTACCTCTCTGTTTGGTTGCTTAGAAATGGAAGAATACATTTCCCCCAATAATTGGGTTTGGTTGAGGATTAAGGAGTATGTGAAAGGGGAAGATGGAGATAAAAATTAGACATATAGAAGGAGAATAGAAGGAACTGTGTCTGTGTTTGGAGTTTGCTATATCACTGATTTCCTTTTGGCATTCTTCATTTCTGAAGGTTCTGCATACTGCCTTTGGCAAAATCATTGTGGATGATGGCTTCGAAGTCGGTAAGTTTTGAAGCTCTTCCTCTTCGTTCTTTTCGGTGATAAATGAATTCTGTGATCTACATCCAAGAGTATTACCTTCAATACATGAAAGTCCTGTTCTTTATTGCTAAAGTGGTTAACTAATTGTTAATGGTTATTGGTTGACTTCCATTCTGTGCCTTAATTGGGCAGGCTTGTTCCCATGATTACTACAGTTATATGGTCATGTTCAATGCGATTGAAACAGTGCCGATTTCTCATTGGAATTGAAAGGATTGCAGACGAATTTGGGATATGGTCTTCTTCAGTTATATGGTCTTCTTCATCTTGTTGCTCATTGTGCTCTTCTTGGTATCGCCATCTGCAGATAGATTTCACATCGAGTTATGCAGTTGAAATCATTCGAAAGCCAGAGCTTTTATCACCTCAGACGCTGCAGGCGAATTTGGGAACTCAGCTCAACCGTTTCAAGTCTTCCCTACTCAACCCCGATTTCAACCCACTTGTAAGAAACTCTCCGTCCTCCCATTCTCCTTGTCTATCCTCGACTTCACATCTAAAACTTTGACAACACAGAACCACAGACTTGATTGATGATTCACCATCATGAAACCACATTGATCTTTTTGTATAATGCATGGTCCTTGGATTTAGATAATGATTTCTATACATTTTCACTTCGTCTTTGAAGTTCAGCAAAGAAAAGAGAGAATGGAAATGTAAGAAAAACTGAACCATGATTTCGGAACGTTTTTGGCTTGAAGATATGAATTAGATTTAATCGTTCTATTTGAGCTGGTTGCTCTGGAAGACTGACTGCGGACTTCCATGGGATATCAGTACATGATCTCCATTGCTCTTCACTGCTCTGTGGGTAAATGTAAACTCACCAGCAAACAACACTTTGCAGTCCTGCTTAATTTCCTTCAAGCTTGGGCTCTTCTTGTTCCTCCATGACGGACAACAAAACCAATGTAAACTCACCAGCCAATTCAGACCTTATTGCAACCCAATCATATGCTCTACATGATCTTTTATTCAGCTGCAACTGCTCACAGCCAGCCAGCTCTAGATAAGCTGGCACTACTTGTATATACATATGTCCTCTTTGCTACTTCCAAACTGATTATTCGAATTCCGGCTTATTATTTGGCTTCACTACCAAGTAGTGCCAAAATTGATGTGTTTGTGTGAATTGATTTGGTCTCTTAGCAATTATAATAGACTAAAAAAGACCTTTCTTTCAAGTTTTCATCCAACATAATGATTTTGATCTAAATTAGGCATACATGCATTGTAGTTAACACTCTATAAATACAAATCTACAGTAGAACCCTTTATTTGTTATGAGCCTAAAAAGAAAGAACATTTGACTCTTGATTGGTTATGCCTAATAAGGAAGAATAAATATCTAATATATATTAGATATATGACTAATTACTAAACTGGTTAATTTGGTTTGATTGGTTAAGAGTGTCTGAAACCAAACCAATCCACCTAAATCAAGCAAGCAAAAAATTTGAATCAAACCAAACCAATTACCCAAATTAACCAAATCAAATTATACAAATACTATCAATTAAAACGGTTACCACAATAACCAGTTCGTTTGAACACGCCTCGTTTAACTTATAACGAAATTCGACATCATTTTCCGGCAACTAGAGCACGAAATAAACTTTGTGAACATCTACCTCCTCGGAGGTGATTATTCCGATACGCCGGCGGACATGCCTAATATATAGCTAATACAAAGCCAATTGGAATCTTTGACCGGTGGAACTGCCGCCTTTTCTGTTCCATTCGATTGTTTTCCCGGCGGTCATACTTATCACTATTGCTTCCTATCGGTGTCATTTCGTCTTTTTCAACGCAAATATACCATGGAAGCGATAAAATTGAAAAAACAAATAGCAATCTCAATTAAACAACCTCATCTAAAAGTTTAGATTATAAAATCATTCATTTTGAATGATTGTTTCTCTTACACCAAGCAAACAATGCTTGTATTGTTTATGATCGTCCAATCAATCATTGATGTCGTATTTTGTAATTGAGATACAGGAAAAAGTTCTAAAATAAAAGGGTTAGTAAAAAAAATTCCTCAATACACCACTTTTAAAAAAAAAAAATTTAAAATACTAGAGTTTGGAGGAGTTTGCTCTAGTGTCAAGCGAACTAGGTAATGGTTTGCTTGACACTAAAGCGATCCACACCCGAAGGGCGAACATCGCGGCTGGAACAAGTAGATGACACTCCAGTGAACTGCTCCAAACTCCAATATTTTGGGCGAATTTTTTGAAAAAAGTGTTGTATAGTGGAAATTTTTGTTTCCAACCATGTATTCTGAGGCTTCTTCCTTGAGATATGGCTCGTTTTTTTTTTAGTATAATAAATGAAAACGATCCTAGTATTGTTATTTCAAAAATTAATATCTTTCTAATATTATTGAACAAAATTATCTAGTGTTTATTCAATTTTCGTATTCTCCAAAATATCATAGTCCATTGTCATCATAGCTAGCTAATCCAATTTATCAAGAATTTATTACGTTATTATATAACACAAATATGATTTCAACAACCAATATATAGATACAGTATATATACACACATATAAAAATATTCATCAATAACTAGCACCAGTATTAATTAATCATACACAACAAGTTTAGTCCCTCTACTATTCAGAGCAGGACCTCTTAATACGCCCTATTGCCCCTTGTATACGTAATCTTCACGGGAAAATCGATGCATTTTAAAGAATGTACGAGACATGTATAGTAACAATCTCACCAAAATAATCAACGACGAAGTCTTAAAGCAACTTTCTTCTTCGTTGCCCAGCACCAAGCCCGCCCTGTAAAGACACGGTGGATCCTAAACGAAGGGAACCTGCTTACGTACAAGAAAGCGAAGCAATCAATAGAAACAGAACCACGGAGCCCCGGCAAGACGTTGAACGCTCGAACTTCTCCGGCCACCGTCACGGAGCAGGTGAAGTTCAGAGGTCTAGCGTCGCTTAAAGTAGTAGCAACAGTAACCCAATTCATGAACAGTTCGTCCATCTGGAGCGTCGGGGTCGTCGTGATGATCGTGTTAGAACGTTGGAGGACTCTGTCTTCTCGAATCGTTACCTAATATTAGAGTATGAGTCGTACGTAGTATTATATCATAGGGTAGTTTTGGATTATATGTGTGAATATGATTATTTACTATGTATTTTTATGAAACATGCACGCATCTCTATAATTTTTTTTACTCCAAAATTACCTCTGTACTCTAGGAAAATTATCAAACATAACATTTCCGTTATGTTGAAGTTTTCATCCGAATACCATTAATGGCGGTCCGGCTGTAGTTTGGACGATACAAATGTGTAAAATATTCCTAAAAGTTCAGTTTAACGAGACTTGGAGAAATAAAATGGAGAGGCTAAATAATGCTGACATTTCGCCTCTCATTTTGCCGTGGCTAGGGCAGGGCGTACGCGAACCACTGTTCGACCGTGATTGATGGTTTCCGATGAAAATTTTAATAAAACCGACATGTTTGATAATTATTTTAGAGTACAGCGGCGGTAGGTTTGAGGTAAAAATAATAGATGATCCTATTTAATAAAACTGTACAGTAGAGACACATTATTATTGTTCTGTAATTTGAATTTTGACAGAGCTATAATATTCCTGACCTCGCCGACCGGTTTCCCGGCGTATCTGATCGGAGCCGTGAAATTCGGCCACGCGAAGCTGGCGTAGTTTTGGTTGCCGATGCGGATGTCGACTCTGGACGTGAGGTTCCAGGAGCGGAGCAAGTCGTCCAGCCCGACGGTGGCGGGGCCGAAGGGGGAAACGGTGAAGGTGGGATCTCGTGGACGGAAAGTGGCGATTGCCGAAGCAAACACTATGACGGCGAGCAGAAGTACTGCCGCCGATATTGCCCAACATCGTTTGAACCGTTTGGGAGGTGTTTCGCCGCCGGCGTCGGTTTTCATCGTGAGAAATGTGGGGATGGGATGGATTTCTTCCCGTTTGTTTATGGCTAAATGGATATATATATATATATATACATGTATAGGAACTCATGGAATCCTTAGTCTGACGACATTGACTAGGGAAAAGAAATAGTTTTTTCCATCTTCGGTTGCTTTTTTTCTTTTTTGAGAAAAAAAATCAGTTGATCTCCAATTGTTGGGGAGGTTAAATAATGTATTATATATAGTGTACTAGCACACATAAATTTGGAGTTTGTACAAGTTTGGATACCATGTGTTTAATAGAACAAATATGTGATAGTAAAGTCGAACTTGAATTTTCATTTTTAAGCTCCAAACACGAATAGAAAGAGTAAAATGTTAGGAAGAGGACTCGTATCAACGTTTTCGGGATCAACAAGACAAACTAATTCGTCATTTTGCACCACGAGCGAACACGTAGGAGTCATCATTGTCCTCATGAATCTAGGTGCAAAACTAAAGTAAACTTGTAAAAGCAAAGTTGAAATTTCATTCTCAAGCTCCTAAGCAAAGGACAGTAAATTACTAAGAAGAGAACTCAGCTCAACGTTTTCTGGATCAACAAGGCAAACTAGTTTGCCATTTTGCACGACGAGCGAACACGTAGGAGTCATCATAGTCCTCTTTAATTCATACTATTTAACACAATTTCACTAAAAAGATGCCAAATTAAAGTGAACCATAAAAAACAAAGTTGAATTTTCTATTTCCAAGGCCCAAACTAAACAAGAATAGTAAAATATTAGAAAGAGGACTCGTATCAATGTTTCATAATCAACAAGGCAAGCTAATTTCTAATTTGCCATTTTGCACAACGAGCAAACATGTAGAACTAGAAGTCATTATTTTCCTCTTCAATCCTTACTTTTCACAGAATTCCACCAAAATATACTAATTTAAAACATGATATCCTAATTTTCGAAAAATGAAACTGAATGAATATACTCGGAGACCAAAAATAAAATGTTCAAGAAGTATACAAACACACCTATGTTGGGATCTCATTGTCATTATTGCTCACCAAAAAGCGAATATTGTCTAATAGAGACCACATACTATAGCATGTTGATAAATCATTCGCATGAATCACTTTTGTATCGAAGGATTGACATACACAAACTAATGCGAACAATATATCGCTTGGGGGAACCCTTATTAAGGGTGCGCACCTCTGATTTTTTTTTTTTTTTTTTATAAGGGGTGTGCACCTCTTGAAAATGAAGGAAGAAATGTAAAAGGTTATTTGGTCCATGTCCTGATGGATGGATGAAGTAGCCTTATATATGTCCTTGGTCCTTCACATTTCAGTCAATCTTTCATTTTATTATTAATAAAAACTCTATGCCAACGTTGAAAGTTCCTAGCTTGCTTCCCACTCTTACAAAATTTTCAACTTGGGATCCATAACGAAACGAAGATTCGATTTTGTTGAAGTCTTCACTACTTGGTCACCAACAAGCACGCATATATCAACTTGGTCTCCACACTCTTTCGAGTCTCCTGGTGGGCTTGCTGGATAGCCCAGAATGGGCGAATGAAATGAGATTTGCCCAATGGATCAGGGCCCCTATATGGACACCCTTTTATCCAATATCCTGTTACGCTCAAAGGGTTCATGGGCTGAGCTAAGTGATAAACTTTATGTCCTCTCTTCATTTTCCGTCCATCAGAACTCACGGCTCACGGGTATCCATGAACTCGTGGATATTCAGTTGGTTGGATTGGATTTGAGTTTTCAGAACTCAGTTCGTCATTTTATCAGATTTTTTTTATGGATTTAGGAGAATCCGAATTAACCAGACTCATTGTCATCCTTAAAACATGTTGGATGCCTAGTCAGCAATACTGTCACGCTCACTGACTGGGGCAATCGTCAATAACAAGAAAGACAGCGATGAACAAGAAAGTAAAGAACACAAGAGTTTACATAGTTCACTAACACAACCTGTGTTAGTTAGTTCACGGGCGAGAAAGAGCCAGCTTCACTATACTTGAGAAAATTACTGATTATCGAGGAGTAAGAGAAGCATTTACACAGTGCTTCTCCAATGACTTAACCATAATCCAATATGATAATGAATAAGATTACAGACCAGGTCAAGACCAAAATCGAGTCGACTTATTCAAAACGAACCTCCCAATCCTCAACTTCCCCCGAGGCTGAGTAGAAACTGACATTAATCAAGCACTCCTGAGACAGAAACCACCATCAACCAAAAGGTTCAACCCACTAAGGTACCTAGACTCATCACTGACCAAGTTCAGCGCGACCTCCGCGACATCCTTCGGTTTCAGAACAACTCCTTTCAGGTTCCCCATCGCCGTGAACATCTCCTCCAGAGCCTTCTCGTCCAGCCCCATCGACTCCTCGCACATCGGAGTCGCAACCCCGAACGGCGAGATGCAGTTCACACGAATCCCAAACTCCCCAAGCTCCACGCACAGGCTCTTCGCCAGCCCCACCACCGCGTGCTTCGACGCCGTGTACGTGTGCGTCGCGAAGCCGTAGCTCGCCGTTGCAACGCTGCCAGTCAAGAGGATGGTCCCGCCCTGCTTCTGCGGGACCATCACCCTGGCAGCGTGCTTCGCTGCCAGGAACGATCCGTACACGTTGACGTCGAACACCTTCCTGAACACTTCCCGCTCCACGGAAAGTATGCCTACTTTCTTCTTCTCGAGCGGGTTGACCTTCTCCCCGGCTATCCCGGCGTTGCCGTACATGATGTCGAGCTTCCCGTGCATCGAAACGGCGGTGTCAACTGCGTTTTGCATGTCCGAGTCGTTTACGACGTCGCATTGGACGTACGAGACCGGGTGGCCCGACTCGAGTTGGATCTGCTCGGATACGGAGCGGCCCAGGTCGGACCGGATGTCTGCTATCACGACTTTGGCGCCGTGCATAGAGAAGAGCCGCGCCGCCGCGGCACCGATCCCTCTGGCTCCGCCGGTAATGAGGGCTACTTTGCCTTGTAGTCTTCTCGCCATGGTTTGCTATAGGCAGGGGAGATGCAGAGCTCTTCTATTTAAGGGCAGATTCAATCGGACGGTATTTGGAATTTGCAACCCGAACATGCGACACTTGTTCATGGTGAACCGTCCACTTGTGATCGGACATCTCTTGGTTTTTATTGTAACGGTCGCAAGTGGGGTTTTGATCGTCGGACAGCGGGCGACGGTGACACATGAATCGGCGATGTACATTTGGCAGTCGGGGCGCTGGCCAGTTGCTCCTCCACCGTCACCTTTCTTCCAGCCCTAGCCTTCACCCGCACGTTACTACTGACTCTCTGCTGTGGCTGCAAATTCATTTCATCTTTTTTTTGTTTGTAGTTTAGCCACCTAACTCTCTTTTTTCTTTTTGTTGAATGAGGCAGCAGGACTTTTTCTTTGTTTTGTGAATTTAGGGCTGGAAATCGGTATGTACCGGTTCCGGTATAATTTGGTATTAAATATTGAATTATGATTATCAAATATTGTCCTAAACTCAACCTCAATCTTAATCATAAAATAAATGTGGTATCCCAATTGGCAATTGCTGATATTTTGTTTTGTATCAGTATATATCAAATATCAAATTAATTCTTTTCAAAATTAAAAATCGAATATATAAAATACAAATACTTATTTTATGTTTGCAGCTCCACAAGACATTCTCAAAATATGTTTAGAAAACTAATTGTGCTAACATTCGTGCAAAATATATATATATATATATATCGTATAACAATAACAAACTAGAAAAATGAGGTGTCTAAGAAGAGAAATAAAGAAAATGACACATCATGAACCATAACTGCGGATGGATATCTTATCATGTCATGACTTTAGATCTCTAGCATAAATGTGATATGGAGACTTGGTGGTTGAATACAAGTTGCCGTATTGACTATTGATGGCCGGTGCTAGCTGTCGTATTGATGGCGTCCCTTCAGAAGTTCAGATTGAGCGATTAAATAGAAGAGCTCTAAGGGGTCGTTTGCTTCATGGATTTAAAAATGAGGGTTTTGTAATTTAAAACCCCAAGGATTTATCAAGGATTTGAGGCATCATGGATTTGTAACAATCCTTTGTTTGTTGGGATGTTTTTATCATGGATTTAAAGGTGTGGGATTTACTACTTAAAGTCAAAAATTACATTACTGTCCTTTTCTATATGTTTGACATGTTTATGATATGTACACAAAACAAGGACAATACATACTAATAAGCATAATGTTGCCACATGGACAATAATAATAAACGAGAAAAATTCGTTTTAACTTTTAACGTAACATAATCAATTACCAATTCTTTGTCCTCCTTTTCAAAAGTGACATATAACAACATATATTAGAATCGGGAGAACAAAGAATTACACGTTCCATGAAAAGGTCAAAGAAAACTAGAACACAAGAAATGATATAAAAAATCTAACTCATGTTTGCACATTAATTGAACGTTTATATTATTCATTTATTGTTAATTATAATGTATAATAGTTAAATTTGAGGGCAACCTTGGAATATTAAAAGTGCATGAGGGTATATGGGTAAAATCTCATCAAGGATTTATGTCATATTCCAAATCCCACATCAACATGTGGGATTTATAAGTCCGTGGGGTCCACGGATTTGGACCCTTGAAATCCGTGGGCCCCGCGGATTTGGTCTCCAAAAAAGTTGCAAGCAAACAACGGATTATACCTAAATCCTTGATAGTTGGTTTTTTGGTACCAAATCCATGTACCAAATCCTTGAAGCAAACGACCCCTAAATCTCTCTCCCTATCTATAGCAACCATGGCGAGAAGGTTACAAGGCAAAGTAGCTCTCATCACCGGCGGAGCCAGAGGGATCGGCGCTGCGGCGGCGCGGCTTTTCTCACAGCACGGCGCCAAAGTCGTGATAGCCGACATCCGGTCTGACCTGGGCCGCTCCGTATCCGAGCAGATCCAACTCGAGTCGGGCTACCCGGTCTCGTACGTCCAATGCGACGTCGTAAACGACTCGGACATGCAAAACGCAGTGGACACCGCCGTTTCGACGCACGGGAAGCTCGACATCATGTACAACAACGCAGGGATAGCAGGGGAGAAGCTGGACACCCTCGAGAAGAAAAAAGTAGGCATACTGTCGGTCGACCCGGAGGTGTTCAGGAAGGTGTTCGACGTCAACGTGTACGGATCGTTCCTGGCAGCGAAGCACGCTGCCAGGGTGATGGTCCCGCAGAAGGGCGGGACCATCCTCCTGACTGGCAGTGCTGTGACTGCCAACTATGGCATGGTGCCGCACGTGTATACAGCGTCGAAGCACGCGGTGGTGGGGTTGGTGAAGAACCTGTGCGTGGAGTTGGGGGGGTTTGGGATTCGAGTGAACTGCATCTCGCCATTTGCGGTTGCGACTCCGTTGACTGAGGAGTCGATGGGGCTGGACGAGAAGGCTTTCGAGGAGATGTTCTCGACGATGGGGAACCTGAAAGGAGTTGTTCTGAAATCGAAGGATGTTGCGGAGGTGGCATTGAACCTGGTGAGTGATGAGTCCAGGTATCTTAGTGGGTTGAACCTTTTGGTTGATGGTGGTTTCTGCCTCAAGAGTGCTTGATTAATATCAACTTCAATTCACCTTGGGGTAAGGATCGATAGATTATTTTTGAATAAGTCAACTCGATTGTGGTATCGGATCTAATATGTTCATTTCATATTTGTGCGCACATTCAAATCGACTAAAATATGTCATATGTTCACATGAGATATATCATATTATTAATATAAAGGTGTCGTGTAATATAACGTTAAATAAGTGTGAAATTGTAATAGACATAATAGTATGGTAGATGAATGAGCCATCCATTAGGTGAGTGTTTGTTTCTAATTTTGAATTCTTCACTTCTTACGACTCTAATTACTTATACACGGTCGATAATATTGGATAAATCACGTTACATCACCAAATTATCTCTTTAAAAGAACAAGTTACAAGTTTACTGTTTCTTAGAGTCACATCCAAACACTGTGACTTGGTTTGCTTTTTTGCCTCTTGTTCTCCTTTCTGATTGGCCCTTCTTCTGAGTTCTGACATGCATAGGTGGCTCTCTTTTGTAATTAACCATTAACCAAGACTTTACTGAGGACTAAAAATGCAATTATGTTTTATTTCTTTATTCCTTTCCTCTCTCCTTCACTTATTCCCATCCATTCATTTTCACCACTCCCGTAACTCCTCCCCCCTCCATCAATCTTCATCCCTCCCTCTCTCTCTCTTTCATTAATCTTATGTTTAATGATTTCTTTTTATGTACCTAAATTCATGTGTACTCAATTTAATTCGATCCGGTTTCGGTGTTGCCGAATTTTTGGTCCGCAACATATTTTACCAACTTTTGTAAATGACGAATTGGGTTGTCTGTCGCTTTTGTTAAAAACTATATTCAACCTGATTCGACCCAGTCCCGATGTTGCCAGATTTTGGTTGGGAACGAATTTTACCCTCTTTTGTTGAGTCGGGTGTACTCAATCTAATTCGATCCGGTTTCGGTGCTGCCGACTTTTTTATCGGCAACAGATTTTACCAACTTTTGTAAACTTTGGAGGAGTTTTTGTGCCATTAACGTTCTAATTAATTAACTTATGACAATTGAGCCCAAATTGGACAAAAAACAATGAGTATCTGACCTAATTCCACTCGGCGTGAGCGTGTTAAACCGGACATTGACAAATTTTTGGTCGACAATGAGTTTTGCATGCTTGAATCAATGGATGTTTGACCTAATGTCGACCCGACTAAAGCGAGTTGAACACAATATTGACGAAGTTTTGGTCGAGGTCGAGTTTTACATGTGTCGGATTGGGTCGTTTTTTTTTAATAAAAAAAAAATGCTTGTTCTCATTGGCCTTTTCTCTGACGTTACTTGCCTGCTTTTTTGCTTGTTCTTATTGTCCCTTTCTCTGACATCTTGGAGCTCGTCCTGTCACTTCCAATTAATCCCCTCTTCCACTTCTTTTTTAGTTTTTTTACTTTCTCCTCTTATCTCTCACGTAGAAGGAGAAAAGGAAGATCTTTCCCCTCACTTAGTCCCTCTTATCCCTTTTCCATTATTTATTTATCTTTAAAAGAACAAGTTACAAGTTTACTGTTTCATAGAGTCACATCCAAACACTGTGACTTGGTTTGCTTTTTTGCCTCTTGTTCTCCTTTCTGATTGGCCCTTCTTCTGAGTTCTGACATGCATAGGTGGCTCTCTTTTGTAATTAACCATTAACCAAGACTTTACTGAGGACTAAAAATGCAATTATGTTTTATTTCTTTATTCCTTTCCTCTCTCCTTCACTTATTCCCATCCATTCATTTTCACCACTCCCGTAACTCCTCCCCCCTCCATCAATCTTCATCCCTCCCTCTCTCTCTCTTTCATTAATCTTATGTTTAATGATTTCTTTTTATGTACCTAAATTCATGTGTACTCAATTTAATTCGATCCGGTTTCGGTGTTGCCGAATTTTTGGTCCGCAACATATTTTACCAACTTTTGTAAATGACGAATTGGGTTGTCTGTCGCTTTTGTTAAAAACTATATTCAACCTGATTCGACCCAGTCCCGATGTTGCCAGATTTTGGTTGGGAACGAATTTTACCCTCTTTTGTTGAGTCGGGTGTACTCAATCTAATTCGATCCGGTTTCGGTGCTGCCGACTTTTTTATCGGCAACAGATTTTACCAACTTTTGTAAACTTTGGAGGAGTTTTTGTGCCATTAACGTTCTAATTAATTAACTTATGACAATTGAGCCCAAATTGGACAAAAAACAATGAGTATCTGACCTAATTCCACTCGGCGTGAGCGTGTTAAACCGGACATTGACAAATTTTTGGTCGACAATGAGTTTTGCATGCTTGAATCAATGGATGTTTGACCTAATGTCGACCCGACTAAAGCGAGTTGAACACAATATTGACGAAGTTTTGGTCGAGGTCGAGTTTTACATGTGTCGGATTGGGTCGTTTTTTTTTTAATAAAAAAAAAATGCTTGTTCTCATTGGCCTTTTCTCTGACGTTACTTGCCTGCTTTTTTGCTTGTTCTTATTGTCCCTTTCTCTGACATCTTGGAGCTCGTCCTGTCACTTCCAATTAATCCCCTCTTCCACTTCTTTTTTAGTTTTTTTACTTTCTCCTCTTATCTCTCACGTAGAAGGAGAAAAGGAAGATCTTTCCCCTCACTTAGTCCCTCTTATCCCTTTTCCATTATCTCTCCCACGTCAGAATCTCTTCCAACCACTCATCTCAAAGAAGAAGAAACTCACCCCTTCTATCCCTAGCAACCACTAATCTCAAGGAAGAAGAAGAAACCCACCCTTGCAGATCAATTTCTTAAACGTTTTCCAGTTCATCTTCGATTTCGATTCTTTTTGTTGAACTCCCAATCCCGACGGCCACATGTCTCGGTCGACACTTGCAGTTTACACTTGTCTTTCTCCATCTAAGCTTCTTCTTCGGCGAATCGACGAAGGGACGAGGCAACCAGACTTCTTCTCTCGGCCATAGGTGCTTACGACGAGCTATTGCTTCATCATCAGTTTTCCTCTCTGTTTCAGTTTCATTATAGTCTCTGTTCCGCTCTCTCTTGCTGATTTTGTATTGGTTTCTTTGTTCTCTTTGTTTATCACAGCCGGCAGATTTGAGAGGTTCAGTGATGGTGTGGAGAAGAAGCTAATCTCCAGGATTCCTATGATAATCGGTGTTTTGCGTGACGGTTTGGAGAAAAATCCGATCTCCAGGTTCCGTACTGCAATTGGATTTCAGGTGACGGTTCTTTCTGGGATTAGTTTGTTAACTCTGTTTTCTTCCTTTCATGGTTTCGTTCTCATTCTTTCTTCTTTTGGAGGGTTTCTTCGTCCCCTTTCCGAGGAGGTTGGGTCACCGAGGTATATTACAAGGATTCCGATGGTAATTGATGTTCTGCCGTGCCTTATCCGTAACCTTATGAACGAGCAAAAGCGAGCGATGGGTGGCCGATATGTCAACGGAGTTTTTGTCAACTTCCTATTCCACTGCAGGTTCCTTATTCTATATAGAAATTGACAGGTTTTTCTTTAAACTTTGCATCTAACTTTATTTAACCTCTGTGTAGTTTTAATCAAAGTGGTTTTGCGTTGTTCTTTTTTTGTTTTCCATCCTCAGTCGTGTTTGGTTGCCTGGGATTGCTATCTGCTCTGATCTCCTTTCTTGCTGTCATTGTTTGTGTATGTACTGGTGATGAAACCCTGTATCATCATCAACTAAAACGTCATATGACAATGAGTTTTCTGGACCAAAAAGTGAAACAGAAAAGAAAAGTAACGAAATACAAACTATGGACACGATGCCTGAAGAGCTGGGCTTCGCCAAACAGTTGGTTGGGATTTTCCGCCATTAGTCAGGTGTTCTTATAAATTGTGACTTTAATCGGTTGTTTTCCAGTTTTAGTTTGTTCTTTTTACCGCTTAAGCATGTTGAACTTCTGTTCAATGTTTATTCTTTGTCTTTCACGTCTTTCCGACCACTCCTGCTTTGTTTTTTGCTCACTTTACTCTTGCTTGCTGTTCAATTTTTTTTTTTCATCGTTTCTCTTGGACTTAAAATCCTCAAGGTTGTTGCTCAGTTTTTATTCCTTTCTATATAGGTCATCACTGAGTGCTCTGAAATACAGTTCTTCATGGAACTCCTGGTGGTTGGTGCTTAGAGCTACCAAAGCTACAAGCTATCCTTCTGAGCTTGGCTGGGTAATGATATCTTGGAGTTTCAAGAAGATGTTAGCAAGGTAAGCTTCTCTTCACCATCTTAGCAAGTATGTATGATGAATGCTTGCCGGTTCAGTGAGTAGTTTGCTGCATTGTATATCATTTTTAACAAGCATGATGCTGACCCTGATATGGGGATGGATCCACAGTTTGACAGTTGCCTTCCAACGGCTGCTCTTTATCTCAAGCAATGATTGACAACAACTATTTTGATTCGTGCAAGTTAGTTCTCTGCTTTATATCTCTTCCTCTTTCATCTACTCTTTTTTTTTTTCTTTCGCTGTATTCAATCCCGCTACCACAGAATTTTTCCTATTTCATTCTAGGATTTACTCTTCCTGATTGGTGAGAAGATTTAGTTTCTCAGACAACAATTGGTGACCCATTGACTGTCGAATAGGTGGGAGTCAAATGTAGGATCTCATAATAAAGAAATCAGTTTCTCTTTTACCTTAGAAAATTTCACTGTTTTTTGTCTGTACATGCATGTTATACTAAGATCATAGCTGCCGGAAGAAGATAGAATAGTAAAACTCATCCACGGAAGTTCATATCGGCAAGGAAAAAACTATTTATAGACGATTATGTATGCCCGATGACAATATTGATCTGGTAAGCCTCTGCTTTTTGGATTTTGTTCTGTTTATATTCTGGGTCTCTTCCTTTCTTTGATCTGGTTTCTATATGTTTTTGTTTTGATTTGATTTCCGCCAAGGGAAAAGTGAGAAGAAGTCGCCATCGCCATTTCTCTCTCCATCTCATGAAGAAGAAGAAGAACCAGCTTCCGGAATGATCTCCAACTCGCTCCTGCCGGCTTCAGTTCCTGTCCCTTCTTCTCTTGAATCTAACCTTTTATTCTTCTTTCCCAGGTTATCTCTTTCTTTTTTCAGATTCGCTTGCCACATAGCTCCCATCTTTATATGTTTTTTTGCCACAAATCCGATCTCTTTTCTGGTGGTCAATCCATGAAGGCAATGGAAGGAACCTCCCCAATGATGACAGGTCACTAGCTCCTCTCTACCTTTCCAGTTTCATCATGGTATTGTTATTGCTGATTTGGGGATTGTTGGTTTTCTTTTATTTGGGTCTATCTTTCTTATTTCCACGTTGTAATTCTGATTTCCAGATTAAAACTCTCTCATAGGATGCAGCAAAAAACCAACAGTCAGTCTTTGTCATTGCTGGAACACTAGGAATCCCAATTAAACTCCTTTTAGGGTTCTCTGTTTGGCAGATTGATGTTGAGGTATCCCCTTTGTCATTCTACAACGCCTATCCATGGTCTCACTACTCTAGCTCCACCGTTGTTGTGGAACGTTCAGCCTTTGTGTTGGATTCTTCACTTAGTGCCATTTTCCACTGCATGAACACAGAACTGTTAGGTTTCTTCGATTTGATTACTCAAGACATTTTATGAGTTGATGATACATTTGAAATGGGTTCCTGCTTTTTCCAGGGAAGCGCTTCATCGTAATGCCTCTTGAGAGGATGCATCGTCGTGGTGGGTTGTTGGTCAGTGGGGGTTCTGTTCAGGCCATCACTACCAAACAATTGCAGTTTGGATTGGGGTCAAACCGTCACTAGCCTATTCCTTAGACCCCCTTCTAACCCTTCGTGATATGCATCAATCCGAGTAATGCCTGTGTGATTTTTGTACGGCTGTTTTGCTGGTTTTAAGATGAGAATTAAACAAGTATAAGAGGGTGCTTTATGCTTCTGTTGCTGAGCCATCTCAATGGTGACTTGCTGGATGCATCCAGGCGTATAGAGTGGTGGAGATGACTATGTTGTTCAGGTATTTTCTTCTGTGCTTTTCTGATACTTTTGATTTTCATGAATAGTTATGGTTAGAGTATTATTATTGGATTCCTTTTAGAATCCAGTGAAAATTATTGTTGTCGGTGTGATATTTTCCTTTTTTCGTCAAAGCACGAGACATGATTCTACATTGCCTATTTCGTACAAGTCAATGCACTTCACCAACTAACGCAGCTCAAACCAATGGATTGAAGTTTACCTTCAATATCCTTTTTTAGGTCCCATGTCTGCACCAGTAATACTCCCACTGAAATCCAAATAATTAGCTCACTCAACAATTGAATAATGCTGGGTTGTGATTAATGATGTTGTTGTTGGTTTTTGTATGTTTTTTATCTTCCGCGTACTGTTTATTTATTACTCGTGAACAAGCGCCGCTGGTATTGAGTCAGAGTCAGACACTGCACCATGTTGCCATTTTTGTAGCCTGAACCTGTTTTCAATCATTGCCAGTTATATGTTTTGATCTCGTGTGTCAATCAACTGAAGGCTGCAGTTTTTGACACTGAGCGAAGAAAGTGTTGGAAACCACACTTGCAACAGTGTTTATTCAGAAGCTTTCGAAGAACTAGAAGCCACCACTTGGTCCTTCTATCACCAATGCAAGGTATTTCCTTTTCTGATATGTTGTATTTAGTCCCAAATGGGCTAGCTTCCCTTGACAAATTTTGTCAGTCATGCATAAATAACAGAAGCCTTTAATTAAGTGTTATTGTTTTCACTTAATTACAGGATTCTTGAAGATGTGATGTTGCTGGATGGAATAGGTGACAACGAAGGCCGTCCTCTGTTCAACGTACATGCAATGTAAGTACCTGGTGAATGGGATCCATTTTTGATTTTACAATTTGTTTCGCGGATATTGTAGTTTTTGACAAAATCCTGAAAGTAAATACTGTTAGAATCCCAACCCACTAAATTGGTTGTCTATGTCATCTTCACAATTTAAAGTTTAATTGAATTCTCATTCAAGCCAGCTTACATGGTAGTTCTGTGAGTCAAACATCCGAGTGTCAAACGACAATACTTAAAATGTTATATGACGAAAATAGAGCCAGTGAGGTTAATAGAAAATTCATTTAGCTTTTTCTGGAGTTCATGCAGCCTAACACAACTTCCTCTTACAATGAACATTAAAACAGTACAATTTCAGTCGAAAGTATAGAAGGAAACAACGTCTAGCCAGAGTAAAAATTACATAGCTTGCCTCTGCATTCACATGACTATTGACTGGGATATTTTTATCTTGGCTCAACTGACTTAGGCTTTTACCCATTGTAAGGATTTCATTTTACTTACTCATTTGCTACTTTCACCGCCTGCAATCTGCATAGTAGGATGTCATTTGTGGTTTATAATGGTCCCTAACATTATAGATTTTATGGTTTGGTTTTGTTTGTGCCTATAGTTTTATGGTTGCCCATATGCTTTGCTCTACAGTTTGTAGCCGGTCTGTTCTGATGTGGCACCAAGGGTACATGGAACTGTGGATTAGGAGGTATAGCGATGCACAACTCAACTTGCGTGTGCATTGCTTCATTATGATTAATTGAGGTTTGTTCTTCTATAACTTCTTCTTTTATTCCCTTTACATGTTCTGTTCTCTAATGTGGTCTCGGTTCTTTTCCCCCCTTTTTGCCAGAGCTTTGCTGTACAAATAGGGAATGAATTGCATATGCAATTGAGAGGACTAGAGTTGAATATTGTTATTCTAGGATGAGGAGGAGAAGGTCATGTTACAGCCAGGTATTTGTTTTCCTATAACGGTCTGAAACTTTGGTTCCTACAAACCCAGTTTTAAGTTTTCATGATGTGAAATAATTTGAATGATCTTTAGCAAGCAACCATGTGGAAAAAAATGAATAAATTTACCATAGTTACTAGATAATTGGTGAAGTTTAATCAAGCGATAAATGCCAGATTGCCTGCTCTCAATTCCCAAAGAGTTGTTGAGTTAGTAAATAATTCATATATTCAATTGTGTTAATTTTATTGTTTTCATGTACCTTATATGTAATTTATAAAGGGTGTTTGCAGCCATTAACTAATTGGTATGTTTTCAAAATGATTTACTCCTCAAACCAACAGTTAGGTGGCCTGACAATTCTATGTGTTCAAATTCACTCTCCTTTCCTTTAGCTATGGACTCTGCTGGTGTTTCATTTCAGAATTTCAGTTATGGCGTGGAGAAGAATTCCAATTTCGTTTTTATTCTCATTTCCACTCTCTCTTTCTGATTTTGTATGAGTGTTTATGTTCTCTTCCTTCGAGATGGGTGCCTATTTTAATCACAAATGCCGGATTTGTGAGGTTCAGTGGCAGTGTGGAGAAGAAACTAATCTCCAGTTTCCACGACGCTTTTAGATTTCAAGTGATTGTTCTCTCTCTGTGATTAGTTTGTTTACTCTCTTTTCTTGATGGTTTCGTTTCCATTCTTTCTTTTGTCAGGGGGTTTGTTCGTCTGCTTTCAAAGGAGGTTCGGACGGCGAGTTTTGTGGCAAAGAAATTGATCTCAAATTCTTAGGAAACTTTATTGCCCGTTGAGCTTGCGAAGCAACAGGCGGAACCTACTGTGGTGGTGAGCTACCTCTCTTGATCTGATTCCTTTCTAAGGTTCATGTTTACTTGGATATTTGTTTAGATCGTTTGTTTGTTCTCTACTAGGAGTGGCGACGACTGTTTCACCGGCCACTTCATAGCAGATTTTGCACTCTTGAAGGTTAGGTACATTCTTTTTATAGGCTGAAACGAATGCAGTTAGGATCTGTAGTTGTTGAATGTGTTATTGGCTTATTGCTCTGTAACCCAACTGCTATAAATTCTATCAGGGTCCTGCAAATTCGAAAAACTCTTTCCAGTTCGTGCACTTTATGATGTTGTTTTTTTCCTTCCAAGCTTGATGTGAATGTACGACATCCCAATTGCTGGTAGGACAGTTGGTGTGATTTTCGGTTCTCAAACTTCTATTTACGGCACTTGACTCCTGCTATAATATCTATGCACTTCACTGCTACTTATGTCAATTGCATATGTACCATGTAGGTCTTTGAAAGTTCGAATCTTTGCTAACTTATCCATAAAAGTGCGCTTCTTTGCTCTTGGTTATATATTCCTTTCTTCATGATGATGCCTTTTTCGGTTTAAAATTTTGGAGGTTTGTGTATGGATATAAGAAATAATTGGTGTGGCCTTATCTACTTTTCTTTGCCCTGGAGGAAATAGTATTTGATTCCTGTCTTGGACGTCTCAGGAATTAAGACCTTGGAAAATTGATTTGCCTTCACTTGATCCTGGTGAGCATCTCTACTTCTTTCATTTGGTTTTATGCTCTGCCTATTTACTTCATTCTACCATTTGATTCTTTGAGATTTATTTTCTAGGGTCATGGTTAGACTGCATTTGGTTTAGTAATTTGGTTGATTTCCTCATTATGGCGTTTGATTAGCTCCCAATTTTTGAGGTTATGCTTCAAAGCCCTCATTTGGATATGATTTCTGAGTTGTTGATTTTGCGGGGAAAAGCCAATTGAACTTTGATGATTAGGGATGATCAGACGAACTCCTCATTTCTTCCTAAAAAATTGTTTTCATACTTTGAAAAAGGATAAGTAACCATAAAACAAGTACCTAATACACTCACAAGAGAAGAGCTTCCTGTTGTACCATATACTACCTGGGCTTGGATTTCTTTGGAGTTCCTTTAATGTCTGTTGATGCAATTGTTGAGTTCTATTTTTGGCTTTTTTACGCTTTCCTCACCATATTCTGTGTAGTCTCTGATAGCCCGTGTGATTATGTCTCTGTCAACCATATTATGTGTACTCTCTAACCGTTGGATTATCGGATGCAATTTCTTCTAGGGTTGTCTCTCTGAGCTTTTTACTAATTTGTCTCTATGGGCTATAAGATGGGATACAGTGCTGAGGGGTTTAGGAAGCTCAATCCTTTTATTTGTTTTCCATTGGTTATGTTCTGATGTGGTTTTGGCATTATCCAATCAGTTGATACAACCCTTTTTAGTGTCCTCTTTACAGACAACTGATTAGTGTTTTTATTTCCCTTTATTCCTTTAACCCTCAGTTGACTCCTCAAATCTCTGGCCTAGGAAGACATGATGGACGTACTTGGGAGTTTTTAATTTATTTTTACTTCGGTGGTTGAATTGGAACTGCCTGCTTGATTGCTCATTTTTGTTTTAATGTATACATGGACTACTTGAGTTTGACTAAGGTTGCTATCTGCTGTAATGATCCATCTTTTGTCATCTCAGACTCGACCCGTAATGGCTCGGAAATTCAGTTCTACTGATCTATGACCTTCCTCTGTAAGTTCATTTCTTATCACTTCCGACTCTTTCCTTTATTTATTGACATCCAATTGAGAATGAAGGTTTATAAGTTGTTTTAGGGATCATTTTCTGTAGTTACGATTGTCCGTTGCCGCCCCATCATTCTGTGTCACTAAAGACACAAACCAAGAAGCACTGACCTATAAATAGAAACTACTATCTTTTCCCATAAGTGAATTCGGATTTGAATGCTTGTGTTCTTCTCAATCATGTTAGTTTTGTATTATCTATAGCTTACTTTTCACGATTCTCCTTACCCTTCTTTTACTCTTTCCGGATGCTTTTTACCCGAATTATCTTGCTATCTTACCTATGCCTTACATCAAGTTTATTGGGTTTCTCCTAATATCAGGTCCTTGCCTATCTTTCAATCTGTGAAGAAAGGGCAAATCTTTAGCTGACTCCTCACTCCCATGATGAGGTGCTTTTATGCAACTCCTAAGACCTACTCACCTTAGGTTGACCGAACCGTTGCCATCAGTCATTGATTCTCTTTCTTCCATTTCTACTAGAAGATACAAAGGTTAGCTCTTACCTATTCATTCTTTTGGCATAGAACCAGAAAACTTGAGAAACTTATAGACCCTGTAGTCAATAGCACGGTTTGAATGTCTCTAATGTAGTGTTCTATAGGTGATTAACCTGTCACCCTTCTTTCCCTTTAGAGATTTTACAATTTGAATTCATAGTGGCTTGAAACCAAGTGTTTATAGTTTTGTTGCCATTTAATTCTTTGTAATATGACTGCATTTGTAAGCCTACTTTCTCATGTACCCAATGATTATTGGTTCAGGATTTTGGTCATCAATACTGTTGTTTACTGTTGAGGTTGAGGCGTATGAGTTATCTTTTTTCCAGCATGTGCTCTGCTGTTTCAAGTTTCTTTCAGAAAGAATCTCATTGAGTTTGTCTAGAGCGTAGGTTTTCCCATGTCATGGTGCCGCTTTTGCATTTCACATACTATGGTAACCCTTTGCATTTCACAGTACAATTTGGTTTTTGCCAGCAATTAGCTCTTATTTTCCTTCTGGTTGACTGGATACCTTTTGTTTTTGAAACACACTTTATAGTGAGCGGACCTTTGCCGATCAAACTGTTTGAATGTTCTTTTTCAGGTGAATTACATGAATGTTCTAAGTTGTCTATGTTTTCTTTGTTTCTTCTCAACTCGCTCTTGCCCGTGAATTGCAGTTGTTGCCTACAGATGTACAATTCCAGAGATAGAAGCATAGAGCAACACAAATTTGTGCTTCCTTCGTCTGGAATCAAGCTAATTTGGTTAGACAGATTATATCCAAAATACATAGACAGACACGCGTTATGGTATAGAACTTAATTAACATAATAGGGCCATGTATGCACTGTATTTTGCACTATGTAGTTCCTCTATGGCTTGTGGGTTATTGTGCTCTTGAAGTTGGCAAAGATGAATTAATTTACTGGGAATTTTCCTGCTGTACTGCTTGCTGGCCTTTCTTCTTAAGTCAATTCTACTATAGAGTCGTCTACTTATATTGGGTTGTGCAATAGTGCTTGAAGGTCTTTCGCGTTAGAAACATTGGTAATGATCCTTTCTCAGGAAAGTGCGTGTGTGTTCCATGCTGCTTCATCACGATGAGATTTGGAGCGCCATAACGGACAATTAAACTCTTCTGGAAGTCAATTAATTAAGGACACTTAGTTAATTATTATCATTATTATTATGATGAATATGATGGTTAGAGTTGAAACATTCTAATAAAAATATTGATCATGGTGTTCTATTGTATTTACCATTTGATATGATTTATTTGAACGGGCTATTCTTGCAGTTTTTTGGTCCGCTGGAGCCTGGAGCAGAGTTGGTGAGTCTTCATCTTTGCCTTGCTCAGTTGTGCCCAATATCTAATGCAGCCACTCATGTTACAAATTGACAGAAAGTCTTATCCTTGAGATGGTCGGTTTATTAATTTCTACCAGTTTTGAATATGTTCCTTCTATATTGTTGTGTTCAACAGTTCGTTTTGCCTTGCCTGCTTACGAGCCTCCCGTTCTTAGTTCTTTACTCCACCATATTCCCTTTTGGTTTCGTCTTCATGTTTCAAAATTTTCCTTTAACATAATAGGAGGGTGTGACCTTTTTAGTTGTCAGTTGTATATGTAGTTGAATACCAACATAAAGTTATCATACAGATTAAAATAGTCTATTGAAATATTTCAAGGATGCATAATTTTTGACACAGTTTTTATTAGTTCTTTGAGAATTGGTTTTTGTCTTCAGACAGGCTGCACCAACTGTGGTACAGGAGAACAGAAAGGGAAGTCCGACTTTAATAAAGCTTTACTTAGCAGCAGGAATACGCTAGCGCCTCTCAATGTAGCCTGATGGGAGCCACCCTGATTTCCCTTTGCACAAGCTACAGTCGTGCTATTAGCTTGACAACTTCAAAGTGTAGTTATGTTTAGCTCCAGTTGACCTTTTCTATTGTTATTGCACAGGGTGGCATCTGTGTTAATATTTATTCAGAAATTCAAGAACCGAATGCTCATTTCGGTGCAGCATTTGTTTTCTATGCATTGAACATGTAAGCAAAGAAATTGTAGGATTCATTGCCTTCCACACCTGAGGTGTTGAGTTGATTACGATATCAGTTGTCAGGTTAAGTATTCATTTGACAAGCTCATTAGTATTTGTTTCATGATTATTGACAAATCATGATTGTTTGATTGCATTATAATAACTCTATTTTCATATTTCCCCCCTCACTTATGAATTCGAAGATCAAACACTCTAATCCTCCCGCCGCGAAGCGCGGGCTTCCGTACTAGTTTATATATAGTTTAATCAATAAACCATAAGCACGTAAATTACAATTTCAATGTATTTATGAAACGGTATTGTACAATTAACAAGCGGGCAAAGGCAAGCCGCAGAGACAATCATTCCCCACGAACGAACTCGCCGGGAAACCGGTCGCCGGAATCCGCCCGCACAAATGGTTCCGGCTCAAATTCAAGCTCCGGAGCTCGGAAGCCGAACTGGGCACTCCCCCAAAGACCGAATTCCTCGACAGATCCAAATCATACATCGCGTGAGCGATCCTCATCTTCCCCAGATCGAAACTCAGTCGATTCCCCGAAGCCCAGAACCCGACCAAATTCTCCGCCCGATTCAGCAGCGGAATCGGGCTGCCGGAGATTCGATTCTCCGAAAGATCGATTCTCTCGTAGAAATACGCCTCCTTCGGGTTCCAATTCGTCAAATTGATCTTGATCCCGCATTTCGCAAGCTTCAGGGAGTAGACATTTGGCGAAGAAGTGACCCAATCAGGGATTTTCCCCAAATGGAAGTTGTTGTATGATAAATCTAGGGATCGAATGCGTTTCGCGTTCATTACAGGAAACGGTTCGACGAGGGAATTGTGGGAGAGATCCAGATTGGAGATTCCCGCGAGTTTCTTGAAGGATTGAGGCAGAGCTCCAGTGAAATTATTCCATGAAAGATCCAGAGTGCTGAGGGATTGAAATTCCCCCAGGAAACTAGGGATTTGACCGGTGAGGGTATTGTGGGCGAGCTCGAGGTAAGCTAATTTGGGGGCGAGGGATGAAATCGAGTTAGGGATTTTCCCGGCAAATTTATTGCGGGAAAGGTTGAGATACCTGAGCTGATCGAGAGACGAGAAGATCTCAGGGATGGGTTTGGACAGCTGGTTACTCTGGAGTTCCAACTGGATCAACGCTTTCAGGCGGCGAATTCCGACCGGTATATCGCCGGTGATTAAGTTGCCGGCGAGGTTCAACCGGGTCAGCCCGGTTAACTCAGACACAGAACTGGGGATCGACCCAGTGAATCGGTTCCCTTCCAGGCTTAGTACGTCTAGTCGAGTTCCTAGCTTGCCTATGTCATTGGGCAAGGGACCCGACAACCGGTTGTTCTCTAGGTAGACATACCGGAGTTTGGGAAGTCCGTATAGGGAAGTCGGGAACTTACCCGTGATGTTCCTCATGTTCACCAAATAGAATCCGTCGAGATCCCTGAGCTTCGCGAGAGACGGAGAGATGGTGCCCGATAAGAATCGATCTGGCGTATCGGTTTGACTGAACAGCCCGAGTGCGGTGACCCGATCACTGTGGAGGCAGGTTATGCCCTCCCAAATGCAACAGTCGGTACCAGACATCCACGAGGCAAGCATGCCCGAAGGGTCGTGGGTGATGTGAGATCTGAAAGAGAGGAGACTCGTTTCGTCGTCCACGTGGCAGGCGCGTGATGTGCCAACGAGGCATTGGAGGGCGATTATGGATAGGACTAGGAGGAGGAGGAGGAGGACGAGGGACTTCATGATGATAGGGAATTGGAGAGAGTTGAGGTTTTGAGTTAAGGGATAGTTAGGGTTATGGATGGTTTTTGGGAGTTTTAAGGCATTGATTTATCCAGGGTCTTGAGTCAACTTAGGGCTTGAGGGCTAGTTGGTTGTGGCTGGTGGGTTTTGGGCTTCTTCCACATGCAAATATACGGTGGATACCTTGATGATGTAAAGGGTCGGAAATTGGGATTGAATCCCATCAGATGCATTCATTGCAATGGTTTCACCACTTGCCAAGTTGAGAACATGGTCATAAACACAGCGGCCATTTGTTGATAGAATATTGAAGTCAACCTCAACAACATTACATTTTTTTTCTTGTAAAAAAAAAACAATACATTATAAGTTGTTGGTTGATAGAATGTTGACGTCAACTGAATCATGGATGCATTAGATTGTAGGTGGATTGGGTTATAAATCAATCAGGTTACTCAATAAGCATGTTATGGATAATGATTTTTCATGAATTTTGTCGTAAACCGAATACTTATTCCATTGTCCAAAGGTTCTAATAACAAGCTCCTAAAGACTAAAGTGCTTGTGTACATTATATTGGTAACTCAACCATTTCAACAATAATAATGGTGATGAAAATTAAAGATGCTTAATTAGTAAAGCATCTAATTATTTTGATGAACTCAACTAAGTAGCACTATTTACAAGCAGGCAAAGGCGATCCACAGAGACACTTATTCCCAACAAACGCGCTCGCCGGGAACTTGGTCGGCGGCAGCTTCCCACACAAACTGTTCCGGCTCAAATCCAACTTCTCCAGCCCGGCAACCGAATTGGGCACTCCCCCAAAAACCAAATTCCTCGACAGATCCAAATCCTTCACCGTCCCGGCAAATTTCAGCTTCCCCAAATCGAAGCTCAATCTGTTGCCGGCGGCGCGAAACCCCACCAGATACTCCGTCCGGTTCAGCAACGGAATTGGGCTGCCAGAGATCTGATTCTCCGACAAGTCGATGAAGTCGTAGAAATACGTCTCCTTCGGCTTCCAATTCGTCAGGTTGATCTTGATCCCGCACTTCGCCAGCTTCAGGGAGTAGATGATCGGAGACAGAGTGACCCAATTGGGGATTTTGCCCAGATGGAAATTGTTGTTCGATAGATCTAGCGATTCGATTCCTTTCACGTTCATTACAGGAAATGGATCGGAAAGGGAATTGTGGGAAAGATCTAAATTGAAGATCTTTGTGAGATTCGAGAAAGTTTTCGGGACGGGTCCGGTGAAATTGTTGTGGGAAAGATCCAGAGTATCGAGAGTCTGGAAATTACCGAGGAAGCTGGGGATTTGGCCGGCGAGGGAATTGTGGCCGAGCTCGAGGAAAGCTAAGGTCGAGGAAAGGGATGAGATCGAATTGGGGATTTTCCCGGAAAATTTGTTGTGGGAAAGGTTGAGAAACCTGAGCTGATGGATAGACGAGAAGATCTCAGGGATGGGCTGGGAGAGCTGGTTGTTGTGAAGCTGTAACTGGGTCAAGTTTCTGAGGCTGCCAATTCCGATTGGAAATTTCCCGGTGATCAAGTTCCCGGCGAGGTTCAACTGAGTCAGACCGGTCAATTGGGATAAAGATGCAGGAATCGACCCGGTGAACCGGTTCCCTGCCAGGCTCAACACGTCCAGTTGGGTCCCCAACTTGCCTATGTCGACGGGCAGCGGACCCGAGAGCCGGTTGTTCCCCAAGTAGACGAACAGGAGACTGGGCAGCCCGTACAACCAGACCGGAAACTTACCCGTGATGTTCCTCAGGTTCATCAGGTAGAGCCCGTCGAGGTCCCTCAGCTTCGCGAGCGACGGCGAGATGGTGCCTGACAGGTACCCGTCCGGCCTCTCGGGCTGGCCAGTGAGCCACAGGGAAGTGACCCGATCGTTGGACAGGCAGGTCACGCCGAACCACGAGCAGCAATCGGTTCCGTTCCACGAGTCGAGCAACCCCGAGGGATCGTCGGTGATGCCCGATTTAAACGCGAGGAGTCCTGCCAAATCATCCACGTGGCAGACACGAGACGTGGCCCGAAGGCATTGGAGGGTGAGCAAGGAGAGGAAGAGAATGAGGGACTTCATTGTGAAGATTTGGGATAAGGTGGGAAGGTCAGGTTGAGGTTTTCTGGGGTTTAAGGGTTGTGGAGAGGTTGGAGGGTTTTATAAGGCAATTGGGTTTTCAAAAGCTTTGCCCTTTTAGTGGGTTCTCTAGTCAACACGGTAGCTTTGTGAGGTAGTGGTTTTTGCCTCTTTAGGGCACTTGAAAACCTGTGGTGGATGGCTTGGTTGATGCAAAGGGCGATGGCAACCCACCGCCACCAGAAAGGGATTTAATGGTTACCAATTACCATTGATGGCTGCTTGTGGTAGGGCCTTGAGGTCAAGTCAAGATTGATGGCTAATTGGGATATGAATGCTAATATTAAGGAGATAGAGATGGGATTTTGATCAAGTTGAAGTAATTTTGAATACGATTCTTATCCTTTGGCATATTGCTGGACTTGCTGGTTGTGTTTACTTCAATTAACGAAATGAATGGTTTATGTCGACCAGCTCTAAATTTGAGTAAGATTATAAAAATCATGAATATTTTCTTATGATAAATAGCTTTATTGTTATATAAACTATAAGATATTTACACGAATTGTGTTAGTTTTTACCGTCCGGCATATTTACAAGTGGGCCTACAAGGCTACAACTATGATAAACGGGAAGGAATAGACAAGAATAACATCTACCAGAAATTTAGATAAACCAACTTGAAATTATAATGCTAATTTGCTACCATTAGAATATGAAATCTTCCACAACCATAGAGATATACTCGACATAGTTCAATATAAGTTTTATTTGGAGTTTAGACCAAACGATTTCCACAACCATAGAGATATACTCGACATAGTTCAATATAAGTTTTATTTGGAGTTTAGACCAAACGACCATATCAAATGACTAAAAAAGAAGTAAATGAGAGACAAGGCCGTCCCATAATATTCGGAGGCCCTGTTCGAAAATTTAAAATGTGGCCCTAAAATTTTTCTCCACAAATTTATTAAAAATAAAAATTATTAAATAATTATAAAAAAATGCATAGTCTCAGAAAATGATTACAAAAGAAATAAATGATCACGTTTCTAGTTTGACGAAGAAACCAAAACCAAATTCCCAGGGCTGTCTAATTATAAAAAAATGCATAGTCTCAGAAAATGATATTAAAAATTTATTAATTAGCCAAATATTTCATAATGCACCAAAATATTAGTCATTTTTACGTTATTGTTAATAATTCTGTAACTCTTTTCTTAGTTAAAATACTAAAATTTTGGAATCTTGACCTTCATGTGTCTCTTCCAAGTCAGTATCATGTTGTCAAGTCAATATTACTAACAAAAATGCTAACCGAAAGTTAACATTCGGCTAATTTTTAGTATTTCGATAGGTTTGGATATTATAAAAGAATCCGAAAAAGGTCTGGATAAAAAATAGACGTTACCCATAAAATTATCTATTATCTTTCTTATTTTCGTAGCCTTCATGATATCATTTTTAATTGTTATTATAGCTAAAATTATCTATTAAAATCGTCATCATACTCATAATCAATCAATCATATACTAAAAATATAATCTACAATGTACGATCGGTAACTAACGGATCTAAGTGGAGGCCCCTAATATTCGGAGGCCCTGTGCCAGAGGGCGGGCCAGCACACCCTCTAGGCCGGCCCTGATGAGAGATGAGAAGAAGGGTTATAGGAAGTTAAAAACTTGCACAAATACAACTTGATGTTGTGATACAGGTTTTGCTATCATTACGATAGGAATCCTTAAGTTAATTAAGGTTCATAGGAAGTTAAGAACTTGCACAAATACAACTCGATGTTGTGATACATGTTTTGATATCATTACGATAGGAATCCTTAAGTCAATTATGTACACATGTTATTCTAATTTGGAATTCTTATTGCTACTTCCAAAATGAGATCTCGTTTCTCAAAAATGAATTTATCTAATTACTTTTTATTCTCGTGTGTTTGATATCATATCAAATGAAAATGAAAATGAAAATAGTATAGTATTCTAAAACCAAACAAAATTTTGGACTAGTACATTTTTACGCTCATATATTTGATATCGCATACCATTAGTCAAATTTTATTTCTATATTGTGACACTACTTAGAAGTTAGAACTAATGATTCTGCTCCAGATGGAGCATTTGGTGTCACCATGTACTTAATGTCACATCACATTTGAATGACAGAAATATACTAATACAATCAAACTAAGATTTTGGTTTGCCAAACCAATTTTTATTAAGATTGGCAATGATGAAGATGTTGCCATGCAAGACAATCCCTTAATCACAAAGCCATAATGGTTTGGACATCGACAATATAAAGATAAACACTTATGAACTTATTTACATGGGAGCAAAGGCGAGCCACATAGACAATCATTCCTCACAAACGAGCTCGCCGGAAACTTCGTCGCCGGCAACCTCCCGCACAAACGGTTCCGGCTCAAATCCAAGCTCTGCAGCCCGGAGACCGAACTGGGCACTCCCCCGAAAATCGAATTCCTCGACAGATCCAATTCCTTCATCGTCCCAACAATGACCAACTTCCCCAAATCAAAACTCACTCTGTTTCCGGCGGCCCGAAAACTAACCAAGTAATCCGTCCGGTTCAGCAACGGAATCAGGCTACCGGAGATCTGATTCTCCGACAAGTCGATGAAGTCGTAGAAATACGCCTCCTTCGGCTTCCAATTCGTCAGGTTGATCTTGATCCCACACTTCGCCAGCTTCAGGGAGTAGATGATCGGAGACAGAGTGACCCAATTGGGGATTTTCCCCAAATGGAAATTGTTGTAAGACAGATCCAACGATTCGATTCCTCTCACGTTCATTGCAGGGAAAGGATCGGAAAGGGAATTGTGGGAAAGGTCTAAATTGAAGATCTTTGTGAGATTGGAGAAAGTTTTGGGGACGGGTCCTGTGAGATTGTTGTGGGAAAGATCCAGAGTATCGAGCTTCTGGAAATTTCCGAGGAAGCTGGGGATTTGGCCGGAGAGGGAATTGTGGGCGAGCTCGAGGTAAGCTAGAGTAGAGGAAAGAGATGTAATCGAGTTGGGGATTTTGCCGGAAAATTTGTTGCCGGAGAGGTTGAGATACCTGAGCTTGAGGGACGAGAAAACCTCAGGGATGGGTTTGGAGAGCTGGTTGTCCTGAAGCCAGAGCAGGGTCAGGTTTTTCAGGCTGCGGATTCCGATTGGTAATTTGCCGGTGATGAAATTGCCGGCGAGGCTGAACTCTCTCAGCCCGGCTATCTCGGATACCGAACCGGGTATCGACCCGGTAAACCGGTTTCTTTCGAGGAAAAAATAGCGTAACTGGGCGCCCAGCTTGCCTATGTCGGTGGGCAGTCGGCCCGAGAGTGGGACGTTCTGCAAGTAGACGTAAGTGAGGTTGGAAAGCCCGTACAGCCAGACCGGAAACTGACCCGTGATGTTCCTCAGGTCCGTCAGGTAAAGCCCGTCGAGGCTCCTGAGCTTCGCGAGCGACGGTGAGATGGTGCCCGATAAGAACCCGTCCGGTTTATCGGGTTGTCCCTGGACCCACACTGCGGTGACCCGATCGTTGTACAAACAAGTTATGCCAGCCCACGTGCAGCAGTCGGTGCCGGGCTTCCACGATGCCAAAATACCCGAGGGATCGTGGGTGATGCCCCGTTTGAATGCGAGCAAGCCGGTCTCGTCGTCCACGTGGCAGGTGCGTGACGTGGCTCGAAGGCATTGGAGGGTGAGCAAGGAGAGGAAGAGAATGAAGGACTTCATGAAGGTTAGGTTAGGTCAAGAAGTGGGACGGTTGAGGCTTTTGGCTAGGGTAATGATTTGTGATTGTGGGGAGTTTAGAGGGGAGGTTTAATATAAGGCAATAGGGTTTGGAATTGGGAAGTCTTGCCCTTATTTTTTGTGGGTTCTTCATTTTTTAGTCAATGCATAGGACCTTGTGACCTAGTGGTTTCCTTGAAGCAAGGATAGAAATCCGCTGAAGGGGATCCAATGGTTTTCACTGCTCTTGTGGTCAAGTCAAGCTTGATGGGTAGAAGAATACTAATTGGTTAAGTCAATAATTAAAGAATAGTGCCACTATCCTTGGGGTTTAATCAAATTGATAATTTGGTTCAGTTTTCCCTGGCTGTTTACTTCAATCCACCACATGGGTTGAAGTGATTTCAACACAATGCCAACGTTTCTCAAACTCAATTTATAAGCAAGATCTTAATTGGAAAAGAAACGGCTACTATCAACTTGACCCATAAATTTTCACATTTTAGTGGTCTTGAGTGGATGACGGGTTGGTGAAGAATCATTTGTTCACATTGGACCTTTGATGTGGGGGTCCCAAAACGTTGATTCGAACAAATCAATCAGGGCGACCCAATCCTATTTGAGGATAAGCATTTATTCAATTCCGGATATCGGTTTTAGGGTGATGTGTATATATGGCAATTGGCAAAGTGAGAAAAAGTTTGCTCAACATGTTTTGTTCAGAGTAAGGAAAATGGACCAAGAAACGCTCTTATCGTAAAATGTATTGTAGAATAATAAGTATATATGTAAGACCATGAGATCGATTGAATTCTTTTTAATCCTTTCCGACTTGATTTGCCTCCCACAGTGGTCGCACTTACATTGAATGGTAGTTCATGCCAAAGTGCAATTGTATGAATTATTTTATACTTACAAAAGTATGAAAATAAAAAATGTGACAACCTGTGACGAACTTAATTTGCGTTTTTATAGTTATCAGACTTTCTTCTGCATAACCCAAGGTTATGCCTAGGAACCTAATCCTATTTGGCTTAGGCTCCAGCCTCCAGTGATAAACATTTTCTACATAACCATTCATAATTTTTGTTTACCAAGATAATGCGATTCTTACCTTAGTAATACGATGTGTCTTATAAGAATCGTATCATCCTAGCAAACATGAGTTATGAAGGTTATGCAGAAATTGGTTATGCACATACTCTTCGTCGATGTATATGGTGTGTATTAATATAAATTAACTAGGATCATTAATTGTTGCTATATTGGGCGTAAATTCTTCTGCCAATGATCAATTAAACGTTAATGTTGTAGATTCACAAATTCGAATACACGACCATATATATTTACCATGTTTCATATCTAGGGAGATTCTTTACATGTCGATCGTAGGGCTTGCAAGGATGATGGAAGTACTCTACAAGGATTTTGATAGCTATATTGTCACCAGAGATATGATGAAAGCTCTACTTGTCACACCTACGGGCATCTGAATTAGCACCACTGCTTATGCTTATGCTTATGCTTTGGGAGAGAAAATGATGTCCAATACTCAACAATTATAGTTGTGTATATGAAACAAATTTCAGACGAATTCAACTTCAATCTCTCACACAATCTACGTACTTGCCATATATATAAATTTAATTATTGTTAATGTTCATTTTTTGGAAATTATCATTGGTTATCAATGTAGGTAATTAAGAGGATTGGTTAGGTGATGCGTGGGTATGACCCGCGGGGTATAAACTTAATTAGTACTCCATCTTTTTAATAAGGTGCTATATAAATTTGACCGGCGGCCCACAACTTAGATTTTTAGTTATGTGGCTTTGTTGTTTGAACGTTGCTCTGTTTTGAAATTTTTTTTTTCCGTTGAATTGTTTTGAAATTTCAATATAGTAAAATTAGCTAAAAAATAAATATATTTTATTAAATTAAAATTCTAGAAAACAACTCGTTTTGCATTGATTGGTCTCAATAATTCACATCGTCATCGGTCCATATTCAATTATGAATCTTATATTATTATTCTTTCAGTATACCTTCTATATTATTAAACAAAATCCAACTCATGAAGTGAAAATTTCATGTCAAGAACCAGTTGATCCCAATAACTCGAGTTGTTGGGAGAGGTTCAATCGTGTATCATCATATACCACAACACTAACACGTCCCCCTCAAACGAAAACCACTCACAAAGGTTTGAAGTTTGCACAGGTCTGAAGACAAGAATACCATGTGCTTAACAAATGGGGGTCACCGGGAATCGAACACACATCTCGGTGACAGAAGGCTCTGATACCATGTCAAGAATCAGTTGATCCCAATAACTCGAGTTGTTGGGAGATGTTCAATCGTGTATCATATACCACAACACTAACACACAGTACAATCTTTGCCATGCATGTAGGATATTATCCGTGATGAAAATCCATAGTTTATAGCATGCGTACAATCGACCAGCAACAATATTTTATTTGGCATCCAAATACGTACCGAAACAAAGAATCATCATTGATAAGAAGAAAAGAAAAGGGGTAAACCAACAAGCTAGAGCATTATTGTATACGTACGTACGTACGTTAATTAGATGGAATCGATAACCTGCCTGCTTGCTTGCTTGCACTGTCCATCGATCCTATCAATCTGATTCAAGTCTATATAAAACGGGGGCTTGATCAGTGACTAATTCACATCACTACTCATATATTCTTCCTCATAATTCCCCTAGCTACCAAAGCAAAAGCAACAGCAAGGAAAATGAAGGTGAGCGGAGCTGCTGTAGCGACGGTGGCCGTGGTCACCTGGCTGAGCTTCTTAGCGACCACCTCAGACGCCCAAGGATACGACTTCTTCTACTTGGTGATGCAGTGGCCGCGCGCCGTCTGCAACCAGCCGCGCTCCAACTGCAGGGCGGCGGTTCCTCGGACCTTCACCATCCATGGGATGTGGCCCCAGACCAACCGCGGCGGCAGCCCTCAGAACTGTCCCGGTAGAGTCCGCGACGTCCGATCAAGCGTACGTATACAGTTCATTCTTAATTCATTGATTAGCTTTAAGGAGGGTGATATGATTAGCTTAATTAAACGGTTCTTGACATGACATAAGAGCATGGTTGACCGAGTGGTCTCTCTTGGTGTTCAAATCTCGACGAAGCGTACCCAATTGTTAAACACATGGTATATTATTGACGAACCTGTGATAATTAACTTCAAATCTTAGATGTTAGCCGCCGCGAGGGAGGGAGCTCCCGCGCGTTTTAATAGATAAAACTGTATAGGATCCATGATGAAACTTTTTTTCAACAACTCGGAGCTCACGACACATTTCACTGCGAGCTCAAAATGAAAAATGATCAACCACGTCAATTGCCATCACATAGTTGTTAACCAACAAACCACTTCATCTCGGTAACTCGAGCAGTTCGAAAATGGATTTGAAACCATGACTTCTCGGTTGAAAAACTCAGGGACGGGTGGACAGAGGCACTCTGGGGGCAATGGACAGGCAATGGCCGAACCTGAAGCGCGGCGGGAGGGACCCCAACAGCCAGTTCTGGACCCACGAGTGGAACAAACACGGCACCTGCTCCAGGATGTCGCTGCAGAACTACTTCCGCCGGGCCGTCGACCGCGCCGCCAGCGTCGACGTGCTCCGGCTGCTCCGCAGCAACCGCATCCAGCCCGACAACCGTTCGTACCGGCGGGCCGACATCGAAGCTGCTCTGAACCGTTACGATCCGGTCGTGAAGTGCAACGACGTCCGAAGCGGCGGCCGAACCTACAAGCAGATCCACGAGATCCGGTTCTGCGTGCAGCGGGACGGCAACCGTGTCGTGTCCTGCGGCCGCCGCACCCAGTTCAGGAGCTGCGGCAGCGGAGACATCAGGTTCTCCCGTTGAAGAAGCTGCTACGTACCTACTGTCTGTTTGTTCTATAGATGCATGCATGGTTTACGACTTTACGTAAGCTTTCGCACGTGTGTTTGTGTGTGTGTTTAATTCAGTTTGTTTCTGTTTGTCGCGTTGTTGTTTTCATTCTCTTTGTTTTCACTCTCTCTTATTAATTATTAAAGGGGCTATGAATCAATGAATAAAAATAGCTTTGACCCGAATAGAGTACTGGGCGCGCAGGTCAATTTGTTAGTTCGTGAAACTGTATCGTAACGGCTAGGGCTGGCGGACGGTTTTCCGGTTAGCGGCTAACCGGTCGGTTTCAACCGAACCGACCGGTTTTCGGCTAGCCGAAAAACCGATTCCGAAGAGGTCGGTCGGTTGGCGGTAGAGGAAATCAGGGGTCCGGTTAGCCGAGTAACCGAAGCCGATTAACCGCGACTAACCGACCAACCGACCCACAACCGAAAATATAAAAAAGAGAAGGTGAGGTGACCCCTCCACTCCAGCTTCTCTCTTTCTTCCTAACTCCTTCGACTCTTCTTCTCTCTTTCTTCCTACAAATCCTTCCACAGCAGATCCGACCCTCACCTCTCCTCCTCCTCCTCACCTTTCCACAGCAGATCCGACTCTTCTTCCTTTGCATGGCGGCCAGATCCTCGCGCCGCGCCAGTCGCCGCACCTAGCTCCGCGTCGCCGCGCCCGTCGCCGCACATCGCTCCCGTCGCCGCGCCAGTCGCCGCACCCCGCGCCCGTCGCCGCGCCCCGCCCTCGTCGCCCCGCCTTCGTCGCCGCGCCCCGCCCTCGTCGCCGCGCCCTGCCCCCGTCGCCGCGCCAGCAGAATCGAGAGAGAGAATCGAGGGAGGAGGCGAGAATAGGGAGAGAGAGTTGGTTGTTCGATTTTCCTTCCAGTCCCAGAGGAAGAAGAGAAGAGAATAGAGAGAGAGAGTAGGGAGAGAGATGGTCTGGGAAGAGAATCGAGAAAACGGAGGGGAAAGAAGAATCGAGAAACTGAGGGGTTAGGTTAGGAGTGTGTGGTGCAGATTTATTGTTAATTTTTTTTTTTTAAAGGTAGTTTCCGGTTGGCCGGCTAATCGAGTCGAAACCGGAAACCGGTCGGTCGGTTTGCGGCTAACCGAGGCTCACGGACGGTCGGTTGGCGGTAGCTCTGGTCGAGGTCTCGGTTTGACCGATAACCGACAATTCGGTTTTCGGTTAAACCGAAACCGACCGAGTGACAGCCCTAGTAACGGCAGTCCGGTTGGGAAATACATTTTATTGGAACTTAAATTGATATACGACTTTAGTGATATCAATAGTTTGATTTTCAACGGCTGAAATACATGAATTCTACATTACGTGTTCTTTGTATCAATAAATGGTCAAATTTTGACTACTTTGTTATACTATTAGATCATATATGAATTTGTAAATTATGAAATTGGTAAGTATTCGATGTATGAATGGTTAAATACCGACTACTTTATTATACTATTAGATTATATCTGAATTTGTGAATTATGAAATAGATAAATATATGATGTATGAAAAATATCGTTCTTTTATCATATTTTAGAAGAGATAAGTCATGACTTTGCAGTTTTGACACAATTTTAAGTGGGATATATTAAAAAATTTATTAGCATTTTTTTTAAGATATGACAAAAGAGAGAATCTACACAATCTACCCAAAAACCCTCTCAAATCACTACCTTAGTGAAGCCACCCCACAAAGTCGAAGGAACTTAACTCAAGAGGAGAAAGTAACAGGGCTTTTTTGCGCCACTCTATGGGCTGCCCCGTTAGAAGTTCTAGGAACTGCCCTAAACTCTAAGGAGACAGAAACAAAAAAACAAAAGAAGGAGACAATCATGAAGCACTGGTCCTCCAAGGGAATCTAAAGAAACAACCTGGTAAAGCTGACGAATCACCACTTCTGAATCAGCTTCGATAATGACACGAGGAAGCTTACTTGGAGACCATGAGGGAAATGGCATCCCGAGCTGCAAGAAGTTCCGCGAGGTAAGGATCGGCAATGCCGAGGTATATTTTCTAGTCCGCCCACCCCTCAAACCAGAATCCTCGCTCCTCCCCTGATTACGAAAGGCAGATACAATCATAATCGAACCTCATCTACAAACAAACAACTACTTCTAATGGTGGCAAATGAATTGGATTCATGGATTGATGGATTAGATTGGTGGATCCATGGATCAAGTGGATTGGATCCAATAGATTAGTGGATTGGATCCAATAGATTAGTGGATTCATGGATTGAATCAAATGGATTGATGGATTGATCAATGGATCCAAATGACATCCAAGTCTTGGACCATTATGTAAATTTTGAAAATTTTAGGTACTAAAATGTCATAATAAAATAATTTCGGTATCACAACGTAATTTGTCAATGCTACTTTTTGTATAAAAAATAAATTTTAGGTTCCAATATAAAAAGTATATGTACTAAACCATAATTTTTTCATTTGGATCCATGAATCCACTAATCCAATTGTATTTGAATCAAATGGATTGAATTAGTTGAATAATTTGGTGGATGGATTGAATTGAATTCATAGATATGATATAAGTGCCACCACTAACTACTATATATGAACGTTTTCCCATGTAATTGAAAAGCTATGCAAGACACTCTTTTGGAGCCTTCCAAGCTACTACTAGCGTAGAGTTGCCAAAAGGTTCACAAACAAAATCAACTTTGTTTTTTTTTTCTTTGACAATATTAGAACACAACCATTGTTCAGAACTCCCACAAAAGTCAAATATGTGTAATAATATCCATTATTGAGCCTCTTCCAACGATGCGAGTTATTGGAATCAACTAATTTTTTTTTTATATGGTAGCAGATCATTCTGTGACCGAAATAACTTCTCTTCGAATTCCGGTGACCCCCATTTGTGAAACACACGATATTATCGTATTCATAACCTGTGTAAACGAAAGTACTTTTGATTGATTTCATTATCGAACATCTTTATTTCAACGACACACGATCAAGTTATTACACGATCAACCAATTCTTGACAACTCTATAGTACTGTATAACATACGTACACAATTGACCCGCTACATTATTTTATTTGGCATCTGATACGTACTGAAAACAATGAAGCATTGGTAAGAAGAAAAGAAAAGGGGTAAACCAACAAAGCTAGCAATGTCATGTCCACGTACGTTAATTAGATGGAATCGATAACCAATAAGACAGAATGAGTTGCTTGCTTGCTTGCACTATCCATCGATCCTATCAATCTGATTCAAGTCTATATAAAACGGGGACGTGATCAGTGGCTATTTCACATCACTACTCATTCGATCTTCATATTTGCCCCTAGCTAGCTAGCTACCAAAGCAAACAACAGAATGAAGCTCAACGGAGCTGCTGTAGCGACGGTGGCCGTGGTCACCTTGCTGAGCTTCTTGGCCGGCACCTCAGACGCCCAAGGATACGACTTCTTCTACTTGGTGATGCAGTGGCCGCGCGCCGTCTGCAACCATCCTCGTTCCAATTGCAGGCCGGCGGTTCCTCAGACCTTCACCATCCATGGGATGTGGCCCCAGACCAACAGCGGCGGCAGCCCTCAGAACTGTCCCGGTAGTCTCCGGGATGTCCGATCAAGCGTATGTACAGTTCAATGATTAAGTAGTCCATTAAGCATAATTATATTTATATGCTTCTATTCTATCTTTAATTACGACTATTAATAAGCACATGTTGTTGTATGCTTGTGCAAATCTATGTTCGGCTTTCATTTGAGGGGCTTCTTAATATGTAGTATAAGAAATAGGGTTATGGGTATAATATACCTCTTTACTATGCCGTTTTATCAAACATGCCCAATTACTATTTTTTACATCAAACATGACCCTATACTTTGAAAAAATGATCAAACATGTCCTTCTGTTAAAATTTTCATCCACAAACCGTGAACTACGGCCGAACTTTGATTTGGGCGACACAAATGTCTAAAATGTACCAAATAATTTCACTTTATAATTTTTTGGTTCTTCTGTATAGCCAAATAATTCTTATAATTTCACTTAGACAAGACCCAGAGAAATAAAAACAGGAGACAAAATTGACATTTCCCCTCCCATTTGCCGATGTCGGGTCGTCTAAATCTCAGTTCAACCATGATTGACGATTTTTTTTCAATGAAAATTTTAACAGAAGAGCATGTTTCATAATTTTTCCAAAATACAGTGGCATGTTTGATATAAAAAAATAGTAGAAGAGCATGTTTGATATAATGACATTTTAGAGGGGCATATTGTACCTATAACCCTAAGAAATACGATATTGAACTTTTTCCAAAAACTCGAGTTATTGAGACCCACTAAGAAATAAACACACATAGTATTTAAATTTGTGGAAACTTCAATAATAACTAAAATAGATTACCATCTAAATATTTACCAACAAACTCTTCTCTTTATTCTGGAAAAAACAGGGACGGGTGGACAGAACTACGCTAGGGGCAATGGACAGGCAGTGGCCGAACCTGAAGCGAGGCGGAAGGGACCCCAACAGCCAGTTCTGGACCCACGAGTGGAACAAACACGGCACCTGCTCCAGAATGCAGCCGCAGGACTACTTCCGGCGGGTCGTCGACCGCGCGGCGAGCGTCGACCTGCTCCGGCTGCTCCGCAGCAACCGCATCCAGCCCGACAACCGGCTGTACCGGCAGGCCGACATCGAAGCTGCTCTGAACGTTTACGATCCGGTCGTCAAGTGCAACGACGTCCGAAGCGGCGGCCGCTCCTACAAGCAGATCCACGAGATCCGGCTCTGCGTGCAGATGGACGGCAACCGCGTCGTCTCCTGCGGCCGCCGAACCCAGTTCAGGAGCTGCGGCAACGGAGACATCAGGTTCTCCCGTTGAAGAGAAGCTGCTACGTACCTACTGTCTGTTTGTTATATAGATGCATGCATGCATGCATGCATGGTTTACGTAAGCTTTCGCACGTGTGTTTGTGTGTGTGTTTCAGTTTGTTTCTGTTTGTCGCGTTGTTGTTTTCACTTCTCTCTTATTAAAGGGACTATGAATGAATGAATGAATAAAATTAGTTTTGACCCGATCGAATACTGGGCAATTTGTTAATCCGTGAAACTGTGTCATAACGGAAGTCAGATCGGGAATACATTCTATTGGAACTTAAATTGATATACCATATAAAACATCTGGTTAATAAAACTACAATTTCAATACAAAATATTTTAATGTTGATTTTTCTAGTACAACTTCCGGAACGGTTTCGCAATTCTTGGTTAGTAAAGTTTAATATTGTATAGGATGATGATGTAATTTTAGCTTCGTATCAACTTTCAAGATTTATTTATTGTTGTGTGTATTAGATATATCGGTACATTATTGTTAAAATGAATCATCTCACCAACGAAAAAGACTACGAAATTTTGACATTTTTTTTTTGACAAATTTAAGCCTGGAGGAGAGTTTTAAGTGATTCCAAGTAACCAAATATGCTTAGCAATTGACTAATGTGGTGTTTAATAAATTTGTGGTTCAAATAATTTACCGCATAAATGCGAGCATATGTCTGGCATACACTATAAGTCTGAAATCATACATGTTATTTGTAATTTGATAATTTTAACAAATCAAAATCGTTGATTTTCATTTTAAAATTAAATGAATCTTACTAATTGAGTTAGAGAATTGGAGACTGGGGTTCAGCCATTAAAAGTTAGGGTATAGTATTATGCATCAAACTCTGATTAAATCTTCTGCGATAAGGTAAATAACGCTTGGCGGACACTAGCTGAACTATATATATGTGTGTGTGGTGGCTAATTCGGTGCGCTCACTTTTTTTATGCATTCAATGCACCCAACACTAAAAGTGACAATAATACACAAATGTTGAACTTTAATTGGTAGCATGAGTCTAATATGATGATATAACATAGGATCACAACTAATCAATCCATTATCCTAACCCCTTAACCTTGAATTTTGAATCATAACCCAAAACCCCAAATTGTAAACCTAAACACTAACCCTAAATCCCTAAATCATAAATCATTCAAATTGAAGTAAATCTTGAATGATTTTTTTGAGAATTTATGTGCTTCTTGTTCATAATATCACAAACAATGATTGATACCGTTATGACATAAATCACATGCTCCAAATGAAGATTATGAGGTGACTGCATTGAATGTACTAAAAAAAGTCATGCTCCAAATGAAGATTATGAGGTGATTATGAGGTGACCGCTATCCATCTGTACTTAATGTAATGAACCAAATGGTGGAGAACATAAACGATGACTCTCTTAAGCATGAAAACACTATCCACACTGTCCGGCCGTACTTTAAGTATATGCTCTTGTCATAACCGGGGTGCTCCATTAGTACGATATTGTCCGCTTTGGGCCAAGCCCGCACGGTTTTACTCTTGGGTTTCCTCCCCAAAAGGCCTCGTACTAATGAGCTTGGTGGACACTTATATACAAGGATTCCTTTCCTTGTACAACCGATGCGGTACTTGGATTGTCCCATAACAATCCTCCCCTCAAGACAAGGACCACGAACATCGTGTCCTCACCTCAGCGATTATCTTGATCCGCCAGACACCTTGTATCGATGGGCTTCTCGGTACAAGGATTTTCCCAGACGCGGAACTCTCTTTGATCCGCCAAACAAACGTGGATCTCTCCTAGATCCGCCAAACAGACGTTGATCGCAAATCCCGAGGCCACCAAACGAGGGTCCCCACCAAACTGACGTCCACCGCCCCAGATCCGCCGAACCAGGCTCTGATACCACTTGTCATAACCGGGGTGCTCCATTAGTACGATATTGTCCGCTTTGGGCCAAGCCCGCACGGTTTTACTCTTGGGTTTCCTCACCAAAAGGCCTCGTATTAATGAGCTTGGTGGACACTTATATACGAGGATTCATTTCCTTGTACAACCGATGTGGTACTTGGATTGTCCCATAACAGCTCTGCTCGTCGTACCTAAGGACATCTGAATTAGCACCACTACTTGTGCTTATGCTTTGGGACAGAAATGGTGGTGGAGGGTTAAATCAGAGTGAGAATTTTCCCACGTCTATTTTATATCTTCCAGAAAATGATGTCCAATACTCCACAATCATAGTTTGTGTATATGAAACAACTTTTAGACACATTCAACTTCGATATATCACACAATCGACATGCTGACTTGCCATATATATACAAATAATTATTGTATATAATTGTTAGTGTTGATATTTGGAAATTATCATTATTAATCAATGTAGGCAATTAAGAATATTCGTTAGGTGATGCATGGGTATGACTCCGATATAAACTTATTTAGTACTCCATCTTTTTAATAAGGTGTATATATATTTGACCGGCGGTTCAATTTCGATCTTTAATTATGTGGCTTTGTTGCTTGAACTTTGCTCTCTTTTAAAAAAAAAAAAATTATTTGTAAATTAGCTAAAATCGTGTTAGTGTGTGGTATAAGATCCATTATCGAGCCTCTTCCAACAACTCGAGTTATTGAAATCAATTGATTCTCATTCTGGATACGGTATCAGATCATTTTGTGACCGAGATATCTTCTCTTTGAATTTTGGAGACCCACATCTGTAAAAGCACATGATATTATCGTATCCAGCTGGACCTTTGCAAACGAAAGTACTTTTTCACTCGCTTCCATTATCGAACGTCTTCTAACAACGCGTTCGAGTTATTATAGGATAGGATCAACTTGTTCTTGCCAATTCTATTGTGTATAACATACCCAATTGACCAGCAACAATCATATTTTATCTGGCATCTGATACGTACTGAAACAAAAGAACCATTGATGAGAAGAAAAGAAATGGTGTAAACCAACAATCTAGCATTGCGTACGTACGTTGGACGATGGAATCGATAACCAAGAAGAATGACTTGCTTGCTTGCTTGCTTGCAGTATCCAATATCACTCTATCTATATAAAACGGCGACGTGATCACTGTCTATTTCACATCGAACACTGCTCATTCCCCTAGCTAGCTACCAAAGCAAACAACAAAATGAAGATCAACGGAGCTTCTGTAGCGACGGTGGCCGTGGTCACCTTGCTGAGCTTCTTGGCCGGCACCTCAGACGCCCAAGGATACGACTTCTTCCACCTTGTCATGCAGTGGCCGCCGGCCGTCTGCAACCAGCCTCGTTCCAACTGCAGGGCGGGGATTCCTCGGACCTTCACCATCCACGGGATGTGGCCGATGACCAACAGAGGCGGCAGCCCTCAGAATTGTCCCGGTAGAGTCCGCGACGTCCGATCAAGCGTACGTATACAGTTCATTAATTAATTAAGACTTATCCATTCATTAGCTTATGTCATAATTTTATATATGTATATATACACATGGTGCCTTCGATCTGTCGTATTTTAGGTAAATCTAGAGGAACACATATATTGTCAAATCGGGGAGCTCAATTAGTACGATATTGTCCGCTTTGGGCCAAGCCCGCACGATTTTACTCTTGGGTGTCCTCCCCAAAATGCCTCGTACTAATGAGCTTGGTGGACACTTATATACAAGGATTCCTTTCCTTGTACAACCGATGTGGTACTTGGATTGTCCCATAACATATATCTTTTGGTAATAGAAACGTTATCTAGACTTCGATTTAACTGAATTTTGGTGTTGTACACTAATTCATGATGACTGAATCTTAGGTCTTAATTATCTTTAACTATAGAACCTAAACATTAAGATGCTGCACATAATTTGTTGAACAATATTTCGATGAATCATGACCGTCTGTTAATTAATATTGTTTCTTAACGAATTGATCTTATTGTACGAGATTTTATAGAATATTAAGGTATGGATTTACGGAATCATGTCTCATTGGTCATTAGATCAATTCATAGTTTTGTTAACATGACATAATTCATCAAAAAAGTCGGTCTTATGTTCGAATCTCGATGACCCTCCTGTTTTTAAACAGGGACGAGTAGACAGAGGCACGCTGGGTGCAATGGACAGGCAGTGGCCGAACCTGAAGCGCGGTGGGAGGGACCCCAACAGCCAGTTCTGGACCCACGAGTGGAACACCCACGGCACGTGCTCCAGGATGACGCTGCAGAACTACTTCCGGCGGGCCGTCGACCGCGCGGCGAGCGTCGACCTGCTCCGGCTGCTCCGCAGCAACCGCATCCAGCCCGACAACCGGTCGTACCGGCGGGGCGACATCGGCGCCGCACTGCACCGCTACAACCCGGTCGTGAAGTGCAACGACGTCCGGAGCGGCGGCCGCACCTACAAGCAGATCCACGAGATCCGGGTCTGCGTGTCCAGGAGCGGCAACAGCGTCGTCTCCTGCGGCGGCGGCGGGCCAGCGTTCAGGAGCTGCGGCAACGGAGACATCAGGTTCTCCCGTTGAAGAAGCTGCTACGTACCTGCTGTCTGTTCGTTTCCATGCATGCATGTGTGTACGTGTGTTTGTGTGTTTCGGTTTGTTTGTTGTGTGTTTCTGTTTGTCCCGTTATTGTTTTCGCTTTCTCTTTTCAAAAGGACACTATGAATGAATGAATAAAACTAGCTTTGGCCCGTCTATATGTGATGGTGAAATTATGGTTTAATCGCGCGATTTAATATAACCGTAAATTCTATACCTCTAAAAATCATTTACCGGCTTAGCTTTTGATAGGAGATTTTTTTTTTGGGTCGAGCGGCCAACTCAGTACGGTTTCACTGCATGATGAAACTATACCATACCAGTTTTTAGACTACCTGAAGCAAAATCGGTATACTTTATTTTGCGTTATAAATCAGTTGAACCACGGATAAATAATGGTTTCAACATAAAATAACTTATCACTGACTTTTCCGGTACAACCTCCTGTATGGTCTTAGAATTTTTTTATTTATTTATAGATTTTCCAAACCTTGATTAGTGTATATATTTTGGTACATTGTTGAAATGATTTATTAGGCGAAAGAGAAAAGACTACCAACTTTGATAAATTCATCAGGATATAAACTTGGAGGATGTTTAACTGATTCCAAGAATCCAAGAACACAACCCTTGGACTACTACGAAAAACACCGTCCGATTTCAAAGTAGCACGATCTAATTCAAAAATTTCACCCAATTGACCGTACGTACGTTCAGAACTCGAACAGAAGCCAAATCTCTGCTATTTCCGTACGAGTTGAAATCACAACCGTTGAAATATCGACAACTTCATTATTATCAGCATCATCTTCTACCCTAGTACCACCGTTTGCTCCGGCGGCTCTCTTTACCATCTTCACATCTTTCAGTTGGTGTCGCCAACATTTACATTCAGCTCCACAACGATTGGTCAGATCTGTCTCGTGGAACGTCTTGCACACATACTGTCAAGAAATAAAAGAATTCCGACACCAATTAACATGAACAACAATTTATTAAATGACTTGACGAGCAAGTCCGAGTTAAAACGGGGAAAAAATCAGTGTAAGAGTTTTCAAAAAATAATTCACAAGTTAAGGATTAGGATGGAAGAATCTAAAAAAAAAATACATACCTTTAGAGCCAACAACAAGGTCTCTTCCGAAATCGAGTACAGATTCGACTTCTGCGTGAGACTCAGATATTTCGGATGGAAATTCTGAAACAGGTCGTCGAGAAACGAATCCATGTCGGGCAGGGTCGAGAAATCCCAAGGCAATATCACACGTTCGATCCGCGGAACAACAGACACTTCGTCCGTAACTTCCTGTCTACGCCACTGCATATATTGGAAAACGACACCAAGAGAGTAAATAATAAAGCGCACACACCTATCAAAAGGAAGCCAAAAAGAAAAAAGAGGCACAATTAATGTACCTCACTTAAACTCTGAAAAGAAATGTCGAGCGTCAACCGAAACTCGCTGATTCGAGGATAAAGCTGTCTCAGGTTGTTAAAATTGTGAAACATGTGACCATAAAGATACCAGTAGAATGGCACCGCGGTAGTAGTAGTACTATTCTTCTTCTTCTTCTTCTTGCTACCTAATTCGATCGAACGGAGAAAACTAACAATCGCGCCGTGATAACTGAAGTTGCTCAGCCTCGGAGCATCGATCTCGATCGCCATGGCTCGCGACTCCTTCCAGACTACCAACGTGAGTTCCCGGAACCTGTCGCTGCTGACAATCTTCAGATTGCGCACTTGAGCTGGGTTCGTCAGCTTCAGTGTCTCCAGAGATGGGGACTCCGCAATCAGCTTGTTAACTTTCTGGTCCGTCAATTTCCAAGCATCTGAAAAAGCGCTAGATGTTACCTAAGCGTTATGTGTAAACGTATCATAATATCCTATACTTGCCTAGAATCACAAGCGTCAAATGTAAACATGAAACATAGTGGGGAGAAAAGCGTAAAAGAAAAAAAAGGTAGACAAAAGCGAAACAGATTGAGACGAAGAAGCACAAAAACAGAAAGAAGAATCTACTCTAAAAATAGTTGCCTCTAACTATATCCTTGTCGAATTATAGAGAAATCCGGAGTTCAGGACCACCCTCTCTAGTAGTATATCAAAAGGTAGAAAAAAGACATTGTAACATCATTTTGAGGCGCGCAACTCAATGTTAACTAGGCATAACCGAGGTCAAAACGTGATCGTGACGTCTTTTTCGCTGTTTTTTTGTCAAGGCGAGACATTTTCCTTCTGACTTGTGTCTAGACGAGTGCTTATGCGCGCTTTTTTGAACCAACTGGAATGGTTAGCAGAGATTCGATAATTAAATCTTATACCACATACTAATATGTCCCATCAAATGAGAAGCCACTCGCATATGTTTGCAGTTGTCCAGATTTATCAACGCGAGGATTATCGAAATTTAACTAGAATATCTCTCGGTCTAAAAAGGTTTTGATACCACCAATTAGTTCCAATAACTTAAGTTGTTGAAAGAATTTCTATAATGGATCTTACATTCACATACTCATGAGTAGACAGAGATGGAGTGTCTTACCTATTTCAAGTTTTCTGAGATTTGGCATAGAAGAAACCTCCAATTCACCTCCCAACGGAGAGGAAAGACACAGGATTTCCAGAGAGGTCGCCCCTGTTATCTCCAAATCCTCCACATCGCAAGCGTAGCACCTCAGGGCTCTCAGGTTGGGGAGATTCCGAACCTGAAGCCTCCGAATCTCCACGATCGCGGACAGAGTCAGGCTCTCTAACCGCGAGGCTCCGGCGATCATTCCGTTCAGAATTCGGTCGTCGGGTAAACTGACGTACCGCAGAGTGAGCTCCCTGAGCGAGCTTCCCACCCCGACTAGATCGACGCCTACGAATTCCCTGAAGCTGCAGAACTCCAATTTCAGAATTTCCAGGCCGCCGCGAAATTGGGGGAATTGGCGGCAGGGGAGCAATAACAATCCCTTGGGGATGTCGTAGGTCAAGCGGCCGTCGAATTCGCCGAAATCTTCCATGTACCCGCAGCTAATGTCGATCTCCCGCGGAGATTGAGATCTCGTCGCGGCCGCGGCCGATTTCAACAGATCGTCGAGGAAAGCAGAGCAGGGTAACACGTCCCAATCGGCGCCGTCGAAATAATCGGCAAAATCGATCCTCACGGATCTGATGCCGAGCGGCGGGGTGCTGTTGTTACTGCCGAACTTTGCGGCGACGGATTTGGCCAATCGCTCGGCGGTTTGCTTCGATAGGAATCCCCTGTCGTCGAATTCCAGGACAGGGTAGGATCGCCAGAGGTTGACCCATCTTTTGGAAAGGACGATGGTTCTCGCGGCTTCCTTTGTGGATCTCAGGCGGGCGAGGATCTGGTGGATGATGTCGTCGAGTAGCGCCGAGATCCGGTCTACTGGTACTTCTTCTTCGCCGGCGGCGCTGGCTTCTCCTTGTTTCTCCATGGTTCGGTTTCGTTTCCGTTCGACTGCGCTGGGGTTGCTAACAAATTTAGAGGTGTCGGTTCGGTTCGGTGAACCGAAACCATTTGGGGAAAACAAAAACAAAAATCGATATAGACTCTTTCTTCAAAATCTAAACCGAGTCCGTTAAGGGGTTTATTGACGGTTCGGTTTCGGTTAAAACAAACAGAAAGCCAGCACAATTTGTAATAGCTTCTGATAGAGCAAGGTTCGAGTTTGATTTTGATTTCTTATTGGTTTACGATTAAGCCAAAATCGTTCAAATGCAAATAGATTAGAGACAAAAAAAAAAGTCGATTTACTGAATATCATCATCAGACAGATCGAGTGGTCAATTGTGTACGTAAGACAGATATGAACAGATTACGATCACAACAATCGATCCTCATCTCCAAACAAACAACTACTTCTATATGAACCATCTCCCATGCATGACCACTTTCTTTCTTGGAGCCTACCAAGCTACTACTAACGTAGAAATCCCAACAAGTTCACAAACAAAATCGACATTGTTGCCAACATTAGAACACACAACCGTTGTTCAGAACTCCAACAGAAGCCAAATCTGTGCTATATCCACATCAGATGAAATCACAACCGTCGAAACATCGACGACTTCATTATTAGCATCATCTTCTACCCTAGTACCAGTACCGTTTGCTGCGGCGACTCTCTTCACCATCTTCACGTCTTTCAATTGGTGTCGCCAGCTCTTACATCCATATCTACAACGATGGGTCGGATCCGTCCCGTGGAACGTCTTGCACACGTACTGTCAAGAAATATACAAAAAATGATCAAGTCCGATCTAAAATGAAAAATCCCGAGTTTTAAAATAGTTTTCCACACAACATAACACACCCTAGCTAGCTACAAGCCTAATTATTTATACCAACATTTACTACACATACACATACCTTTAGAGCCAACAAGATGGACTCTTTCGAAATCGAATATTCCTCAGCTTTGAGGCTCAGATATTTCGGATGGAAATTCTGAAACAGATCGTCAAGAAAAGAATCTCTGACGTCGGACACTTGGGTCGAGAAATCCCGGGGGAGTATCACACGTTCGATCCGCGGAACAACAGAGGATTCGTCCGCGACATCATGCCTACGCCACTGCACACAATGAAGAGTTATGATTAGAGGTATTGTGTCTAATTTGTAGTGAAGCAAAAAAAATTAGATTTAGACACAATGTAGACCTCGTCTATTCTATGATTAGAGATATCAAGAGTCAACCGAAATCTGCTTATTCGACGAAACAGCAGCGGTTTCATTTTGTGAAATTTGTGATACGTGTCATCATAGCAAATCCAGTGGAATGATGGCGCAGTGCTGCTATGTGACAGGCCATCATCTTCTTCTTCTTCGCGGCGACGATGGCTACCAACCTTCTTCTTCTTGTTCTTGCTACGAAATCTAATCGAACGGGGAAAATTAACGCTCCCGCCATGATAACTGATGTTCCTCAGCCTCGGAGCATCGATCTTGATCGCCATGGCTCGCGAATCCTCCCGTTCTACCAACGTGAGTTCCCTGAACCTATCACTGCTGACAATCTTCAGATTGCGCACTTCACCTGGGTCCCTCAGCTTCAGTGTCTCCAGAGATGGGGACTCCGAAATCAGCTTGTTAACTTTCTGGTCCGTCAATTCCCAAGAATCTGAAAGAAAAAGAATGTCAAAGTTGTTAGTCCCGATTATGGATGGCAAAAATATCCGGACCTGTGGACATTCGCTCGAATCTGATCTGATTAACGTTAGGGTAAAATTCGAATCCGAAAGATTTTTTCAGTGGGTATGGAGAAAATTCGAACTCGAATTTGTGGGTAATAGGCGTGGAGAAAATCCGAAACCAAAAGATTTTTAGTGGGTATGGAAGTTATAAAAAAAATTATTATCCATGGATCTAACCGTGGATACCCAAAACCCAAATGGGTATGTACATGATGTTGATTTTCTATATGATTCTTCTGTGTGTACGGATACGGGTAAAACCTGAACTATCCGCCTCCAATCGGTTGCCATCGCCCATCCCTAGTCCCAATTACTCGAGTTGTTGGGAGTGGTTCGACAATGAATCTAATACCACATACCAAAATGTCTCATCAAATGAAAGTCAGTCATATAGGTTTGACGTTTGAACAGACATAAGGTGCTTATCATTGGGGGTTATCGGAATTCAAACATAAATTTCTAGATCTAAGAACACCACCATCAATTATTTTCAATAAGTTGGTTGGAATACCATCAATTAGGTTTTATAATGGACTTTTTATCATATACCAATGGGTTAATATTTTCGTATGGCCTGAACTTTGACCAAAATAAACATCCTGGCCAATCTTTTCGATCTATAACATCCTGGCCCGAACTATACACCAAAATAAACAATTTGGCCAAACCCGATGTTTGACCGTTAACTTGGACGGTCAAACGCATTGACTAACGGTCAACGCGTCACGTCACTGCCATGTCACTGCCAAGTCAGAAGATCAAATAAATATTTAATTTTTTTCTTTTTTATTTTTGGTTAAACTAAGGTATTAGATGATTTTTTTAATTTATAATAATTTTTTTTGTCATAGATATAATTTATAATAATTTAAAATTAGGGAATGTGTGGAAATTGTGAATTATTTTAAATATTTTATGCTGACTTGGCAGTGACATGGCGCGTTGACTAAACGTCAATGCGTTTGACCGTCCAAGTTAACGGTCAAAAGTTGGATCTGGCCAAATTGTTTATTTTTGTGTATAGTTCGGGCCAGGATGTTATAGATCGAAAAGATTGGTCAGGATGTTTATTTTGATCAAAGTTCAGGTCATACGAAAATATTAACCCTATACCAATTCATATACAAAGTTTAAGAAGAGGAGTTTCTTACCGATTTCAAGTTCTCTGAGATTTGGCATCAAAGAAACCTCCAATTCACCTCCCAACGGACCGGAAAAGAAGAGGATTTCCAGAGAGGTCGCCCCTGTTATCTCCAAATCCTCCACCTTGCAATGGGAGCACCTCAAGGCTCTCAGGTTGGGGAGATTCCGAACCTGAAGCCTCCGTACACTGAAGATCGCGCGCAGAGTCAGGCTCTCCAAGCGCGAAGCTGCGGCGATCAGATCGTTCAGAATTCGGTCGTCGGGTAACGAGACGCGCCGCAGAGTGAGCTCCCTGAGCGAGCTACCCACCCCGACTAGATCAACGCCTACAAATTCCCTGAAGCTGCAGAGCTCCAATTTCAGAATTTCCAGGCCGCCGCGAAATTGCGGGAATTGGCTGGAGGGGAGCAATAGCAAGCCTCTGGGGATGTCGCACGCCCACTGGAAGCAGAAATCTCCCAAGTATCCGCAACTAATGTCGATCTCACGGAGCGATTGGGTTCTCTCGGCGGCCAATTTCAACACATCGTCGAGGAAAGCAGAGCAGGGTCGTCTGCCCCCATCGTCGCCGGCGAACTGGTTGGCGAAATCGATCCTCACGGATCTGATGCCGAGTGGCGGGGTGGTGGTGGTGTTGTTGTTATTGCCGAACTTTGCGGCGGTGGCGGCGGCGAATCGCTCCGCTGTTTGCTTCGATCGGAATCCCTTGTCGTCGAATTCCAGGACAGGGTAAGATCGCCAGAGGTGGACCCATCTTTTGGACAGGACGGTGGCTCTCGCAGCTTCCTTTGTGGATCTCAGGCTGGCGAGGATCTGGTGGAGGATGTCGTCGGCTAGGGCCGAGATCCTGTCTATTCGTACTTCGTCTTCGCCGCCGGCTACGGTGGGGATTCGACGGACTTCTTCTTGTTTCTCCATTGTTCGGTTTCGTTTTCGTTCGACGGCGCTACTGTGTATCCTGATCGGCGGGGGCGGCCGGTTTAGATATTTAACCTGAAGACGGGCTGGGCCTGGGATTGCTTATTTAATTTTGGGCTTCTGCTCCGGTAGTGAATATCAGTTCCATGCTTGTGTCGTGTTTTAGAATAACAAGATTCTTTAGTCTATTCTCCTAATTTGGCGACCGAATTTTATCCAATTCTCGAATGTTAAATCATTCAAAATTCAAGAACTAATATCTTCTTCGAATCGCATCTCTTTTGATTAATTTCCTAACTTAAAGTGTAGGTAAAGAATTTCTTAGTTCAGTCAGATTTTGGTATTTATATGATTATATCTATACCCATCTTTAGAGTTAATTAAAATTTAATTAAATTTTGGAGCAACACCTAAATTTGGGTATATGTAAATTTCACAGCATCTATCTCATTGCTAAGATCCAGAAAAATTTGTTTGGATCCATACAACAGAATCTTCTAAATTGGGAATATGTATAATTGGTTGCTTACAGATGCACAAAATAATTATTAAATAATTTCTCTCTTCAAGCTTATTTTACCTTAAAAGTTCAAGCACTTGTTACGTATCAACATATATTTTCATCACCAAATAATTCGTGATATTGATCATATTGATTCGATGGATTACGAATGTCACTTGTGTCTTAAGAACACGATAAATTCAAAAATATTATCATACGATCGAACATTATAAAATGGTGTTTCACATATTGATAAATCTTGTCCTCGATTGCTCCTCGTGAATAATTGAGATCGCATGATCTTAGTGTCTCACATAGCATAGTATAATTGGGATTAGATCAAAGAACTCTAACCCTTACCGTAAGGTAAAACAATATGATTGTCCCATGATAAACAAATGTACATTACATATCGATCGATCATATTATAGTCATCCAGAATCATTTCCTCTATATAATTTTTAAAACAACATTCTTATTTATGCACATTTTAAGAATCATTGGAGCACTTAAGAGGAGTTAAAGTCCTTATTTAGGTAAAAAGGGGAGAATTAACTAATATTATTCTTATTTGTAAAATAAAACTAATCTTATTCTTAATTCGACGGAAAATTAAAAAAAGAATATTAAATAAACTTTATACGTCGCCGTTGCAATTCCGCGCCGTATAAATAACAGAACAAAACCGCCCATTTCCTCCGTCACTTTCATTTCCAACCAATTTCCCCTTTTCCTTCTCCTCCTTCTTCACTGCAAAATCTCACTCTACTCAGAGCAAATCCCCCCCCAAAAAACAGCAACAATGGCGCCGGTCAAGTTCCTCTGCAGCTACGGCGGCCGGATCGTCCCACCCCGCCACGGAGAAACCAAGCTCCGATACGCCGGCGGGACGACCCGGGTCCTCTCCGTCAACGACCTCGACTCCTTCCCCGACCTCATGTCCAAGCTCGCCGAACTCTGCGGCGAGGCCGCCGTCGAGATCCGGTGCCCGCTCCCCAACGGCGATCTCGAGACGCTCGTTTCAATCAAGTCCGGCGAGGAGCTCGCCGCCGTCGTGGAGGAGTACGATCGGTTCTCCCCTGGCTCCAAGATTCGCGCAATTCTCACCACGTCCAAGAAGCAGGACACCCTCGTCTCCCCTCCGCCATCTGTGATTAGCGCCGGCGATTACTCTCCCGTCAAGAAACCCGCTCCTTCTCCCTCCTTCCTCCCGCCTTCACTCGCCGTCGGGCACCCGGTAGTTTATCTGCACAACCGCGATTCGTGCGGGTTCGGGTACCGGAATTACTACCCGAATTACGCGAATGCGCAGGTGGTTTCGTATTGGAATCCCGTCTGTGATTGCTTGAGCTGGCGCAATTGAGATGGCATGGAAGGGATCGCATTTGGGGGATTGGAAGATTTGGGGGAATTTTGAGGAACAAATTTTAGGGTTTTCTTGAATTCCTTTCTGCCGGCAGGAGCTTTCTAGGCCTTTCTTACCATTGTACATTTGTATATAGTACTACTAGTAAATATGAAATAACAATTTTGTACTTGATTTGTTGACCAAATTTTGTGTATGATAATGAATAAGGGTTTCGTCTTAGAGTCGAGTTTACATGATATGTTTCGTAATAAATTTTTGTTCTCGAACATACTTTTTATCTTATAGCAATGATGTCGATTTGATTAGGTTACTTAGTAGATCATGTTATTTGTATGAGATCAATTAGTTTATCCGCTTAAGATAAAAATGAAATGATTGATAGTTGAAAGTTACTTTATTTTGTGGAGAATTTTTTGCTTAAAAAGATTTTACATCCTATACCATTAAGATCGATTTCGTTAGTTTACTCAGCAAATAATTCGTCGAAATGGGACACAGGATGTGCAAGTGCAATGTGGAAAGCTTTCTCCATGTTTAGTGGCCAAGGATCCCCTTCCTGACCAAAGAGACCAGGCTTCTCATTTGATGATTAGTATGAGAAGAGATCTATACTAGGATCTCTCAAGAACAACCAGCCTAATAAGAGTATCAAAAGCTAAACTCTTCTTATAAAATAAAAAAAATAAAAAGCTAAACTCTAATAGGAACCGAGTGTTACTGCCAAATATGGAGTCAAAAAAGGATAATGTCTTCCATAGATGCTCTTATGCTGTGTTTTGTAGTAATCAAAAGATTCATTCGTTGAGCTTACTCAAGCATATGAAATAGGGCAGACACCCAACAGACCAAACTACCCTAACCAACCAACACCAAGTTCTGAAAAATAACACAGTAGACAGAACAGAGCCCTCTTTTTCTCCTCGAGCAATGCTGATCTCGTAGTTCGCTCGGTAGATGCTCCGTTAACGTGAGCAACTTACTCACTAGTAAGCAGCTCGCCTCAACCATCGAGACTCGAAAGCAACTTACTCTATCGACATACACAGAACAGGTCAGACAGATCAGCCTGAACAAGAATAGAAGATGCACAATGCTGAAAGATTCCTTCATAGTTCGTGTCCGGGAATCCCGAGATCTAAGAACAATCATCTTAATAAAGAGTATATCATAAGTCTCAGTGTGAACTGCAATATGCAAATCTGATTGATATAGAAAGAGTACATTACACTGTTTCCTGCTGTCCAACATAAAAAGTAAGATTACAAAAGAAACCTTGAGGAACAAGAAATGTTTTTGCTGCTGCAGCTGCTGCAGCTGCTGCTTTTTTCAGACACTTTATACTTCTGGAATTCCCCCTTTCCCACCAGACATTTTGACCAAAGGGGGAATTAACTTATGATCTTGAATAATACAGGAAACCAATCATCAAATAAACAGGAACCCATTATGACAATATGACAAAGACCCCTCTCCCTAGACCTCACCAGCAATTAAATTAAAGAATTAATTCAAAAAAGAGTGAAAAATAAAACTTCCCTCCCATGTAAAAACTAAATAGTAAGAAAGAAAAACCCAAATGTTCCTTCCCAACTCCCACAAGATATCTACACCTCCACAGACTAAACAAGACTCAAACTCTGCCCTTCTCCTCCCCTCCTTCCCTTCCTCAGCCAAAATTTTTGATTCACAACACTTTGTAACACGCCCCAACCTTGCAGCTCAAGCAAAGTAGTTTTCACTCACCAAGCTGCTTCATCTGCACGACACCATTTACTCTTATCAGTTGCAGTTCAACCCACAAACCTCCAACACAGGTCCATCCCGGTTCACGAATGGGTTGACACGGACCCACAACAAGGTCAATATTGACGACAACAGAATCGACCACACCAGGATGATTGTCGGCATCTTGTTCTGCTTCCCCAAAAGACCCTTGAGGAAAGGGTAGAGATGTACAATCACCCATATGGCAAAGAACAGCCGACCAAAGAGAGGGCCCCATGAATCATAACCATTGTTTATTGCATCGGAGATGCCAACCACGACTCCTATCACGTTCATGATCAGGAGAGTTGTGGGCGGAACCAAGAGAGACGTCCACTTGAATATGTAGAGCTCAGAGAATGCTCCATCGTCGGCTGCCTTTGATGTGACGGTAAAGTTTGTGCTCACTCCGGCTAAGACCTTGAGGAGACCTTGGAAGAGGGCAAAGAGGTGAGAGGAGACACCTCCAATCACCCAAAACTGCTCGTTCCTCCACAAATCATCGAGGCCTACTCCGCCCCATTGCATCTCGAGGATGCTTGTCACAGCGATGGATATGAAGAGGGCCATGAAGACAATACTGGCGTAGTTGCTAATCTGTTAAGAAAAGCGCAATTAACAATGTGTTTAGATGGCTCAAATCGTGGACAAGGGTAGAGATGTAAAACACAGAAGCACTATCTAAACTGCAAGCATTCACATAATAAGTCAATTGAAATCGTAGGTTCCAAACGACTTCCAGAGACCCTAAAAGCTTCGACAAAAGTTGATAAAATCTAGTGAACAGGTTTGGGGTTTTACCTCAGGCACAATGAACTTGCCAGTGAGAAGGCAGATGGCTGGCAATGTACAGTAAACCAACAGTGGAAGGGAAGTCCATGGATAAACAACAGAGTTTATGTATGAAAACCGCTCCAACCACTTCAGGCCGCCACCATATCCGTACCAAATTGGACAATGTTTGCTGAAGAAAATCTCTACCGATCCAAGAGCCCACCGAAGAACTTGATGCAGTCGATCTGACAGATTGATAGGAGCTGAACCTTTGAATGCAGGCCTTTTCGGGATGCAGTAGACCGATCTCCACCCGTGGCAATGCATCTTGAACCCGGTCAAGATATCTTCCGTAACTGAACCATAAATCCAACCGACCTGGATCAACCAAAAATAAAACAAAAAGTCAGATAGTTTCGACAAGAGGATAGTAAGATGATCGAACAGTTTAAAACTCGATTTTCGTCTTACTTCTTTCCCCCAGTCGGATTTGTCCTCGTACCCACAACTGATGACTTGGATCGCCTCCCGGAGTAAGGAAGCTGGGCTTGCATTTCTAGGAACTCCACCATTTTCCAAAAGAGTTGCAGCAATGAACACCGGAGACTGTCCGAACCTCTTCTCTAATTTAGTTTGGGATTGCTCCGTTGACTTCACTGGTTTTGATACTGAAACCAGAAAATCAGTTAGATTGCACATGATCGATGATTTCCTCAGCACCAAGTAAAAATTTCATCGAACCAAGCTTCACTAAAATGGCATAGATCTCATACCTACTATTCCTTGTTCAATATTTTCAAGAGCATGGATCTGCTTGGATGTTTCCCTATTCTTTGACTTCTTGTTGTCCTTAGCCTTCAATGACTTCTTCTTTCTGGACCCGCAGAAAAGACAGCACCATTTTGGCCAGCAGTTGCAGGTTTTTCCAGGTGGCTTCTTTGTGACAGGTGCATCATATCCATATAGTGCGTGTCTCCGGAAAACACACCCGGTACCCACATAAATCGGTCCTTGTAAACCATCTAAACCTTTCATGTTAATCTGATTATACCATTAGCATGAGTTAGCTTCCACCACTGAAGTCGAAAAGAACCATAAACTGAAAAGTGCATAGAGAGATATTACTTACATCAAAGAAGACTACATTCCTATTGGAGTATCGATCGTGACGATCAATGCCATCGAACCTTTGTGGAAACTGTACATAGCAAACTTTCTTCCCTGATGTAGGGTCCATCATGAAGCACATTGCTTCTCTGAGTGCTTTGCTGTTGTTAATGTAGTGATCACAATCGACATTCAGAAGATAGGGAGCATTCGACAGAACTGCTGAGACTCGTACCTAGATCAAACAATCACAAAGCAACCAGCAAAGGCTTATCATGTTCTTGATCGTACTTATCACAACATGGAAAAAGGACACCTGCTGGGTTCATAGACACATGGCTTTGGAGTCTTACCAGTGCATTCATAGCTCCAGCCTTCTTATGATGTTCAAACCCAGGTCTTTTCTCACGAGAGACGTAGACTAAACGAGGTAACTCATTTCCTTCAACATCACGAACACCACTTTGGCCAAGGAATACCTGAAAACGAGAGAGATCTATATATAAGTAAACTGTATATCAGAATCCGTGGAGTGGATTCAGATGGTTATGGGCTGAGGGCTGGAAAGTAAAGTGCGATAAAGAAAAGGGTTCTCAGTAAGTAGAGATGGGAATGGAACAAAACAATCCTCTCACCTGAATCATGCCAGGATGGTCCCGCACACTGTTTCCAGGCCATGGAGTTCCATCTTGCATCGTCCAACCATCTTCTGGAACCTTCAGTGCTGTTGAAACCAACCCATTTATCCTAACCTTAAATTCTTCATAATCTCTCTGCAATTATCAACAAAAGGGGAACGCATAAACAAAGATATGCTTTAGTTGAGGTTTACATAAAATGAAAGGCTTATATGTGGAACTTAGGAATGAACATTTTCTTCTAACCTTCATAGCACGCCTTTCCCTAACAAAAGACGGATGAACTTTGTTCTTCAAGTAATCCATCTTCTGACAGAAGTACCACTCGGGAGCTCGAGGCTCGATATTGAACTTCTTACAGAAAGGAACCCACTTCCTCGCAAATTCAGCTGTCTCGGAGAGCGCTTCGAATGTAAGCATAGCAGCGCCATCATCAGAAACATAGCATGCAACTTTTTCAACAGGGTAGTCAACCGCGAGAATAGAGAGAACTGTGTTTGCAGTGATGAGTGGAGGTTCTTTCAGGGGGTCCACTGTACTGACAAAGACATCTACACTGGCTAACTCTGATGGTTTGCCTTCCTTCTCGTATCTAAGTGAGAGTCTATCGAGATATGTTTCTCGTTCTATAGGGCACCATTTGGGGAACTGGTCGAGAATCCACGAAACAGCAAACCATATCTCACAAATAACTGATGTCAGCCATAAAGCATAGGCATCCTTGACCGGATGGAGAATACGGTAGTGGAAGAACAAGCCCACAACGGCGAGTCGCACAATGATGACCAGACGATACGGACTTATCTTGCTAGAAGGAATTGGTAGCTTCCTCGAGAGAGGCTGCCTGCCTTCATCCATCCTGACCAAAGTAACATCAAGCAAATGAAGGAATCAGTCAGAACCTACAATGGTTGACAGATAAAGAAGACCTGAAGGAGAAAGTTATCAATTGCAAACTCACATTGGCAAATCAGGATCATCGAGTTCATTCCCATCAAAGCTTCCCCCGTCATTTTCTCCTTCATGCTTGACCACCTGAAGTTTATCACTTTGCCTTCTCTTCCATTCCTCCATTCTGTCCTTCCATGCTACACTTCCATAACCATAGACTGCTGTATCCTTCTGAGGAACCATGGGTCTCGGTTGCACTATAACAAAAGAAAACGCACAGTGAATAGCAAGCTACTAATACAGATCAAAGAAACAGAAGCTGAGGGGACAAAGGCTTACGAGGAATAGATGGATCGGTGTAAGGCACTGGATGGACTCGGTTGGCATGATGACCCATGTGCGGAGGAACTATAAGAGCATGTCTATCGGAAGAAATATCAGCATCCTGTACACCAAGAAAAGCCAAGATGGAGTAAGGCAACTGCATTTGGACAATTAATGTGTGAGCTGAGAATTAAATTGGACGAACTAACCTCCTCTCCATAGGTCAAGAGAGGAACTTTAGCACCAGGGGGTGAAGAATCGAAATCCGTGGGAATGCCATTGCCATTAAGATGTGATCCACGACCAGTGTTGAGACGTGCAGCAAGCATTAACTCCGCAACTTGTTCAGGGCTCAACCCTTCAAAATCAAACTCGTGTTCCAAATCATCAATGTCATCTTCTTCCTCATCCCCTTCCACCCTGGGACTACCTGCAAGAGACATAACCACCATAGTTACTTACAAACATAGCTCAAATCATCTCGGGGAAAATTTTTAAAATGACAAACACCAGCAATATATCTAACCCTTAAGACGTTTGTATCTCGTTCTGCACTGAGGGCAAGCCTGAGTCCCCTCTCTTCTTTCATATTCGTAGCAAGGCCTGCAGACAGGGAAAGCACATTCATTGCAAGCAACAAATGGCTCCCCATCCACAGTGATCTCAATCTCATCACCACATATCTGGCACACCTGCCCGCTCAATTCTTGCACGGATCGAATCTGTTCGTGAAAGCGAAATTATGACACAAGTGTGAGCACCATCTCTGGGGGAAAACATAACAAATACGAAGTAATGGAAATATAACACTGTACTAAGGCTACATCTTCTATAGACTATGACCTGAATGAATTCTGCAACTCAACTTGCTAAATATCGACTAACTTTGTTCCACCCCAACAAGGAATTTGACTCTGTCTCTCTCTAAGACATCAACAAGAGATCTATCTCATTGTTCTTGCCGACAAGTTTTGGCACCGTACACAATTTTGGCTGATCTAAGAGAATGGATGACTGGAAAATCCATGATGTAGTGATTTAAGCAAAACTCCAACCAATAATCTTCCAAATTACATAGGGGGGAATCTGAGAGCATCCTCAATTTGGTACAAAGTCAGACCTCAAGATTAGTAAAACTAATTCCAAGCATTCTGGAGTGTCTATCAAAGCCAATTCACCACAATTGTCCATTTCACTAGTTTCCACTACTCCACCCACCCCAAGGAATTACAGTGAGTAATAATCTGTCTCAATCTACCTTTCCCTTTAATCATAGAACCAGATAATTCACACTGAAAAGACAGGTTTTTTTTATAGACAAGCCACTAAAACCACAAATCTGAAAGTGGTGAAAGATTCCCATTCCGTTACAGGGAAGAAAGCAACACAGAACAGATCAGAAATCAGTAATAAAAAAATGAACAATTCACAAAGCCCAATCAAACCCAGAACTCAGATTTCCATAAAGGGATTCTGAGATGAAGAAGGTGAAGAAGAAGAAGAAGAAGAAAAAAGGCTCTTACTCTGGCATTCTCATCTGCATTAATGAGGACGAACTCATTCCTGTTGTGAGAACCAGCAATCAGCCGCCCTCCAGTGTTCATTTGGGTTAACCTTCAACTCCTTCCCGAATCCGAACAAAATCCGTTACGGGAAAGGAAACAAATTCCACCGATTAGGTCGACCGCCGGTGAGTCAACTCGCTGCAAGTGAAAAGCTTCGAACTTTGCATCTCAAACTCCCAAACCCACATTAGCTAGAAAGAGCACTCCCGCTAATTGAATCGGGTTTTCGCCCGGTTTTAGTTCCCCCGAGTCCACAGAGAGACAGACAGTAAGGCCGAAACCCCAAAGTCGCTCTCTTTCTCTCCAACTGAGAGATGGAAGATGGGAGATTGAGAGAGAGAGAAAGCGTGTGTGTGGGTTTGTGAGAGAGAGGGGGAGGAAGAGGAGAAGAAGAAGAAGTGGGGAGAGGCAGAGAAGAGAGACAGGTAGATCCAGATAGGTACTAGCAGTGTACAAGTAATTAGAGCTACTGAACGCCAAACAGAAAATTAAAGAGAAAAAAAAAAGGCAACTCTTTAGAATTTCCCACAAATTTTTATATTCAATTATTAAAAACCCAACTTGACAAATTAAATTAACCATAATAGTTCAGCAAAGATGAATGCAAAAAAAAACTCATTGATAAGTTGTGTGTAACACGAATTCTACATTCCAACGATTCAAATTACAACTTTATATGTGACGAAATGAACATCTCGACTGCATATCTTCGTAGGTGAAATGACGTTGGTCAACCATTTTATACTATGTGTTCTTATAACTTGAAAGTTAATTCTATACTCGATAAGTTTCATGAGTTATACATAAATTAACTACGTTAATTAATTATGATTAAATTAATTCATTAGAGAGTGGGTGGAAATGAAAAATGAAAAAACAAAACACAATAAAGATGTGGGTCCGAGAATGTGACGGTGGCCCTCTCTCTCTCTCTCTTCTCAGTGTCTGCCGCAACAGCTGTTGGGCTGTGTCCTGTCTCCAACTCTCTCTCTCTCCTCTCTCTCTCTTGCCATTCCTAATTTCCAAATTTTTATGGTAATTAAATAATTTTTTGAGGCATTCCTTTGAATCCGTGGTATAAGAAAGTGTCGGTGCCCCATGTTTATGTGAAAATAGTGGTGGTGGCACCAAGAACCAAAATGCCAATAATTGATACCCACTTCGAAATAAGAAAACAAAAAACAAGACCACAAAAAGGGATCTTGGTTGTTGCCCTTGTTCATTCATTTCATGGTTATATGGATACAATAAATGAATTGGAAGGAACAATAATTACTACTAGCTAGGGGGTGTTGACTCTTATTAAAAATAAATAAAAACATTTATGGATCCATGAAATGGGGAGGGTAGATTTAAATTTGAGATCTTGATCTAAGAATGTAATCTGGTTTTGTTTTGTTTGGACGACATGGTGGATCGTGAATTCTTGTTATTTTTCTTCTCATTTTCATGACTAGTGAAATTAAGATTAGTTTTGTTATGAGTTCATAGGATTTATTTACGTAGTTTGATGATAAAGGAATACAAAAAATGTGTTGTGATTCGCATTGTTCTCTTTCTGTTATGTGGAGAGATTGTTGTATCTATTGCTGCATTATAGCTGTCCTTTGGGGGCTGCTTCGACCATCATCAACATAAGAGCTTTTGGGATAATAGCGATATGTTTGTTCAAGATGAAGTTTGAAGGGGGTGTATCAACGACAAGGAGCTAAGTCATGTACAAGATACCGATATCTCAAGCTCGCATTGGGAGAAGGGATTCATAGTCACGAGGTTGTTTTGTTGCTTATGGATTATTCAATTGTCATGTATGTTACCGTAATAAAAATTAGCAAATGACTGAAATTATGTCATTAGAAACCATAATCTTAACGAATAAATGTTATTTCGAAGTATTAAATTTTATATGAGATGAATCATCTAAAATATTGTATTGTGTTTGGAATGCTACTCTACATCAATCGAGGGGAGTGTAAAGTTGAAAAGGTTGGATTATTGCTTCTATAAATATGGTTATTCTTTCTATATATTTTTTACAGTAAATTATTCTTTCTATACAAGCATCACTTTTTTCCATCTTGATTTCATGGTTTTCATGATTAGGTAAAATAGTAATTATTACACACTTAACTCTTTTTAAGGTGTCGTTGTCTCTCGAAAAAGGCCAATTCCTAATATTAAACAAAATCATTTTCATTTTTTAGTGAAATACCAATAGCAAATTCATTGTTTGCTAGCTAAACTAATTAATATATTGTTTTTGTATTTTATCGATGAAAGAACTAATTCCCCCACTATACCCACAAGGTCACAATCCCCAACCCATGTGGGAGAATAAAGTATGAGAAAGAAATATAACACGAAATTATTACCCAAAATACTATTTATTATATTCCTTAGCATGATCTTACCCAATTAATCTAATAATTAACCCAAAAGAGCTCCATAAATGATTACAAAGGTCCACGTGGTTTCGGCACATTGGGTCTTTTTTAACCTTTCGCTATAAATAAATCTTCTTAGGTGTCACTTTTATTTTTACCTTTCTCCATGTTTATTTGTACTTTGTACACGACGTAGGATGGAAGGAAAATAATAATAAGTAATAATTCTTTTTTACACTCATTACTATGGTCTATTCTCCTCCACTCAAGCTCTGCCAATTGGTGGTAAAAAAAACTCAATTTCCAATTAGTGAAAACTTTATCATTAATTAATTTTGTTAATCAAGATTTGGGTTGAGTGAGCTCATGATTTTACTATGATCATCATCATCATTGATCAATCGATACTTTCCTTAGAGGCATGCCATGTGTATGGAAGACTAAATTACTCTAATTAACATGGATATAAGTATTGAAGTCATCTTTTACCTAACTTGAATTGTACACAATCTACCCACTAGTATTATTATATTTTAAGGTTTGAAATGAATTTTTGCAAGAGATAAATAGATATAAATTTTTTGATTAACCATAAGAAGATAGATTGGGAGACAAAAATTGAGAGAAAGCTAAATTCTTTTTTATATGAACAAATGGTTGTACCCATAAAAAACGAGTTACTAGCAACAGCATTGCTAGTTATGCAATAATGTAATGTTAGAATCTGATTTCTATCAACTATATCCCTTCTATGTGACTAAATTCTTACTGTAAAGAATGTTAAATATAAGGAAATGACAGGTGAAGCTAAATCCGTGTATCATAGATCTTGATCACACTTGCAAGTTGCAACGAAAAGAACTTTCTTACTACGCATATTTACATCTTTTTCTCAATTATATTTTTTCTTGCTTCTAATTTTTCACGTGCTTATTTTTTCGTTCTCGAATTAACACTTTATGTTACCACTTACACACTATCTAAATCTTATATAATTTGTTGTATTTTGTCGTAATTGTGATAAATATAATACCAGATTGTTGTACTAGATTTGAAATAGCATATCAAAGATGTAGCCTCAACAACTCTATTATGACTTATAAACATTTATGTCATAAATTCTACATGATTTCACCTATTAAAAATGTACTTGTTCACCGTTACTAGACCTATTTAGTTCTAACTTTTGCACACCATATTCACACGTTTATGACTCACATTTTTTTTTATAATGATTGTATGAGTTTATACTTTTTGTGGTTAGATACTATTTATAAGATCGAACATGAGATCTCCAGATTCAAAACTAGTGGTACTCTCTTCCCATTTTACATCTTTGAGAGATCGAAGTCATGTGTACTGGTAATTTCTTCACATATCTTCATCTATTATTCCATTTCCTTTTTTTCATGTGGGTAATACCCTAAGGTTGTGGGGTGGGTGGATTTGATTAGTGGGATATTTGTAAATTCGTGGCTTGGTTTTGTGGTTATGTGAGGCTGTGGGACTGAAGGGGGAACCGACGATAAGCAAAGCAAAGGCCTAAAAAAAGGCCATTGCAAGAGGACACAACAGAATGATAGAGAGAGGGAAGATGAACAAGACTTGTTCCTTTTCTTTTGATGATAGAGAGAGATTCACAGCTGTTGCTTTGGATTATAAATAAACGGAAAAGCCAACAAACAAACTAGATGGATGGAGTGAGAAAGTGTCGGTAGAGACTTGTTAAGACTTTAGAGAGAGAGAGAGACTGAGATCTTGCGATTATGCCAGCCCTCCCTTATTTGGTGCAAGCTAATACGAATTGATCACCAATTATAACAAGTAGGGCTGCCAAATGGTTATGGGTTTTTCCCCGGTTAACCGAAATGCAATCGTGCGGTTAGTGATTGATCGTAAACCGCTTAAGATGATTTTTGAAAGAGAATGAAATAGAACTAGGCAAAACACACACGAATTTTCAGCATACGCTTAGATGTTTATGGATGATTTTGCTAAAATGAAATAATACATTCACCTATACATGTGGCTATTTGGCCTCTTGATATCACTCACCTCCTACCAGCTTGAAAACCACTCATTAGTCATATAATGGATCAGCCCATCGCGTCAAAGTTGGCCACCTTAATTTGATTGGCCTTTCTCTTTGGCTCCATCTAGGTCTTGCTAATTAAGCTTTGATTTCTTGATATTTGGCTGTGTGCAAATCGGTCCCTTAACAGCTAGTTTTGCTAGCTGTCGGTTTGGGATTGCTTTGTTCTCCCCTCCCAACCACCTCTACTCTTATATATGCAAAACAGCTAGTAATTCCCCTTAATGCATCAGATTTTATCAAAACTTTGAAGTTAAAATGTGATTGGAAGAGAATTGTACAAAGATGGGTACCACCTTGGAAAGTCTTTGTGTTGCACCACTTTCAAAAGCAATAAAAGAAGGATTTGTAGTAATAACGATATCAAGAAAGTACAGTGAACTAGTGGTAACAAATGTCTGAACTCCGATAATACTTTTTGAAAGTCTCATTTTTCTCTTAAGTTTCTTGTTCGTTTCATGTTTTCTATTTATCTGTTGTAATTAAGGTATAGCCCACGAATTTTAGGTTGTTGTTCAAAGAATATGGGACAATGCTCGTTGTTCTTTCGCTAAACAACTCGGTTTGGATTGCTGAAAAATAAAGTTAGCCAATCATAGGTTAATTTTGTTTAGTTTTGAATGGTGTAGCCCTTAAGTAAGTATAGACAAATTGGTTGGATTAGGCTAATGATAAAAGTTATTGTTGAAGCCTCATTGCTCTTACTAAGCCGACCTTGAGTAAACCCCTCTGGTCCTACCTGAATCGTCCTTGGGCGTATGAACATATCAACAAATGGCCTTGTCGACCCGATAGTATAATGACGATAAGTTAGAGCGTCATATTCTAGAAAGATAAATGCATGTGATGTGTGAGAGAATCATACCTTCTCAAAAAGTGCCTGCATTCCCACTATTCAAAGTCGAGAGTACTCCAATTTTTCCTACTATTTCACATATGAAGATATTTAATGCTCTATACTTCAAGTTGATCGTGCGCCTCGACAGCAAAGTATTGTTGCAGATCAAAACGGGTGCATGACGTATGACTCCCTATGGGCGATTGGTGTTGTATCACGTCCCTATTATAAGTGGGCCACACCATGACACTAATGAGCGGGCTTGTGAGCCTTTCCTTGTTTTTTTGTACGAATGAGTTCGGTCACCTTATCATAAGTCTAAAAGCTACGATTTCACAATTAATTAATTTATGATAGATCTCATATTTCACTCAACTACAATGGTTTAAAATGAATGCCACATATAATTATCTTATAGATTTTTCCATGTGCGTTGCACTTTCACCATACAAAACGCATCTTCCCATTTGACTTGCTTCCTTTGTATATAGTTAGTTCCCAATACCTTTCACTATGGCTAGAAATACACAATCACATCATGTCTCGTGACTGCTAAGTACTAACTATTGAGCTAATAAGACAGTAATAATCTATGACCCAAGGGAGGGACGAATTTACTACGACGTTTGTTTGTAAGACGAATAAGGTATGTAGAATAGATAGAGAGGGTAACTTCAACTTCAATAGATAGAAAGTTGTTTTTGCCTATTTTTGGGTCTAGTCCTCTAAATAGGTCATCATGACTCAACGGTCATGTGGTTTTGGTTAGCCTTGACCAATGGTTCGTCTCAAACCAAACCGGATCGAATTCAACTTATGTTGTTGATTGAATTGATTAGATTAGTGTATCTATATCGGTAACAAATAAATTGAATTTATGAATTGGTGGAGTAAAATGATGGATTGGATTGGATTGAATTGGTGGATTCACGGATTCAATTGGCATCTAAACGTTGGACTATCATGTAAATTTTGAAAAGTTCATGCATTAAAATGTCATTATGAAAATTTTAGGTACCAAAAAATATTTTCTGAATGATATATTATGGTAGAAATTTAAATTTAGGTATCGAATTGTAGGTACTAAACTGTAATATTTCAAATATACATGAATTCAAGCGAAGATGGGCCAATTAAAGAACGTAAGCCCGTTACGATTTACATAGCCCAACCCATCAATCAAGCAGGCCCTTATAATTTGTGTTGCATTGTTTCGTTCTACTCGCCGGCCTGGCGGAATCTCATCATCGCCAATATAACAATGCCACGTGGACAGATTCCGTGCCACAGAGAACCCACCAGAGAGACCTTTTTCTTTCAATTTCTTCATCACTTCCCTTTCCTTTCTCCCAAACAAAACGGAAGAATAAAGAACAGAAGGATCATCTACCCGCTGAAAATCCAGTCTTTCTTCCCTTCAACCGTTTTCTTCTTTGGGTTCCCTCCACAATGCGAACCATGGTAATCAACTTGCGCCACCTCCCATCTCCGCCCTGCATCGCCGCCTCCAATCTCCACCACCACTTCTCTACTTCTTCTTCTTCTTCACCGTCCACCTCTTCTTCTTCGTCCACTACCTTCCTCTGCCGCACTAAGCGCTTCCACTTCCTATCCCCTTGCTCGTCCCTGAAGCAGACGCGGAAGAAGCCGCAGCAGCAGAAGAATGGAGCTCCTCCTCAGAGCTTGCGGTGGTTCTTGAGCCCCAAGGGGGACGATGAAGACGAGGGAGGAGGTGGGAAGAAGGTTGTTAAGGGAGATGGCGGGGAAGGAGGAGGAGGTGGGTTGGAAGGGGATACGGCGATGAAAGGGACGATTCTTGCTGGGATTTTGCTTGTGGGAGTCGTTGGTGGGTTCGGGACTGTTGGGTATGTTTACAGGGATCAAATCAATGCGTTCTTGAATCAGTTCTCTGGGTTTATTGAAGGTAAGCGTCTTTGATTGTGACCCGTTCTCAAATTTCTGTTCATCTTGCTTTCGAAATGCTCTGTGATTGGATGAAATTTGTGCATCATGGGGTGAATCGGTAGTTGAATGGAGGAGTCTCATTGTAGGATTTTTCTTGAATTGGGGAGTTCTTGGGAAGTCTTGAACCAGTGGGTTGAGAATGCTTGAGAAATTTGTTGCCAATTGATCGAAAGTCTTGGGAATTGAGTCAAGAATTACCCTTCAATTCTCGTTTTCAGTTCCAGTATTTAGCTAGTGAAAATGGACGGCAGCTGCAGGTGCCTTTCAGTTTAGTTAGTTTTCCTTTGAGAATGGTTTGGTCCCATCCTGATGAAGTTTGTTGGACTGGTTTGCAATGTAAATTACCTTCCGATCTCCAGTCTGCCTATAGTTCCCTTCCCTTCTATTGATCTTTTGGTTTTGCTTTTCCTTGCTCGATTCAGTTTGATGTTTTGCTAAATTCTGAGGCATGGAAGATGCTCAGCAATTCTTCACCGCTACTCATTAAAGAAAGCCTTTTCGTATTAAGTTCTTTGGTTTTCTTGTGAACAGGCTATGGAACAGCCGGATATGCTTTGTTTGTGGCAGTATATGCAGGCTTGGAGGTATGCGCTCATTCTCTTATTTAGGCCTTAATCAATTCAGTTTCATGCATCTAGTGAGATCTATGAGAAGTTCTTCGTGGTTGTCATAGTTCATAGATTCACGATACATGTGAGGATTTGGACACCAAATTTAGCATATCGCTATAATTCCATGTAAATGTTTTGTGAAGTTCTGCATACTGAGAGCATGTTCACGTGGTATATGAATGACCCAAGTTATGATTTCCTGAAACTGATTTAAGATTGTGGTGCTAGATTCTTGCAATTCCGGCAATCCCATTGACGATGTCGGCTGGTCTTCTTTTCGGACCTCTTGTTGGCACCATCATAGTCTCAATAAGTGGAACAGTAAGTCGGGTTTATTTTGTCTGTCTTGAAGTTCTATCGCCATGTCTATAGACTTTTGCACTCCCTTACAGTCTTTTGCATCCATGTCAGGTTGCAGCAAGTATTGCTTTTCTAATTGCTAGGTATTTTGCGCGCGAGAGAATCCTAAAACTTGTTGAAGGAAATAAGAAGTTTCTTGCAATCGACAAGGCAATTGGCGAAAATGGCTTCAGAGTAGTCACGCTTCTTCGATTGAGCCCATTGCTCCCATTCTCCCTCGGAAATTACTTGTATGGATTGACATCAGTCAAGTTCGTGCCGTATGTTATGGGGAGGTATGCTGTTCTGCCACTCAATTCTAGTTCTTATGATAGCTAAACCATATAGATGGAAGAACTGAAACTCTTATGACTTTTCGGTTTTTATCCATCTTCAACTTGTGTAGTTTTGTCATAACTAAGTTAGATTCAACATCGAATGCAGCTGGCTCGGGATGCTTCCAGGCACATGGGCCTACGTGAGTGCTGGTGCATTTGGCCGCGCTATAATTGTGAGTCTGCTATTTCTTTCTAACTTCTTTGTACAAAGTGGTATCGCAGCTCGCTAGAGAATTATGAACTTATTGGTAGACTGGTAGTAATCATTAGACGAATAGACGTGCCCTGAAGGCTTTTGTTTAACATGTGAGTTGCTCAACACTGATATTAGTGAAGTTTTACCTCTCAAATCAAAAACGTTTTCATCGTCTTAAGCTGTTAAGAAGGCATGTGGATTTGTGTCAATATAGCAGAATCACCGAAATGCTTGCCTTACAAGGGTCATTCCCTATCTGCTATTCTGCTTGTTTTCTATAACACAGGTTTCTTTTGCCTATTTTCAGCAAGAAGAATCTGAGATTGGGTTGACTGGAGGAGGAAATTACGGTCAGCTATTGACACTTGGGCTGGGATTGCTTGCAACAGCATTTGCTGCAGCTTATGTAACACGGCTCGCCAAGGTGACCAATCCCTCCTCTCTCAGTGCTTAATCTGAATTCTGCAACGCTCGTTGCAACCGTTAATAACTTCTTGTGTTTGATGCAGGATGCTGTGAAAGACATTGACGAATGACATTACACTGTCAAGAGTTGCTGCAGAGGAGATCGAGTAAGGAGGATGAATGAAATTAGACAGTTAAAGAGTTGCTGCAGAAGATAGATGGGAAGTTGTGAATCACAACTGATACCTTCCCTGAATATCCATGTAAAGATCGCAATTGTATAATTTTGGTTCCTTATAGCTTTCAGTGAAAGGAGTAGTTAAATGAACGGCCAATTTGTGTAAATGAGAGTTCACATTTGGTTCCATATCTCATAACCCTTTTCAGTGGGGAAACAGGAGGGTACTGACCCACAATCTCCTCTGACGAAACACTCAACATACGAACAATGCTCGAGGCAAGGATAATAGGATGCTTGAAAACATGATATAATGTTGAAATGTTGGATGGATTCTAACAGGTTTTTCACTTTTTCACCTTGCAAGAGAATTGAAATAAATGATATATACAGGTTGCACTATTCCGAATTTCATCTGTGTAGGATCCAAATGGCATTGTTCATATGTACACTACGAAACCATGCAGGAGCTATATTGGCTGAAGTCCGGAAAAAGACTTTTACATGACCCTTTCCTAATAGCCCCAACACACAGAAAATCATTTAGACTGTAGTTCCCTTCATTCCAAGCAGACAAAGATTAAGTTCGTGTTCTAGATCACATTTCCCCTCAAGTCATTCATCTACCGTCATCAACAATTCAACATCCAACACAAATTACAAATCGTGCATAAGCAATTCAACAATATACACACAAGAACTAAGAGCACTAATTAAGCATTAGAAAGGTCTAATAAGCACTGCTCATAACCGTTCCCCCCTTTTTGCGAGAAGCTGTCGTTTCGTTGCGGCACTTCTTTTGGAAGGCGATCGAGTGAGTTCCTTAGTCAGTTGTTTCACCGTGACATTGCACAAGTAGGCGGTCTACGCTTTTTGCAGTAGAAGCTCCTAAACTTTTCAGGAATATCTTCCAAACTGCAAGTAAGAAACAAACCCTAACTCTCCTTAGTCCTTCCTTAACATAAAGGGAGATTTCAAACTCGATCAACAAAAGTTGCACTACAAACACAAATGGTTTCTGGAGGAGCAAATTAAGAAAACCATCCATTAATGAATTACCTCTCACTAGGCGGAGGTAATGGGGGCAGCCGACGGTAAGTCACCCCCTTCCCGTGCTTAAATCTGTCGTCAGGAGGGTGATAGAGTGGGATAGGACTCTCAGGGTCACACTCTCCACACCCTTTCCGATTGTGAGAATAATCGCCTAGCAAAAGAACCACCATTAACAACATGTACATACAAACAGGATTAGAGTAATTCAACTCGATCGAGTCAAGTAAAAAGAGACCCCAACCAGGCATTGCAAAAAGAGAACTAGTTCATCATGCATATATGCTATAATTAAACCACAGAAGGTTGATTGATTGATAAAGAAAATGTGCATATACTAGTTACCTGAATCTCCTGGTTCTAGGATGCAGAAAGAGACCAAGATAGGGTCAACGTCAAAAGTTAATTCTGCAAAAACCAGATGGATAGTGCCATCTTTGTCCTTGGCTCTCAAGTTGACATGTACGTGCATGGGAATACATGGTATCACCCGAAAGCTCATTACAGCTTCCACCAATGTCAGCTTAGCCTCCTGAAACATTTTTTTTTGTGAGCATACAAACCACCAACTATACACGAGCAAGCATGGATTTCTATTGATTGATTTCATACATGCATATAAATATATAATAATAGACATACATTCATGAACAAAGAAAATGCATGCGTACCGGATTGTCTCGATTGTAGGACTCTAGAGCCTTTTCAGCATAAAATTGGGTCTGCTCTTCCTTACTGTTAAACCAATCTGCTGCGCTGTTACGACGTAACAAAATCACAATTTCTAGTTATTCATTAGCATCAGTATTGCATGTATATACATACATACATAAGTGGAGGGAGAAAGGAAAAGAATTAGACTCCTTACAGATACGGCAGCCCCATATTTTTCAATGGCTCCATACTAAATTCCCATGGCGGCTGATTCTCGCTCCCTGCAGCATTCTTGTTTGGCACGAATAGTCTCTTATCCATCTCCCGCACCAGTCTAATTACATCTTGAGAGTTGGCAGCAACCATCTTTGGTGTTGTGAATATAGTTTTTGGCAGATGATTTTTGTACGCTATCAAATCACAAGCACCCTGTTCTTGCTATCACATGAACAAAACAAGATTGGTAAAAAGGTTACTACTACCTAGTTAACGAAAAGCTATAGCAGATTGGTAAAAAAAAGACAGCAAACGCAAGATAACAGTCTGCTGAAGTTAACAAAAGCCTGAGCAGATTGGACGGCATAAAACTCTACATACCAAATGAAATTGGTTGAACCATGAACATAAATAACGACATCCCGCTTTCACCAAATCAGACAGATTGGAGTTGTGAGTTGCGAAATCCAAAAGTGAAAAAGAAGAAGTTTCAGTTAACTATTTTACCTTAGGAAGCTTTTCCACCATCTCTTTCACTTTGCTTACTAACTGGCCGAGTTCAGGGTGGCTGGGTTTAAAAAGAGACAGCAAATCATCCACTAGCCTCTCCAGCACAGTCGCACCTTCCCTTTCCTTCCTCTGTAACCACTCCTCAATCAGCTGCACAATCACACTAGTTCCTTTCCCTAACACTGCTTTCTCCTTCTTCTTCGCCGCATTCGTCTTATCCCATGCATTCACTTCAGTTACATTCGCACCCTCTAGAACAACAAAAGCTGTCACAAGCTCCCACGATACGATATTCCACACAGTCTCCAACAAACAATTCAAAGCGTGAGCGAATGCCAGATAATCCTCTTCGAAGAGCAAATCAGAAACCAACTTAGCAGCATTCTTCAAATCAGATTCAGTAGGGCATTTCTCCTCAAACAGTGTAAGCAAACCAGTTCTGCAACTTTCAATCCCTAGAGCTTCAACATTCAGCTTCGCCCTGCTTAAACTACTAGCCCCAACATTCCTTAGCGCGAACACAGGTCCCAGCTTTGACGCCACCGCCTTCCTCTCTTTCATCTCTCCACCGTGCACGGGTTTCACGGCGGAATTCAGTCTGACCCTCGTCATCGAATGTACTGACTTCACAAACTGCCTCAATTCTCCATGAACTTCAGGAATATCCGAAATTGCCTCAATAGGAATCTTTCCCACCATCTTTGATCCACTGAGCAAAACCTTCATAGCACTAGCGACACCTACCTCATCCTCGTCCACGAGTCCATCTCCCGCATCCGTGGAATTGAACGCCGTGTCGTTTCCTTTCAGCGCCTCGCACGACAATGCAGCCACAGCATCCACTGTAGTCGCCAGAAGAGCTGCTTCGTGGTCGATAAGGGCGGAAACGCCGCACAGATCGGCACAGGAGTTCTCGACGAACAATCCTTCCTCTTCTGTCACTTCAACTTCGAGATTCACAGCGCGGCCGGAATCCAAATTTAGGGCATCGACAATCTGATTAGGGAGAACGGGGCGGATATTCAAAGGACTGGGATGGCGGAGGAGCTTGTTGGCCAGAACGACAAGTGAGGCGCGGGATTCGATCAGGCTTAGGGTTTTCGAGATGGGGATTCGGCATCTTTTCACAGATTGAGGTGGAGGGAATTGAGTAGCTAGCCTACCTAGAGCCAACGAGTCGATGCGGAGGCGTGCTTGGCCGGTGGCGATGGCGTGTACGGAGGAGGAGGCAAGCGATGAGTCCTTGCCTCCGAAGGTTATGACCTGGACTTCGCCGCGGACGTCCGCCATTGATGAGCGCTGTAAGAGATTAAAACGTAAGACCTAATGGCTAATTGAGTTATGAGTAACAACTTCGATAACTCCAATCGTTTTATACTTTTACCATTCCCGAAACTGCTCTTCATTTTTAATCCGAAAAAAAATCCAAAACTACCGCCCTTTAAAAAAAAATTCCAAATCTACCACCACTTTTTTAAAATCGCCTCCTTGGATCGCGATTTGGAGACGAACCGCTTGGTCAGACTGCAGTTTCAACAAGAATCGCTTGGTCAGGTGGCGTTTTCTATTTTTGGTAAAAACCGCTCTTTCGTCCAGCGGTTTATGGGGTAAAAACGCCCATTCAAGAGGCGGTTTGGGTCGACAACAGAAACCGCTTCTTGAGCAAGCGGTTTTATGTGTCGATACACAAATCGCATCCTCCACTAGTGGTTTGTGCGCAAACCGCCCCCTCCCTCAGCAGTTTGTGTGTAGCCCCGACATCCGACAACTGCATGCATGCAGAGGGACGCGAGGCTGCATGACAGAGCAAAACCGCCCCCTCCCCCAGCGGTTTTAGTGAAAATTCTGCATATAAAAGGCAGCTCCGAGAACATCAACTCCTCACCCCTCTCCCTATTCTCCATCAAATTTCTATTGTACACCTTACTTTTTTGAGTTATTGCGATTAACGTTACTTCGTAAGTTTGTTTTTTATTACTTGTTAAGTTGTTATTATGATTTGTGATTTTGATGGTATTAATTTAGTTACAATTTTATTACAAATGACCCATGCAGTCAAAATCGCGTTTTAAAACTTAAAAACTTACGATTTTACGCTTTTAGGTCACCAAAACGCTTTCGTTTCCATATAAAAACTTAAGTGTATAAAATCGGACTAAATTGCGCTTTAAAGCTTAAAAGCTTACGCTTTTACGCTTCTAGCTCACCAAAACGCTTTACGTTTTTACGTTTTTAGTTCACTAAATGAGTATTCTTTTCATGAAATTAATTATAAAAATTATATTTTAAAAGTAAATCACCAACAATATGATACATTTGAGATTAAAAGATACATATCATGTACTTGGATGCATTCTTAACTTTAATAGAGTAATCTAATTCACCAGCTAGGCTCAAAAAGAGCATTAGCATAGAGGAAGAAGTGGCATATTGTTAAAATTTATGTTTACAAACTTATTATTAAGATGCTACAAGTTGCTCTACTTGAGGCATGAATTGCATGTATTTATTAACTTATCTAAATTTCGTGCATTCATATTTTACATAGTATATGTCCTAGCTTTTTAGTTAGTTTTCAGTATGCTTCAAAAACTTACGCTTTTACGCTTTGATTCTACGCTTTATGATTTTACCCCTTTTCCGCTTTTAGGTAGAATCGCGCTTTTGACTGCATTGCAAATGACATTTCAAAAATTCATGCTTGGGTTATAGTGGAATGGTTATAGTGAAGAGACCGGAGAGGGGGTACGTTAGTGGCAATTTTCATAAAGTGAAAGTCGCTACGAGACCGAACCTTGAAGAGCTCCGTCAAATGTGTACTGAGATTACTTGCATAGATGACACGAGAAGAGTTATCGTATGGTGTATGGATATCCAAACAGACATGACGAGACATTGTGGTATGATGAATTTCTCATAACCACTCAGGAGGACGTAGATGTCATGCTCGATTTTTTTATCGTCAATAACATTAAACAAGCAGAGATGTTCGTTTACAACGATTCGGTCGAGAGCGGTGGAGGTCATTCTGGAGATGGCCAAACATTTGGTATGCACGGTGGAGGCCGCAACCAACATACCACTATTTCCAAGGTTTTTGGGTGGGGAGGGGATGGATAGAGAGATAAACTTAGAGAGAGGGAAGAATGGGTTTTTGGTGTGAAGAAATGAGGAGGAGGTGGGTTTTATAGTTGAAGAACCGCATGGTCTAGGAGGCGGTTTCGTAATTTTGCACCAACGAAAACCGCGCCCCAAGCACACGGTTTTGCTTTCCCCACGCACTAACCGCACCCCCGACGTGTGGTTTTCAGTGGGAGACGCGGACCACTGACTTGGCAGGCGGTGTGGCTGTTGGATCGCCTCCTTATCCAACGGTTACCATGAAGTGCCGCCTTGAGGAGCAGTTTTGCTCTACCCCAACAAGAAATGACGTTTCCCCATGCGTTTTGTGGTCAAACCGCCCGTCCCCCAAGCGGTTCTTGACCTAACCACCGCTTCTCAATGCGGTTTTAAAATTTGGATGGTAGATTTGGAATTTTTTTGGTTTTGGTGGTAGATTTGTAATTTTTTTTAACAGTGGTACTTTTGGATTTTTTTTCCTTTTATTACCGCAGGTGATTAGGTTCATGCTAGTGATGGCGATGGGGCGGGCGGGGCGGGTACCTCAATTGAGTGAATTCCCATGTCCCGCCTCACGCTACTGCGGGTCGGGGTGGGTATACCCATTCTTTAATGTTAGTTAAAAAAAATACACGCAAAGTTTACTTTTTACGATAAAACGAAGGGGACAATATTTTATAAATGAAAAATAGTGATAATAAAATGTGTAATTGAGACTAACAAGTTAAAAGATCGACTCTAACTAGTTGAAGAAATGTCAAAATAGGAGAAATATGGATGGATAAAATAAATAATTGAGATAGAATGGGCCAAGAACGGGGCGGGACAGGGCAGGGCGGGTCGAAAATAGATACCAATGTCCCGCCCCACGCTACTATGGGTCGGGTAATACCCACCCCATCGCGGGTCAAGTCGGGTAATATCCGCGTGGCGGGTCCAAATTACCATCACTAGTTCTTGCAATTTGTAGGCTTGTAGCATGAGTGCGAAACTGCGGATCCTATGACTAAGGAGGTACCTCTTGGACTCAGACCTTATTTCTATTTTTTTTGTAGGAAGACAGACGCTTAATGCATCTTGATCATATATTAATTAAACAAGGTTGAGAGATTCCCATAACATCATAATCTAACCATATACACAAATCGTGATTGCTCACATCGACATGATGTGTATAAAAAAAGAGGCTATGGCCAAGATTGGCAAGGAAATCAGCTGCATGATTACCTTCCCTATACACATAAGCAACAGAAACACTCCATTCACGGTCCAAAAGGTTGTAGACATGTTGAGCCAACAACTCATGTATGTGATTATCATCAGAGCAATTCCTAATAATATTGATTGTAGTGGTAGAGTCCAGGTTCAGTTGAACTTGTTTGTACCCCTTCTCCCATGCAATTTCCAGTCCAACAGCTGCTCATTTGAGCTCTGCTGCATTAATTGAGTAGTTTCCCAAATTGCAGGCAAAAGCTACGCAACATCGTCTCAAGTTGTCTCGAATGAGACCTCCAGCAGCAGTAGATCCTGAGGGAGAGAGGACAGAGCCATCGGTTTGGATCTATACCCATCCCTCTGGTGGAGGTCTCCAGCCAATCTGGACCTCTCTTCTAGTAATAGGGAGTGAAAAACTCATTTCCACGTTTTGCAGAGCCTTTTTATAGATAATTGAACCAAACTTCAATTCAGCAGAAGAGAGACTTTTGCACATAAGTCTTGCCATCCATACACTCTTCGTTTCACTGCTTCCAAAGGTGCCAAGCGATCAGTCCAAATTCAGTTCCATGCTTGCCATTCTCCAGGTTTCTAGACATCCACTCCTTGAAGACAACTTCCTTTCCTTGGTTGTAATCCGATATATGAATTTATCCCAAATACCTGATGCCTTTCTGCAATTTCGAATGATGTGTTTCGTTGTTTCTTCAACATACTTATAGTGACTACAATTACCATTAGTAGTAAGCTTCCTCTCCATGCGTTCCTTGTTGGTTAACAATCTATCGTGCATCACAAGCTAGAGGAAGTGCTGTGTTCGAATGGGCCCTTCCCATTTTCAGAGTTTCTTCCAGACTTCCTCTCCTGCTGAGTCCAGCTGATCAGCAACAAGTTTCTAAGCATATTTGAGCCTAAATCGTCCATCCCTCTCCAACCCCCAGATGCATTTGAGCCTAAATTGTCCATCCATTTTCAACCCCCAGATGCATTTATCTTTCCCCAAATTGCTCTTTGGGGGTTCCATTCCAGCAATCATAGAAAGGATGTCTGGAGGGAAGAGATGATGGAGCTTCTCCCAATCCCAGTCTTCATTATCATCAGTCCAATCCGCCACTGAGGAGTCTTCTTGCTGAGTGTTGGCATTGTGCAGGACATGGTCCTTGAGGCAGATGCCATAATCCAGCCAGGGGTGGTGCCAAAAACTGGTGGTTCTGCCATTCATGATGTTCTAGCTGGTGGCACTTTTCATAAGAGGCATGGCCTTCATGATCGCTTTCCACAAGCTTGAATGGTTGCTTCGTTTCATCGCCACGATTTGTCCATCTTTCTGTTTGAAATATTTTTCTTGCAACACCTGCACCCACATGTTAGAGCTATTGTTATGAATATGCCAAGCCAGTTTAATCATAAAGGCCATGTTCAAGCTCCTGGCAGATCTTAACCCTAAACCTCCTTGATTTCTCAATTTGCATACATTTTCCCAGGATACCAAGTTTATCACATATGTTTTCCCTATATCTATCTTTGGTATTCTTGGAAAACAGAATTCTGGACTTTTCTCTACTCACAAGCTCTCCTGATGCATCACAAAATTGATCAGCACATTGGTTGATGACTTCTACTTGCTTCAAGGATGCTTCAGCAAAGAGGACGAGATCGTCCACGAAGAATAGGTGAGAAAGGGGAGGCCCTCCAGGGGAAAGTATCACCGGGATCCACCTATTTTCACTAACAACCTCTAAAATACAGTGACCTAGTCTTTCAACGCAAAGAGTAAAGAGATGTGGGGAAATGGGGCATCCCTTTCATGATGATGTTGATCATGCTCTGAGGGATTCCTGCCAACATCATTGTTTCTTCAAGAAAATCTCAGTCCAGTGGATCATATGCTTTGGCCAAGTCCAGTTTGAGAAGCATCATCCCTTTCCTGCCATCGAGTGAACAGTTCCTGCAATATAAGAATATTATCAATTATGTGACGATTGAGTACAAAACTGGATTGATTTGGTTTCACCAGTTGGGGCATTAGATGCTTCAGCCTGTTGGCAATGAATTTGGCCACCACTTTGTAAACCCACGCTGTAGAGACTTATAGGCCTGAAATGGCTCATCGAACTGGGGGCTTCTACTTTTGGGATCAAAGCAAGCAAAGTCACATTAAGAAGTCGAATGCTATCAGGATCCCATAAGCATTTCTTAATGAAACAGTAGAAGTCTAGACCAACTAAATTCCAGCATCTTTGGAAAAAGAGTGCATGAAATCCATCTTTGTCGGGAGCCTTCAACCCATTCATATCCTTGACAATGCTATGGATCTCTTCGAATGTTGGTTGGTTCTTCATTTGTTCCCATTTGTGGTTTTCAATAACAGGGAACAACGCAGGGATTGTATGCTGGGAGTTCCTGTTGCCTTTAGTGAACAGTTGGACATAATGCTCTCTTGCCATGATCAGAAGCTTATCAGGTGGATATATTGGCGTAGATAGCAGTAAGAGCACATGAATCTCCTTTTGGTGCAGAGCATTCCAGGTGGATATATTGTTTATGAATTTCCGGGTTAGCAATATGAATTTCACTCTTATTCCACAAAAGCCAGATTCCCCCACTGAATCCAGAGGAACCTGAGAGCTCATAGGAATCAAAGCCAAGCGATTTGATGATTTCAAGGGCATCCTTCCCACTAACCCTAGGTTCAACAATGCAAACAATGTTTGGTTTATGAATATACTTATAAAACTCGAAAGTATAGTGAAACTTGAGGTGTTTTGAACCTCTGCAATTCCAAGAGAAGACTTTAATCATCAAAGAGATTAGAGAGGACTTCCATATCATCAACACAAGGTTGGAACATTAGGGAGTGTCGACAGACATAGTTGTACCCTCCCCCTCTCCACTACAATCTGTTGTCGGATCAAGGAACACATTTTTCAGATTTTCTAGCTTCCTCTCCCTGCTTGGGATCAAAGCTGATCCTTCGGGGCGGATGTTTCACATTTTCTGGTGACTTGATGCTCTTTCTTTCTGGGCTTTTTGCTTGCTTGGTGAGAAGCTCCTTCATCTTTGGCTGATGTCCAGGCTTAGCATCATTGGAGCTCTCCTTGTCCATCCCAGTTTTTGATTTGGAAGGGGTAGAATGCTACTGGCTGCCATTTGTTCTTCTGCCTTCAATGTGGAGCTACTGTCCTTGTTGACCACTGTCGTAGCTATCTTAGTACTTAAGTCTTCTTGCTTCTTTGCACCACTTTTCAGTTTGGCCTTGGTCTTAGGGGCCTCCTCTCCCTTATCATTTTCCAGTTTTGATTTCGTTTTTGGGTTCTCTAGTGTAGTTTTCTGGTGAGGTTTCCTGTTATGATCCTTCATAGTACTTTCATTATTCTTCTTCCCTTCTTGGCTCTCTCTTTCCATTTGCTTTTCCATGTTCATGTCCTTAGTTGAGTCCTCTTTCCTATTCTCCTTTTCCTTCTCATTTTCCATTTCCAACTTCTTTCCTGTGGCCAATTCTTCTTCATTGGACTCCTGCATTTCCTCTTCCCCTTCTTCTTAGGGCTGGTAATCGGTCGGTGACCAGTTAACTAGTAACCGATTAATCGGTTAACTAGTAACCGATTAACCGGTTATCGGTATACCAAATTATGGAATGTGGCTAGCAATTACCGATAGCGAATTTTAGTCGGTTAACCGTTAATCGAATTCTCGGTTTCCGGTTACCCACTCGGTTAATTGAATACCGGTTACAGCCCAATATAATAAAATGGCTTTCGCCTCTTCTTCTTCTTCCTCCGCCCGCTCTCTGGCCTTTTCCCCCTCCCCCACTGCTTCGAGCCTTTGACCAGCTCCGTGGCGGAAGTTTTCCCCCTCGAGAACCGCCTCATCGTTCTCCCAAAATTGGGGCTTTGACTAGCGCCGGCGGCGCCCCTCTCCGGCGAGTGGTGGCGATAGGGAAAGCTTGGGGTCGATACTGATAAGGAGGAAATGCCGTCCTTGAGGCTGGCAATTTCAACGAGAGTAGGAGAGAAGCTGAGGCCAGAGGAATCATCGACTGGTGAGGCAACATGCAAGCTCGATCTGATGTTGCTGGCCAAAGATGAGGCATGGAGAGACTTGGATCTAGTCGCTGACGACATGGATTGCACTTTGCCATATATGAATCGAGATTAGACGAAGGAGAGGCGGCAGCGGCTGTAGAGAGTTGGGGGAAGAGGAGTCGTGCCGGGAGGCAGGGAAAGGGAAAACTTTCTGAGAGTCACGGCGGGGAGAGGGGAGGCAGAGTCGGAGTAGGAAGGCGGCAACACGAAGAGCTCGGACGTACCTTTCCGGCGTAGCGGTACCTCAAACCCCGGAAACCATCGAACGCAGCGAACCGGCGAGAACCACACTTACTCTATTTTCTCTTTGAAAAGAATGCAGAAAACTAGTTTTGGATTTTGGCAGAAATTTCGTATCGGAAAAATCTATGTTAAAAACCAAAGGGGGTTAGGTGCTATTTATAGAAAATGAAGGGGTGCGAACGAAGGGAGGCGACTCTTCATATGGGTGGTTACACCCCAACCAACACATTGGTTCATGTTTGAAATAATGAACCATTGCATCGGTTCGGCCCATGGTAGTTGGACCGGTTTGGTTATTCCAACCGCCACATCAGTTCGGTTAGATTTGGTTCAACTCGGTTTGGTTTGGTCCGTTTGGTACACAAACCAATTTAACCGATTAACCACATATTACATCAAATCGATCGAATTCGAGACCGTGCCTTCCCACATCTTACCAACATGGTACTTCAAGAGACTCTTTTGAAACTTTCCCCTTTTATTTCCATTCACACTACTAAAAATCCCTGAATTACTTGTATTGATGACATGCTTCTTAGAAGAAGAACCGATCCCGGGTCGCCGTGGGAGCTGGGAAGAATCTATTTCGCCAGAAGCAAGAAGTTCAAATTCTCCACTTAACTAAAGCTGGGTCGTTTGGACATTTACAGTTTGGTCATTTAAGTTTGGTTTATGTTTTCAGAGGCCAGTGGTGAGTTAGTGTTTGCAAACAGGTCTATTGCTTTGTGCTGAGTGTAGCGCGACATCGCGTAGTAGGAGTCTATGATAGGTTGCCGGGTGAGCTAGGTCAATTAGTAGGGTTACGTTTTTATCGCTCTATATTTGTAACTTGGAAATTAGTTTGGTTTATCTGTTTTCGACACTTGTATTGTTTTCTCACTTGTGGGTTACAAACAAAACTCAATCAATAGAATCATGAGTTACGATTCATCATATAACTACAAAATTATTTACCACTATGTGAAAAACATAAAGATGATGTATCAAAAAATTACGGGAATAAAGACTCCCATCATGTGCTCTCGTCTGACAGTTTTGTACCCATTTGCATAACAATCGGGTCCCATGCTCTCCTGTACAATCCAGCTCAACTCGTTGTTGTGGTCGCGGCTAAATCCTACTATACTCAACGCGTGTCCATTGTAAGGCCCACCTCTACAGTTCAGGCCAGGCTCGAGATGGATCAAAGGAATTTCTTCAACTCCTATAACCGGCCCATTAAGCATGATCTCGTTCATAATTTGTTGCTCGGTAGCTGACTCGAGGGGAACGTAATCATAGGAACTTATGCAGTGACGTATGCATGGTGACAGCTGTAAAAAGAACCAAAAACAAAACAAAATGAAAATTAATAAGCATGCACGACACAATTAATCAAAACTTGAAACCATTTCACTAACCGTGGTCTCCTCAAGTTGTCGCCAATACTGATAGACATGATGCTCATTCCCAGGCTGCATAATTAAGGTCCATGAAAATTCTGCCCAATTTATATAAATAATAAGCATAAACTTCTAATGAAATTAATGCAAATTACTCACCAGAATAAAACCATTTTGCCATCGCCAAGGGTCGTAATCTTTTTCTAGGACCAGACCATTGGTCTTTGCAATCTCAAGGTTTCGTAAAATCTTCTCCCCGCGCCCCCGTTGATGCCCCTCCGCGTCGGCTAGATTGTACACAGAAAAAGGACCTATCTCACGGATGTGCCCGTTGTAATTCCATGCTAACCGCATCCTAGCTTCTATGGTGGAGATCACCGAGATGTAGGTGCAGTGATCTTTTGCAAAAGATAGATTAAAATAATCAGGGTACATAACAAGATAGAATCACATGAACTAGTTAAAATTTACTAACTAAATAATATGATATCAAAAGAATATAAACATGAGATGAATTAATGATGAAAAATGACTAGTTTTTTTTTCCGGCCAAACTCGTGAGTTTATCGATGAGTCGAGTTCGATTATGGCCACTAAGCTCATTCGTGAGCAAACTTGAATTGAGCTTGAGTCAAATACGAGCCTAAGAGAAACCCGGATGTAGACGTGTACGGCTAAAGTTCGTAAATTTGGAATTTGAGAGAGAATTGGAGATTGGGTTGGGGAAAGAAGAGAGGATTTGGGATGGGAGAAGAGGAAAATCGGGTCTCCCTGGGGAGGAGCCGACCGACGGCAAGGGAAAGAGAAGGAAAGGGGATTTCGGGTTTGAGGGGGAGAGAGATTAGATTTAGGAAATAAGTGTTTTATTATTGATTAATGAGAAGAATCCCATTCATACAGAATTTATATGTCGATAAATTTCCTACAGCTACCCCTAAATAATATTGCCTAGTAAAGTACCTCCCAATAATCCAAAAATCTTTAAAATAACAATCAAATATCCAAAACAACTATAAACTGACAAATAAGTCCAATTGCCAAATGGAGATAGAAACCCATAGGATGGGATTAGGTGCTAACCCTTATAGGGGGTTAACACCGTGATAACTAGCAAAAAACACTACTAAAAACAACGAAATAACTACGGATTATTATAAAATCAATACAACATCTAAGCTAAATCACTACTAACCCTTGGTTAGAACGGTGCTAACTCTTGTACAATTAGCACCGTAACCAGTCCCGAAACCCATCTATCAGAGTCAAGGTTTCAATAAGCTTGAATTTGACAGCCGAACTATTTCAAAATAAACTCAGATAATTTGCAATTATTTAAACTCTAAGGAGTATAACTTGCATCCATGTGATTCTTATATAATCATTAGATCAATCAGATTCCATTCTGATTGAATTTGTGATTATCGTGTTAGTTTAAGTGCACTAATAACCATGACAAAAAAAAAACTTTTGTGCTTTAAGTTAAATGTATCTTAGGAAGCAAAAATGAACCAAAGACACCATAACGTAAAATCTGGAAACCAATGAAGTGAACATACCTGAAGCTAATTGATTCCTAACCGGGCTCAGTACTTGGCGATTTTCCGGCGTATTCAGCATACCCATCGTCATGTAAGCCCATTGAAAGTGCTGCGGGAACTTCGGCTGGGAGTATGATCCTACTGCAAGAAGAGAAAAAGGTAATACGCAAGACAACACTTCAATTAATCTTTCTTAGAAGACTAATGAATAAAGACAGACAGAAAGAAAGAAAAGCAAAATTACCCATCGGATCCATCGCACTTGGAGACACTAGATGCTGCTCAGGGTCAGTTGGGACATCAAACTGCCAAAACAGACCCCAAAAGTTCACATAACTCAGCACCATATTGTGCAATGTGCAACAACCTTAAGACCTCAAGAAAATTATTGAAGTTTCTACAGGACTTGAGGTATGCCCTCCGCCATGGATTCTTATGCAAAGATAGAGAGAGAGAAATATGACATTTGCAACAAAACATTAAGCTGTTAAAGTAGCCAGGAAGATTGATGGGTGATAGGCTTACCATAGTCTCCTCGTGGCTGCCAAATGCTACTATTGAAGAGCCCTCTTCAATGAAATTTTCCATTTGCGACGATCCTCTCACCTTCTCACATGAAATAAGAAGGTATGCAAGGTTGTAAGAAACACCAAAACAGGAAGGTAACAATTGATTACGAAGAATGTTATAAACACACAAACCTCAGCTTTCATTCCTGAGGTAACATCCTCCTGCTTGCAGGCTGCAAAACTCAGAGATCAATTTAAACAAGTCACTACTTATATTACTACTCTGTAACATTACTTGCCAAGGAAGCACAGGAAGCTAAAGCATCAGGGTATCCATAATTATAGATCATTACTTACCACCACCTGATAGTGCTATCTTGATCATCTTCTCAAACCCCATCTCCAAGCCTTGAATAGGCACAAATGTTACTGGCCCGCCAATCTCCCTTTCAAATCTGCTTCCCCAGTCATAGCAAAACAACATTGCAACCTCAGAAACCAGTAGCAGGATACTAAACCAGAGGGGTTTTGAAAGAAGAATCTCACTTGAAGTAAGAGCGTTGAAATGAATCCTTCTTCTCCTTTGTGGGTAGGCAGACAACAACATATAGGTTTTTGAAACGAGCCTCCAGCTTCTGAACTCTGTGCCAAATCAAGACAAACATACAATCAGGCACACAAGGAGCTGAATATAAGAGTCCATTTCAGTCAACTCTATGACTGTTTGTGACAAATAGATTCCTAACATACTATTTAACATCTGATCTACAGCATGAGGCATAATAGAGGGGTTTCTTTACGGTTGAGGGAGCGCATACGAGAACGAGTACAAGATCTAACGATGAACTACTCCCTAATTTCTACTGAGGACACGCCCTTGATGAGGGAGAAGATATGTGCTGCCATTAGGGGAATGAATTCTTGGGACGAATCAACAGTCATCCATCTTCAATACTTGAGGTTTCAACTCCTAGCCTAAAACTGCGACTGCATTTCAATCAAGAAAAGTTACCTGTTGAAGACTAGCTCAGGGTTGCCGCAATCCCAGTTAGTGACAAAAACGAACGCCACTGAAAGTCCTTCGCAGTTGAAAATGAGATCCTAAAAGCACAGAGAGATTCGGCAGCAATTACAATTTGAGATATCCACCATCCAAACAGTTCGAATTGACAGACACAGAGAGGAATTCTCGAGCAAAGAACTAGGGTGAGGAAAATTACCGGATCTATGGAAACAAATTCGAGATCGAAGGAATTCTCGCTCAGGAACGATGATACAGAATCGATGTACGACGGAGCCTGCTCGTCTCTCCATTTCCGGCTCATCATACACACTCCGGAGATTCCTTCGCTTCCCCTTCTTCCTGATTCAAGCACGCCAAAAGAAATCTCGCTGGGGAACGACGATACGGAATCGATGTGCGCCGGAGTTTGCTCCTCTCTGGATTTTCTGCTCATCAAGCACACTCTGGAGATTCCTTCGCTTCCCCTTCCTCCTGGTTCAAGCACGCCAACGGAAATCTCGCGAAGGAAGGACGACACGGAATCGATGTACGCCGGAGTTTGCTCCTCTCTCGATTTGCTGCTCATTTTACACACTCCAGCGATTACTTCGCTTCCGATTTCTCCTGATTCAAGAACACCAAACAGAACTCTCGATCAAGAACAAGAAGAGTAATCAGCGTCGTTAGAGGCGTAATTTCGGAAACATAGCTATGTATTCGACGGCAATGGATTTTCTCAGCGACCAAACAAGAAATGGTATCGGAAATTTGACAAGAGTGAATAGATAGAAAAACCTAAATAGAATTCTCGATCAAGAACAGAAACTGTAACGAGATCTCTGAAATACAGCTATGTGTTCGACGGCAATCGATTTTATCAGCAACCAAACAAGAATCGCTCATCGGGAAAGTTGAGATGAAAAGAGTGAATGGATAGAAAAATAACCTATCATCGTATCATCATCTGCACTGAGAGTCGACATTTCCAGAATGCAAGCAGCTCAGCCTCAGAGCAGAGAAACGAGGAAGAGAATGAAAATCTCAGTGAATTGAGAAGTGGCGGGAAGAAGAAGGAGAATGGCGGTGGGAGGTGAAATGGGCCGATGCTGCGGTAACTTGTAAGTATGGGCCGATGCGAGCCCAGTCTGTATGATAAGAATGATAATGGGAGAGGCCCGGGCGAGTATCTCGATACTCATACCCTTCTCGTGGCATGTCAGATAATTTATAATGTGACGCGGGTCGGGGTAGATCGTGAGTATGTAATTTATATGGAAAATATTAAAAATAATTTTTTATTTTTATTATAAGACCAAGAAACAAACCAATGAACCATAATATGATAAATGTAGTTACATTATTGGAGAAATTGAAGTTTTCACTAATTTACAACTTTATTATAGCCAAAATATGATATAATAAAAGAAAATTCCTAAGTAATTTGACTAAAATTACATATAATTTAGGAAAGAACTGGCAAAACAAGCAAAACAGATCGAGTAAAACGGGTCAGGTCAAAATTGTCACCCTACTATGTCTGTATGGACGGAATATGATAATGCCACATTTTTTTTTGGTGAGAATAAGCTCATATTTTATTCTCAAATTAAAATTTTTTTATTTTATATTAAAAATATGGCAAAAAAGGTTTTTATATCAAAAATATGTTTTGTAATAAAAATATGCCACTAGGGTTGGTTTGCCAGTGGAATTTAAAACTAAGAGGTTTATCTGATATTTAAAAATATAATATACACTTTCTCTTTTAAGGCCTCACCATATGAAATTTCTAACATTTCTACGCATTCACGTAAGCACCTCTTCCACCAATCAAAATTCAAAGAATATTTTAATTTTTATTTAACTTTTTCTTTTAAGTTTTTGAGTAATCCAATTAGAATGTGCCTGCTATCACATTTTTTCTCTTCTTTTTCAATCCCCCTACTATTCTTAGTTGGCTCATATTTATTTCGTTTCAACTTAAAATTTAGTTATTTGTGCGCCAATAAATAAGTTTTTATGTGATCTACACAACGATATCCATTTTGATAAGGTTAAACATAAATTTTTTGAAAAACATGGTCACACTCATAGAGGGGTAGGCAATGGGCGGGTTGGGTGGGTTTTGGTCTCAAATTAACCCACTCGCTTACTTGCGAGTTGGTATAATTGTGACCGCTATCCACTCACATTCTTTTGCGGGTCGGGTTGGGTGAAGTGGTGGATGAGTGCGGTTAATTCATTGGTTAACCCGCAAAAGCAATTCTCTCCAACTAGCCATTAAAAAAATTGACTAACATTTATAATAAGTTCCTAGCAAATTAGTAAGACTATTTATCAATCCGTAATCCACCCACATCAATCTTCCACTTCTGGCGGTTCGGGTTATTTGCAGGGAATCGATATGAACCCACGGATTAACCACCCGCGTGCCCACCCCTACACTCATATATCCATGCGTCACACTCACATCTCACAGTTACTAACCTATATCAATATCATTCAATTCAACCAGACAACCACCATACACGAATTATTCACATGCTATCATAGTTCACGGTACAAGTTTCTTATTCTACTTAGTTACTACACTATACCAAATGTTTAATTTTCTACTTAGTTCATGGTCTCCTCAAGATGCCATGAAAGCTTACTTGCATGCCCTTCAGCTGGTAAGAGAAATGATGGGATACCCTCTAAACTTGTACTTCTACTCTTTTCTTCACCATGTAGCTTTAGATTCACTTGTGTTAGCTATGCAATTGAGACTTAGGTGTACTAGTACTTTAGATGATAGACGGAGGGACATCTTTCGAAATGATTGGCCATTTGAATTCGAATTAGAACGAATAAATTTTAAAATTTAAGTTCGATCAAATTTCAGATGGTACTTATTTTGGGCGTGAGCGTTGGCTTCGGTATAGTTGTCGAATGCTATGCACGCAACATATACTAATCATGACTCTGAATCGATTTGATCTTTGAGAAGATGAAGGAATGCGCTTCATCAATCATAGAACCCAAGTCAATAGAGCTGGTGGCAGCACTGGCAGCAGGTAGGAGATCAAAGCTAGTGGTGGAGATCACTTCCTCACCAAATGGTATCACTCCACTGACAATGGCACTTGCTGTTGCAGCAATGCATACAGGAAGGAAAGTAGTTCTCTCATTCTCTGCACCACTACTCTCAACAACATTCCTTCTTCCTCATCAACAACTCATGAAAGTCAGATCAAGTCTCAGTTGGAGTCAATGGAGCTTGGAGATGTGGTAGTGGAGCATGTTTCTAGTGGTGATGATGACTTGGGTCTCAAGAAATACAGTCTACATTTGGAGCTCTTGGGGTTGCTTGATGTGAACCCAATTGGTTCTATGATTGTGGGTCATAACTTGGATAAGATGAAAGGAAGGGGTGGTTACAAAGGTGGGTGTTCTTCTTTTGGGGAGGCTTTGGGGAGGAATAAAGAAGGTTGCTATTTTGTGAGCTTGCCAATTGGGGATGGAGGGATGGAGTTGGCAAGACTTGGTGGTGGTGGGTGTTGTGGTAATGTGCCTGTGGAGATTGAGAGGAGGTACAAGAGGTTCCATGTCACATTTGAGGAGTGAGAGTGACCCATGTTTTTGGGTAATTTTACTATATAGTGTAGGTCTCACAAGTAATTTTGTGAAGTGATAGTATATGTAAATGTTGTGTATATATAATGTCTTTTTTGAGTTGTGAAAAGAGATGGAATAATGAGTGAACGAGAGTGACGAGCTGGTGCAGATTTAGCTTCGAAAGGGTTAGAAGTGTTGGGGGGAGGGGTAAGAGATCAATTATGTTTTGGAAGACTCTTTTGAGGTTTGAGCTATACTTAGAGTTAAAATCTTGAGTTAAAGTATTCAAGTTAGTATAAGTTGAGGTTTCAAGGGTTAAAAATAATTTATTGGTTAGTAATATCTTCATTGAAGATGTGAAATGAATGTAATCCTATTGTAACACTGTAAATTCATATTTTAGAGGTTTAAATTCGAATCTCAAAAGATTACGCTCTTCAAAATAATAATCCTTCAATTAAGGTACAATTTTTCGCGTTTCATATACAAAAATTTTACTTATCTAATCAAAGCCAAAATAAAATACAACCGATTCAATTCATATTTTAGCTATTATTTACCATCAATTTTTACATATATTTTTTTATCTATGAAACACTTTAGTCATTGTGTATGGTGGTTAATGAAACCAGGGATAATTTGTTCTTTTGCTGCTGTTTGTACAAGAAGTTTTGCAGGTTGTTTTGGTCACTGGATGGGATTATACCCTGGTGGAGGATGCCACGAAGGTTTAGAAGAAACTGTGCAGAAGTTTGGGAAGCAACCTGTGGGAGGTTTTCTGTGGACCATGATGGTTAGTGAAGTATGGAGGGAATGCTATTTCAGGGTTTTTGGGAAGAAGAAGATGACAATGCAAGAGTTGACTTGGATGAGTTAGGTAGATAGAAGAGTGTTATGTCAATTTCACACCAATAAGTGCTTGCCTAATGTATGATATGGGCTGGACTATAAAAGGCCCTAGGTGCAAAAGATCTCGGAATAGAGGACCAAATGTCAAGGAATCAAGACAGGCTAGAGAACAGGAGGGCAAAATCCCTATGAAAGATTTGAAGATGAATCAGCCAACATCAGAGGATTGTATTCAGAGGTGCCAGCAGCACCAGGGCCAGGGTTCCTCACAACCTGAAGAGACATCAGTTGAAGTCCTGACTGAGCGGTTGCCTTCACTGCATGAAAAGGAGTTGCAAAATCATGGGAAGGCACTTCCAGTTAAGTTGGCTTTGGAGCCCAGTACTGGGCGGATAATCTATCTTCAAAATCCTCGTAAGCAACAAGGTCAAGTTCAAGGCAAGGGGGGACATGTTAACGACCAGACTAGTAATGACTTCTGTGATATGAGAACTTGCTTAGAAGTTAGAACATAAAGAACATGGCGAGAAACTGCAAGTGGAAGGTACTCATGACTCTTGAGAACATCCCCAAGTTGAATCTGAGTGTTGGTGTAACTGATAAGTTGAAACCATCTACTGGTGTAACTGATTACTCGTTACATCAGCATCAGTCTAAGGAGTCAGGTAAGCCACCGCAGGTTGAAGATCAAATATCTTCGTAGAGCAGCTGCAACATGTTCAGCCAAAAACCAGTTCAACCACAGATTTCCAATGAGCGGGACGAAGGCTAAAGATCTTCGTAGAGCTGCAAGTTGAAGCCCCACCAAGCACATTGCATTAGAACTAGAAAACTCCTTGGCATCTGATCAGTAGGAGCAAAAGCAGCAACTGGTACAAGGCCAAGGATCTAAGGAACAAGAAGAGCTGGAAGTTGAACCACAGCAGCAGACCCCTCTGTATCAGAACTTGCAAAGTCGGCACCTTTGACCACTCCATCAAGTCATAAGCGAGAGCAGAAAACAAATGGCTGAAGGGGAAGAAAGTTTGACAAGATCCAGCATCATCAGCTCTCTCGCCATTGTCATCTTCTCGGCACCAGAAACAACAATCTACAGGGTCTTTAAAAGAACATGATGGAAATGTAACCCAAGTTCCAAGGATTTGCTCGTAACTCACGAACGGGAGAACGACTTGGGCGTCGATAAACCTTTAGTTTTATTATTCGATAACCCGGACCAATGCCAAACTTACAATATATAGACTACTAACTGAAACCCTAACCCTAACCCTAGCCGACTCGGCCTCTTAGAGACCTCCTACCAAATGGACTTCTAATAAAACTAACAATCAACTAATCACCCACCTAACCGATACTAATGACCCAACCCCCAATAGCCCATCTCCTCGCGTCGGTTTCCCTATCCCGACGTGTACCCATCAGAACAGAACTCTAGTGGAGTCGAGAGCAGCAGGGTCGCCACAGTAATACGAGAAATAAGAGTAGTGAGAAACTTCAAGGTCAAGGTAGGGGAACAGAAGCTGCGAAGCTGCACGGTAGCAGATAGACGATCTCTTTCGTTCTAAGCTTCGACGACGTTGTTCTGGACCCTTTCTGCCCGCCCAGGTAGGTTAGGTTCACAGGTGGGGATGGCAAACAAGTCTGTTTTCCCCCGCTAGCGATGGCGTTTGTGCAGCTCAATCGATTACTGATCTGCCGCTGTTCTGATTGAAGCTAAACAATAGCTGTTATGGTGGCCGGTTGATCAGCATCTCGGGGAAGGAATTCTAGTTGTGGTGTATGTAACCGTATCAAGTTAAGTATCTATTATCGTCCATCTTTGGATTCATTTCAAGCACTGGACAAAAGATAGATGGAACGTCTGTTATTGTGCTGGTGAATTTTTTTCTAATGAAACAAAGAGGGAGACAATGAGTGTGGAGTGTGGACAGTGACGGAGGCAGGATTTGAAACTACCCCTGTTCTCTTTTCGTATTATAAATATATAAATATTTAATGAATATAATTAAGTTAATAATATCTAAATAATTTATTTTCATATATAAAAATAACTACTATTACAATCGGTATTTTCATAAACAATCATGACGAGTTTTCATATTCGGAAGAAACACACAATACATTCTTTGTCTACACACTTAAATAAGTCATTTTCAATGGATATCACTAAACAACCATTAGCAAACTGGTCGTGAGTTCGACTTTAAAGTTCGTTCTTTAGATAGCTCAAAGCTGAAAATATTTTATCGACACTTGCCATCAAAACTAGTAGAATCGGCGCTGCCACTAGACTGCTTCAAGATTGCTTGCAAATAATCGAATAGGCATATAAAGAAAAGAGATATATTCCAATTGAGAGTTCGTTTATTGTATAATAATTAATTCATTGTCAATTTATGATAAATAATGAGTTGTGATATAGTAACGAAGTACAATGGTGTTGTGTTCCATCCTTCGTATAAACATATATGAAGTATTTTTGTTCCTCCCAAAATTTACCCCTGTCCGAGACAATGCCCAATAGGGCTGCCTCCGCCAGTGAGTGTGGAAGTTAGAGAGATTGCCCAGACGAGGATTTTCGCCGAGAAATTCGGGTCGGTTTCATTGTACGACCGGATTGTGACATTGATATCGGCCGACGACGCCTTGGCGCTGTTGGTAAATCAAAATACGGTACTACACATACTCTAATAGGCGCTGCCGCTGAGAAACTTGGCGGGTGTCGGAAGGCGAGTTTGTTAAGAGGTCGTTTGCTTGTAGGATTTTCATAAATGATATTGGATCAAAATCCCACATCTATGAGATTATGCACAAAGTCCATATTTGTTGTTAAAGTAATGTTGGATTATGGTCTGTGGAGCCCACGCATGTGGGATTATTTTGGGAGGAGCAGTACGGGAGGAGCCCACGTTATCTGATTAATAAATCTGAACACATATTCCTGTAAAAAGGAGTACGTGGAGGAGCAGTACGGGAAACGGGCCTTGCTGACTGGGCCTATGCTACAGGATAGAGATCGTGGGCTGAGCCTGGACGAGAATTGGGCCGCATGGCTGTCCAAATACCCTTGCGAATCCCGAGGCTGCCAACGAGAATCAACAGCGTCCGGAGATTGGCCGCCGTGAAATCTCAAGTGGGGGCGTGGAGATGGATGAAATCTCTTCCCACATTGGGAGTCTACCAGACCCGAAATTCTATATGTCTTGTGTCGTGTTGATTGTTTGACTGGTTTACTAGTTTTTTGAAAAAGATTCATTTATGAGGAATAATCGTGTCTGTCGGGATTGATCCATTGTGATAGAGCAACATAATCATTTCTTAAGTTGAGAAATCATTATTTACAATTAGGGCTACAAATGATTCAACATGCTACAGTACAAGCAATTCGACTCGAAAAAAAACTTGTTCGACACTCGGTCCGTTTACTAAAAGATCGAGTCAATGATCAAATTGATGACAACCTTGATTTATTTGGTTACAACAGTATCCGACATCAAGTACCAATACTAGTTTCTTGAAACCCAGATACTATCATTCTTATCCAGAGATGTAGAGTTCAAAACCGGCAGTCGATTGATTCATTTATTAGGTCCAACCAAAGATTTCATTAGTGTGCATGGCTTCTTCGTCAGTGCTTCGATCAATTCAATAATCATGCATTACAACAGTCCCCCATACCATAGGTGATTATGCAGCAGCACATCCAGCACAAGTATTCTCACATCATCACCCAAAAGGAAAAAATATTGCCACCAGTTAATAGGAAAATATATCAGTCGAAATCCCAATAATTACAGATCACGAATTATTGTAGGTGCGATCTTGGCACATGAGATTAACGTAACATGATAGGGTTTAGAATGAGGTTTAGATTGTTCGAGATATGGAGAATTAGGCAGAATTGTGGATTAGCTAGGTTCCTATAGAACAAATTATATTGGAGGAAATAGGGATATATAATTCTGAAGAAACTTTGATAGGTTTTTTCATTAATATCCTTAACAATAGAACTAATAAAGCACATTACATAGTCTCTGGCCCCAAATCCTAATCCACCTACCATGACAAAATATACTAAACTATCCTCAGTAGTAATAAATTGGTTATTCTAAGCTGGGTACAATGACTTAATTGAACACCCTTAATCCAAAACCTTGTAGGCACAAATAGAAGGGTAAATACAATTTAATATCCAAACCTTTCATTTTAAACAATATAATAGTCAAATCTTTTCGAAAACAATCTAATATTCAAATTGTCAACTTTCCGTTCGTTTGACCGTTAGTTGACACTTCAAAAAAGCTTTATTTAGGGGAAATTGTCACAATACAACTTTCTTTTCTTGTTTTGGCATTGCAGATGACTGAATATTTAGATATTCTATACCATTATGGTGTAGTCATGGACTTCTCGAGTTTGGAACTACCATATGTTGGTGTTTTTTCAGAGAAGATATCAATGGATATTGATGAAGTGTCGTAATTCGAACTTTTTTGAAGTGTCAACTAACGGTCAAACAGACAGAAAGTTGACGAATTGGATATTAAATTGTTTTCGAAAAGGTTTGGCTATTATATTGTTTAAAATGAAAGGTTTGGATATTAAATTGTATTTACCCCAAATATAAAGCTGGGAAGAAGCTGTCATGAACAACTAGTACTTGTTCACAGTACTTCGAGTTATGGTTCAATAATTCATCATATATCATTTACAAACACATTCCTTAAATAAAAGTTACTCATATAGGCTTAAAATTTGCACAGATTCGAAAACAATATGCTTAACCGAACATATGGAGGTCATCGGGATCAAACAAAAGACCTGTCGATAACAGACTGTTCTGATATCATGTCACAAACTCATTAATTCCAATAACTCAAATTGTCGAGAGAGGTTCAATAACGGATCATATATTATTTACCAAATGGCTAAATTACACATTTGGTCACTCGAATTACATAAATCTTTCACGTTTGTCACCCAAATTACTTTTCTTTCATATTAACCACTCACTTTACGAATCGTTTCACCGTTGGTCACCCTCCGTCAGTCTTCGTCAGACTCCGTTAACACCGTCAGATTTTTTATGACATGGCAAACAGAAGTGCTGACTGGGCTGCCACAGAGGATAAAAATGACGCTTTTGACTGCCTAGTCAGCCACATACCCGACCCAGCAATCTAATTGACCTGTTTTTTGTATTTAATTTTCTTTTATTTTTATTGAAAAAAGCTTTTGAGTTTTGACTTCAGTGAGACAAGTAAAATCAGATCGGGCAGTAAAAGGAAGGGGAAGGACTATCTCGATCTGCCAGGGGAGACGCCGGTCGGACAGGTCAGACAAGAACAGGGAAAGGAGTTTCCGGGCAGGGGAGGCGGACGTAAGGCCGCCTCAGGGCAGGTGGAGGTAAGGCCGTCGTAGGGGAGGCGATCGATCGGGCAGGGAAGTATCTCGATCGGACAGGGAGTTGCAGGTAAGCCCCTGGAATCTTCTAACCTTCTCCGTCCTCTTCGTTCCTTCGTTCCTTTACTCTTCTTATCAAACCCAATTTGTTGTATTATCAGGGAAGATTGACCGAAACCCTAAAAATTTGCCGATCTGAAGATCGACAGAAACCCTAAACCTTCTGATTCGCTTTTTAGTGGTTGCTCGACAAGAAGACAGACGCAAAGGTGATACAAACTTTTATTAGTTCCCTTTTTATGATTGTCATGCGAAGTGGTGAAAGGGAAAAGTCAGAAAATGATAAAAGTTCTTGACTGTGGGGATTTGGCTGTCGTTTTCCAGGTTGTTTGTCACGTTTGGCGAGCAATTTGGGGGGACATGTGCGGAAACCAAATGCTCCCATGCTTACATATCGTAAGTGTAGTCAATTTCTCATCTTTATGGGTGGAACGTGTGTATAATAGTTGTTTATTAGGTTGACAACAACACAGCGTATGATATTTCAATAGAAAATCATTTCTTTTGTCTTTAGTCCATTGTCAGTTGGTCTTTATGGTGAACATAGGTAGTTAACATGCTGGTGGATGCCTTTATTGCTAGTACATACTACTGCTTGGAGGCATAATTCTTTTCTCTGACCTTTTTCTTTTTCAAATAAATAGGTGATTGTAGTGGCAAATTCAACTTTGAAGTTCATGTTGATCATCAAATCAAAAAGAAGAGAGGGAAGCATTTTATGCAGAATGAGTCTATTGT